GGACAAGTCTTTGGTTCTGCAAATCAACAAAGTAACTTATAAACAATCTAAATATTAACAGGTTATATATAATTAAACAAAGTTATGCCTCACCACATCTATATGTGTTGCCACAACATTGATCGTAACTATCAAAGATCTCAGTTTCACAACTGGAGCAAGAATGAGGGGAACAGTCTTTTTTTTCTGTTATTGTTTCAGGACATTTCTCTGGGGATTTTCTGACTACAGTTAAATTACTGCATATCGGATCTTCAGGATCTGGAATTGAATCCCCAACCTGAAATATAATTTTGACAGTTTATATATACATATATATATGTATATATATTCATAAAACCTTAAATAACATCAACTAACCTGGTATGATTGTCCATTGATTGTTACATTTATGCAAACTGAAAATTCAAAAGAATTCTTAGTTTATTGCTCATGTTCAATTTGTGTGTTCAAAAATTGATGCTCAAAATTTATACTCACAACAGTCATATTTTGGACAGCAGTCTTCTGCTGTATTTGGATCAATGCGTAGTTCATATCTTTCATCGGGACATGTTGTTGTATCATTGCATACTACCTCTGATTTTGCAACCTCATTACACTCTCCTGGTGTCGCCTGAGGACACCGATATGTAATGCATGAATTTGAATTATCCACAATAATTTCTCCTGGATGCATGACTTTATTTGGAAAGTTTGGATTTGCACAGTCCTCAGTACATACTGGATGTGTATAAATTGTATACGGTATAATATGAAAATATAAATCTAGTGCAAAATTATACAAGTTTAGCTGAATTCGGATTACGGGTACTTTTTTCTTACTATACTCAAAATGCAAAAGCGGAATACTTGTAAACATCTGTCCTAAATAGATCGTTTCAATTTCAAGATTACAAATTTATCAAAATTGAGATCCTCAGATTGGCTCATTGCTCTTTTGACGTATTTGGCTTACATTATAAAAGTTTCAGATCGTATTACAAGGAAAGCACATACCGGTAATAGCGAATTGAGACATCCATTTCCAAGACTTAGAAAATAATCATGCACAATGTCTAATTCCATAATATTTTGAAATATTTCCAAAACACAATATTTTACAACAACATTCGAGTTAAGATTATTTCATATGTCTACATAACATTGTAATAATATTGGTATTTACCACAACTATCAGATGATATGTTACATCCACAATGATCCACACCAATTATTTGTGGAACGAAATTTGCTGGCATATCTGGGCAGAGAGTCTCATTGCAGGTACAACCTTTGAATCATGAAATTATGTAACTCAGAACTATATTTTTAAAACTCTTTGTTTATCTTGGTAGTAAGAGTGAGTTTGACAACCTTCTAGTATAAAACACAAACATTAAGCATATTTTAATATGTGAATAAATGCTGATAAAAAAGTGATCGAGAAAAGAATGGAAACTGATAAATAGCAAGTTGTACTAATTTTATTGTGTCACATGCTGAATGAACCTTTGTAATTATAATCAAGTCCTTATGAAACAAATTGTACTGATGTTGATAACTCAGAAGAAAGATTTTTTCTTTTAATCAATGAATAAATTTAGAGCACTGCAGTTATCTGATATATAATATAAATCACACATTAACGATCACAAAATTGAGTTTTATTTAAAAGCATCATTTTTTTGTGTGATTTTTGTTTTTTTCCCCTGATAATTTGGTGCCACACAAACAAAAAGTTTGAGAAACGCTGTACTAGTGGTTACTGAGATTCAGACTTTCAATCAAGATTGACTAAAATAATGTCACAGACTACGAATACACTTACATTCTTTGGGAATGCATTTTTCACTTGAAGAAGATTCCTTTACATAACCATCTGGACAAGAACAACTTGTGACTAATAAAACTCCACAACTCTAAATTGAATCATAGAGACACAATTTCATTTAGCATACTATATATCAATACCAGAAAATAAGTTTCTTGCCAGCAAAGTGCTAGCCATGCACACATACATTTATGGCATATTCTGTACCAGTATATATATTCGTATTAGCATAGAATGGGATAAGACGGCTTCCTCCTATTACAAACCACGGCCTCTAGTCTGGTTACCAGTCCATGTTGGGTATGGGATTAATTAGCCAGGTATTTGTTTTCGGAAACACGGTATTTGATGGTGGTGGAAGTCGTAACCAACCAGCAAATACATGAACCAAACTGCGGCGGGGAGGAGTCTAGCAATCCTCTCGCACATAACTATCCCCACATGGGATGCGAACTCACACATTGTAAACAGAGGTGTGGTGGCCAGCAGATTCCTAACACTGTCCACGATGCGCCACACCACCGAGCCTGTATATTCTGTATATTCATACCTGTGTTGTTAAGTCATCGCATGACACTGGTAAGTTACAGGAATCCTCACATTCTTGAATAACTTGATTTTCAGGACAACTTGTATTTTGTGCAGCTTGACCATGTTAAAAATTAATTATAAATAATTTTTATTGTTTTGTGTGTATACAATGGAAATTTTGAAATAGACTTTTTTCAATTTTTTTGACTTTCGAACTATAAATCTTGTACAAAGTTTGATTATTTTTCTATAGACAAAATAAAATATTATGATATTTTGACAATCTGTAATTTCGCTTTAACGTGTTGAACCATGTCTTAATGTGCACCAACATAACTTCTGGACTTTATCAAATAAAATATTCAAATGTGCTTACTTTCATTAACACAGCCTAGTTTTGCATAATAATTGATGCATGATGGACATTTATCAATAGACCTTCGGAGTTCTATATTATTGCAAACATCACATTGTTCCAATACAGTTGTTTCATCAAAAAAACACATTGAGTATGTGCACCTTTCATGTTCTTCATTGACATCATCGAAACACTCAGCTAAAACAAAATTATTTAAAATATCAAATTCATAAACGTCGCAATTTAATTTCAATGTTTTATTCAATAATCTTAAAATCATGATTACCAAACAAAGGTTCCAATAAGACATCACATGGATTCGAGCCCCATTCACCACATTGTCTACATGGATTCTGAACACAGTTTCTCGAATTTGCACATTCCGGGTTTTTGCATTTATCTACTCCAGTACAAGGTGGTTCACAGGTTTCATTAACTGCATACTCAGTCACATTCGAAGGTTCAACTTGACAGTCTACAACTTCATTTTCACCAGAGCAATTTCCTAAATACCAAAACCAATATTGAATGAAATTTCTGTTCTGATACACAATCGTTCGTTATACATTTTAAAACAGCTGAAGCAAAACTAGAGACTAATGTATGGAAAAATTTGATGCAAATCATAAGAAATGTTTTCCAACTTCTAATTACCCTGCAACAGTTCCCAGCCGGATCGAATCCAATTAGGAAATATCATACATCTCTTACAAAATAAACACAATAAATACAAATAAAAACTTTCCAATGGTAAGCAATAATCTTTTGTAATATATGTGTTATAATTTAATAAATTTAAAGATTTACATTTGCTTTGCCAATATTTAATTATCAACAAACACAAAATCTTACCACAAATTCCTTCAGTTGAAATAGTGCTATTAGATTGTTTCAAATATATGTCAAATTTTCCCAAGTTAGCAGGGAAATATAAAACATGCAATCCAAGCTCTTCAATGAACATTAAGACACTTGCATTGTTTGTTGCAAATGTTATGTCAACTTCACCAATGTGATTTGAAATTATATGTGAGCTATCAACATAAACCTACGTACAAATGAAAGAAGAATTCTAGAAAAATATTTGTATAAAAAGTTACGGTAAATATTTTATCGTTTACATCTCTGAAGCAAACAAATGGCAATAAATAAAAACAGTACATATCACACTCCAAGCTACAAAAAAGTAGAATGTCTGACAATAAGAAAGGGGCACCGAGGCTGTTATTGAGTCAAATGCTACAGTGAGCTACTATGTCAAAAAGACAAAAAGGGCTAGCTGGTAATAATAATCAGTAATACCAGCATGCCTGTTGACGCTCATAAATTTCAGTAGTTATTTAAATAATGCAATATTGGCAATTGATAACACAGTCAAAATTGAAACAAGTCAAAGCAGTATACCCTTTAGTTTACAGTATACCTGATTGATCAGCACTGAACTAGTAGAGTACATCAAAGTTTCATACTTCTGCAAAGTTACTAGACGGTTACTTGACCAACAGTAAAACGTCTATGCTTAGCCTGGCTAAGCTTTTAAAGCGCTTAACAAAAAATCCTAAATTACTTACTTTGTTGTACTCTGCATCTATTTTGTAAAAAACTCCATTGTAGTATAGTTTCATTTCTTTAACACAGGAAACAGGAGGCGATGTCATATGTGGATAAAGTTCAGAACATGATACTGCACTGACACTAATGTTGAAGTTTGATAAATGTGAAAACTGAAATTTAAATCGTAAATGTCATAAGGATATGATGAACAAGTTAAATTTAGCTTTAATGTTTTACTCTGATAGAAAATATATGACTGTGGTTACCTTAGTAATCAAGTAGTCACAATTAGCTTCAATATCGAATGTGTTGTTACAGTGGAAAGGCTTAACTGAAGGAGTTCCTATGTCAGTGCAAGAGCCTGTGAAACAATAATTGAAAATGTCAAATTTCTCCTAACCAAATATTACTATGCACAATTCTTTTAGTGAATCATTTCGAGGACAAATGCTTAAAAATTTTATTGTATTAAATTTTTTTGAAATGGTAATTACCATAAGACAAAACGTCTAGAAAGGCTCGGCCATAAATTCCAGGTGACCCAAAAAACGGATCTCATAAATTTCCTAATTACTGCTAAGGAAATGGAATAAATTTATTTAATTTTGTATGCGATTGAACTTCTGTTTGCGTATAAATATACCCAAAAGTTTCAAGAAGTTTAGGACGCTTTTTACAAGAGTTATATTCTCTCTAGGATATGTTCCAAATTATCTCCTTAACACTAGAGACAGACTTACATCCGCAATTGTGCAAAATTGCACATGTTTGTTGATTTTATTTCCAGAAAATTCAACATAATCATTATTATTCAATACTAGCAAGATTTTTCCTTGGCAAATTAATTTAAAATGTGGCTGTATAGACTATTGTATGACACTATTACAAGTTTATTCACAGATAAAATTATATACATACACAAACATTCCACAGATGTACAACACAGTGTTGAACTTTTTGATTCGACAAGATTTGGACCACATGTGTCTTCACCGGGACAATCCTTAGGAACTTTACATAAACATAGAAAATATATGATTTTAACTGATATCAAGTTGCCACAAAAAGAATATTTAGAGTCAGGAAAAGAATTGAATTTTTGTTTCAGTGTATAAGTTTTACATTTACTATGCACAATTAATCCTCAATATGTTATATTCACAATTATTTCTTTGGGTGGTAACTGACTCAGATGACCGTATATGGTCGTATCATTATCACCCAGTCATATACCGAAAACTGCATTATGTGTTGTTTTATTATTATTTGTTTTTGCATCATCATTATGCTTTCTGGTTTGACGAAAAAAATAAATTCTCTCTCGAATAGTAATATATAATAATTTGTCAGTGAATCCAGATTCAGATTCAGATAATTTTTTTATCATGCAAGAATCAATGCAAACATAACACAAAAAGTGTATAACGGAATTAGAAAAAACATTGAAATATACACATAAGAAATAACGTCAGAGATTCATTTCCCTCGATATGGGGTCGCGAAAGACTGTAACAGTCTTTGAGTCAGCGACACCTGTTGGCTGATTTAATTCAGATGGAAAAGACTAAAATATACTAATTCAATGATTCAAAAGTATTACAAAAATAAATCCTAATTTATCTTGTTGTGTAGAGTGGTCTATATGTAAAAAGTAGGGCGCTCCAGAAGTGTGTGTACCAATATGGAGGTAACTAATTTCGCGTACTTTACATCAAGTTGTGTGAAGGGACTGAAACCTATGGGCAGTATATTCACTTGGCTAACACAGACAGTCCCCGAACTTGTAATGTAACTAAAATTAGGAAAATCAGGATAAAATTATGGCCTAACCCTAACCTGGTACACACACCACGAGAGTAACAAAATTAACATTACCACAAAGAACCATCAAGATTTAGACAAGTTTTACAAATCAGGACCAAGATTAATGAAAGAAGTAGACACTGTTAGATGGAGTACTTATGAAAACAATTTACCGCATTTGTACATTTGACCACAGCAAGGATCATACACATCTTCGACCTTGTCTTCACAACTTGAACAAGTTGTTTGGTCACATGTTTTTGGCTCTTTAATTATCTCAGGACATTCATCTTCTTGCTTTTTAACTGATATCAAGTTGCCACAAAGAGGATAATTAGGGTCAGGAAAAGAATCTCCAATCTGCGTATAATTGAATTTTTGTTTCAGTGTATAACTTTTACATTTACTATGTACAATTAATCCTAAATATGTTATATACACAATTATTTCTTCAGTTCACATATACCAAAAGTTAGGTATACTCACATTATACCATTGTCCATTGAACTCAACAGCAACACATTCTGAGAAAAATATGATAAGTGGCGTAAAATTCTTCTGTAGATACATATAATTAGTGTTATCGTAAGTAAACTCAGGAGTAAACTTTGAGTGAGCAGTTCAACAAATAAGCAATTTATAAAAACAAAATTAAAGCCTGCAAAGCATGGAATATATGAATTTACCAGAAACTTTTAGACACTATCACTATGTAACATTTTTGCTTTGAAATGACAAATGAGCAAATTCACAAAAAAACTTACCATACTTATTTTATTGATTCAAAAATTCAAAATCAACTCTGTAATTTGATTAAAAAAATTTGCGCCATGCTCACCACAATAATAAGATGGACAGCAAAATTCAGCAGTTTTTTCATTTAGTCTCTTCTCAAATTCTGGTGCAGTGCACTGCAGTGGTTCTCCACAATCTTCTGGGAAGCTTTCGACCCCATAGCAATCAGTGTTCTCAACATAAGCACACTTGTACGTAATACAATCTTTTACCCATGATGAATATGCCTGAACAACACAACAACTTGGAAGGTGGAAATTGATAATATTAGCGAGTTCATAAGCAAACAATTTTTGCACAATTTCTATTGAACAGAGTCATGCTCCTGTTTCATTCTTTTATTATAAGTTTGGATAGTTTGACAGGAGCCGGCAAAGCTACTAGACATGATCATGTGAACAGACTCAAAATGTTACAACAACACAATTTTCACAGAGCATTGAGTGCATTTTATGTTTACAATGGGGAAATTTTTTCTTATCAATTCTATCCCACAACATCCTCAAAGTCCATGCATCTTGAAATATTGACTAGCTCAACGATTGATGTCCTCCAATTACTGACTTGGATTGGTAGACAGACGATTCGTTGTCGTGCACAATATCTCAGTTATCGAAATATTAACTTACCTCACGAAATACTCCTTCATGATAGCAACCAATGCATTCTAAAAATATTATATAACATTGAACAATAATAAAGATTTATGAAATTGCTGAAGATGACTTGAGTTTAAATTTAGTTGGCTTGAAGGTGTGCAAATACAATTGTTAACATTTTAAGTTTTAACTTTGATTAACCACAAATATATCTCAAAAACCGTGTTATATAAAAAATAAAGTGTATTGACAGTACTGATATTCAATTGTTTGTGATAAAACAGTTTCTAATCTGGATGACAAAAGCTATTTTTTGTCAATCTGAGACAGAAATTTACATCATCAAAAACCCACCACACTCTGTTGTATTGCAACATTGATTTATTCCATCAGCAAGTGTGATAACTTTCAATTGCTCATTTGGTTGGCAAACTCGGTCGCTGCAAACATCTTCAAGGCATACTAAAAACAGAATGTGTAACTAGTTTTGAACCAAATTTAATTTTATGCAATGTATACAAAGCAGGAATGAATAGTTGTAATGTAATATGCAACAATTTTCTAAAACAACTAAACATGAATCTACAACACTGCTTACAAATGGATTTTAATGACTACCGGTAATTTTTTGAAATTTTAACTTTAAATCAAACCAGTATGAAAAGATTTCATATTATTATTCAGGTTGAATGACATTATACATATTTAAAAGAATTGAATAAGAGACAAATTATGACTAAATGGCTGTAAAATAAATTCAATCATTGCTGTACCCAAAATATGACAATAAAATCAATCCAACAACAACTGGCAATAACTTAATATGATACTCAATGTTTATTAAACTTTTAACAAACAAATTGAAATAAATACAAATGGACGAGGATATGAAATTTTTATATATAAGTCAATACTGAGTAAATACAAAAATGTTCTCGCACACTATTTCATTTCAATTGCATATAAAGTACTGTGGCTCTCAATATTTAAATAAAGCACTAATATTGCAAAATAGCATCCATATTTATTTTAGATTTTAATTATAGCTAGTCACTGCAACTGAAAATTCCTTCTAGCTGTCTAGGTGTACAACATGGCCAAGATGTCAAAAGCATATGGAACAAGCCGGTAAAACTTTCATCAAAATTGCATTATATATTTGATGGAATTCAACAACATACCACATTTATAATCATAACAACAAGGATATTCCAAGCTTGCATTGCCAGATATATCTGGTTTATAATTTGTTTCACATAAGTAATTGCAACTATTTTCTTCACAATTTTCTGATTTTATTTGAACTCCATCTTCTACAATACATGTCCAAGTACAGCATTTGTCTTCGTATGGAAATTGGATGCTATCCTATAAAATAATTTCTCAATTTAATAAAAGTTGGACTCTAGAAATCTAACGATTAAGTAACAGTAAAGGTAATCATGATGTCTATATTAAGTGTTTCACATATTCTCCTAGAATAGTGCAATAGCAATGTCTGGGGTCCAAATAAATTTCAGAGATCTTTATGGTCTTTTTCTAAAATTATATGTAATGGCAAGAGGACTTTGGGAGTTTCCCCCAATTTTGTGTTATATGCACACTAACTGTAATGTGTCAAATTATTAAGTTTCCTAAGTATTCCTGTATCAGTAACAAAACGCCGCAGTAGCTATGTGTTCAGAATCTTATTCAGAGATTAGGTGTGAAAAGGCCAAATACAAAATGAAATAGAATAATAGTTACCAGAAAAGGCAACCCATTCGGATCCACACACGGAGGTTTTTCTATAAAACAAAACAGGGAAATTATTTTCATCATGACGAAAGATAATCACAAAATAAAAAATGCCTCAAAATATATTATAATTTTCAATTAACAATTGTGGAAAAAGTATCTCATCATATATCATATATTTGAATCAACAAAACTGAGTTGTCATTAACTCAAGTTCTCTTTTCAATATAGTACTTATACTTACCGCATCTGTACTGAGGGCAACAGTGGGCAGTGTTTGGATTCTTTCCAAGAGGTACCAAGTTTTCTTCTTCAGGGCATGCGAAGTCATACCATTGAGGGCATATTGTTGACAAGGTTGAATTGTTCTTACACACTATCAATAATAAAATTGTAAAATGGAAGTATTCATTGTCAAATAACCATAAAGGCACTCACATATCATAATTATTATATACAACAGCTAGGAGTAAACTCAAAAAATAAAAAAAATTGATCAAAATGTTATACACTGTGGTTAGGGTAAAGCAAAATTACTATTAATATTAGATTTACTAATCAACAAAAATTATTAGTTGATTCTGATGAGCGTACAAGTTTGGATTTTTCAAAAATTGAGATGAGATTGTCTCTACAAACTCGTGATTTGAACAATAGCCTACAAGATGTTTGATCTGATCATCATAAAAGATTTGTTGATGAACAGCGATAAAGTGATCATGTCGCTATAAAACACATATTTACCGCATATATTTTGAGGACAGCATTTAGAGGAATCATAATATGATAATTGTCCATCTTGGTAGTCTGTGCATACAATATCTGCTGGGCAGTTTCGTTTAGCTAATGGTTTACACTTGCAATCAAATTCTGGACAACATGGATCTTCATCATCTGCAGGATTGTCATATGTGACCTGTTTGAATTTTGAAAAAAATTATTTTCATTTTTATTCAGCATGTCAGTTTCAAGAAAACTGTAAATTCAATATTTCTTGTATGCCATCGAGAGTTTGCGTAATGTTTGTGAAGAACCCAAGGAAAAGATTTTATGAGTGTTATTATTTTTAAGAAGAATGTGTTTTCACTGTAAGCAATAAAAACTCATTGCCAATGTATATCTTATACCTCATAAATCTCTTGATATTGTGTACAAATATTTGGCGTTTGACATAGTTCACTTTTGTTCACAACCAGAGTATTTTCAGGACAAACATTTCCTGTTTTACTTAAGCATGCGTATTCCTCACAACTGCCTTCGTACCACTTTGTACCAATCTGAAAAACCATTGAACACATGTAAGTGCAAATTATACATACAGTTATCAGGATCAGACATATATGATATGCTGCACCTAGAAGTAACAAAATATGTAGTTCAATAAATATGAAAAAAATAAAATAAAAATTGAGTACAATTTTTAATAAAAATTTATAAGTTTGCAATAATGCACATTCAAAAATATATCATTCAAGTAAGATCATTGGTAAAATATTACGAGTCTGAACTCAACCTCAATAGATGATCCGTTCGACAAAATGCATGTTGTACAGGTGCAAGTAATAATAGGACAACAATCCACTGTTTCAACAGTTTTTGTTTCATCAGGCTCACAATCCTTGTACCAGTCTTCACACACTTGTGAAAGTACAGAATAATCTTTGCATTCTAAAAATATAATGAATAGCTGCAACAATATTCATTCACAAATGCACAATACACCACTACAAAAAATCGTTTCTCACCACATTTATAATCCGGACAGCATTCAGAGGTTCCAGGATAAAACCCTACATATTCTCTCTCTTCTCGGTTCGAACAGTTGAAGGTTTCCTCCTTCTCGAGGCATTTAGCCACTTCAACTTCATCACACACTATAAAAATAGTCAAACTAGTCAAGAAATGAAATGCATATAACTTGTAGTCATGTAATAATAAATTTTAGGCCATTGCAAATTAATATTCTTGCACCAAGAGGATGAGTAAGACAATCTGAAGACAATTGCTGAGCTTCATCTATTATATTTTGAATTTTTCATTTTTTTTTGGTGATTTAATTTTCATTTTCTTACATACTTGGAGTTATAATAAGAATGAAGACAAAAAAGCTCACCACATTCATATTCGTCACAGCATACATCTGGATCTGTTTCTCCCAACTCATAAGTAATAATCTCTGACTTTTTGTAGATGGGACATTCTGGTTCGCCTGTACATAATGTCCTGTTATTTACAGCATCACGCACTTTTGGACATTCTTCTTCATAATGAGTACAACTTTCACTGAGGCATTCATCAACATCCCACACATCACCAAGCTGTAAAAGAAAAGTTCAAAATAAATTTTTCAACATTCATCTTACTTTTTGATATCCGGTAATTGTTTAAAACTTATATTGATGTATCAAAATTCTATGTTATTGAGCACATGAAGTTGGCGCCAAATTCTGCAACTTGAATAGAGAACAAATTTTATAACACTGCTTCAAATCATTGATTTGAATTATTCAATTCCTGATTCCTGACTATTCAATAACTCATAGTATTTCAGTGTTCACAAAGATTTTGGTGTCAAATGTTAAAGATCTGGGGTTCAAACCTCATGACTATCACCTTATCCAGGTTATAACATATCTTGAAATGTTAATAATCCTAAAAAAAATTATATTTACATACATTTTTAACATTTCCGTCTCTATCAAGGCAAGGCAGGCACGGGGTGGTGACTGTAGTAGCAGTTGTTGTTGCGACCTCTGAATTAGCAATTTAATAGATGAATTATTCTAATTAATTTAAGTCATTAGGTAAAAAGTCAAAATTAGGTAAATAAAATCATAGAAAAAAACAATTTTTCATATTTATTCATTATCAAATGACAACATTACATTAATGAATTCAAGAATTTTGAAAAACTAGGTTATTTATAAAGGGGGTAGGACACTCCTTCCAAATTGACAGTAGCTCTTTTTATATATCTTTGATTGTACAGTGCCTTGCTCATAGCCAACCTGTAAGTCACCTCTATTTTCTAAAGAAAGTATGCTAAAAGCAAGGTCACACTAACTCAGTAAGAAGTGAAAAAGAAAGACACATCTCTGATCAAACTTATTTACGACAACTGAAAGGTCAAGAGTTACTGAAACCACACACACAAATTTTTTCAGTGAAACCCAATTTTAACATATTGCAATTGATTTTAATGAATTTATTGATGAGTAAAAAAAATTACTTGTGTAGTTGCCTTTGATGTAAAGATTGTTGTTGCTGTTGTTGTAACAGCAGTCGTTGGCACAGGGCATGTAGGACATTCAGAAACAGATATACATGATTGCTTGATCTCACTGTCAACGAATATAAATATGTTAATAGATAATACTTTGAAATTGGCCTGAAGTGTCGTTTTTAAAATGAAAACAGATATAGTTTTAAAAATATATATATTCTTGACATCGACTTACTCAAATACATGATTGAAAGGACAATTTGGAAAGCAACCTTCAACACAAGGTAAACCACATGGTTCATTGATATGACAACATGTATCAGGACATGCAGTTCCACAAGTTTCAAATCTCCATTCACAAGTATCATTCTTGTTATATTGTTCACACATTGTAGCTGTAAAAATGCAATATTTGTGAGTATCACCACATATCAACATGATACCCAAAACAAAAATTAGTATTATGTTTAATGTTTGTGGACATTTCATTAGTACTTGCCTAATGTCCGACCAAGTATATTGCAATAGGAAACAAAGGTTAAATCTACCTCAATATTGGCCTAAATTTTGTCGCTGTAAATGTTACTATGTGTAATCTTTGCTTAAGCAAAGTGGAAATGCTTTCATAAATTCATCTGTACATATTATAATCAAAGTGGAAGATTATATAATTATATTTTGATTGATTCAATTGTAATGGAAGTACTAACGGCATGTGCTTGGTGATCTCCATTCGATGTGGTGTCCTTTCATTCCACAAGCGTGAGCATAAGAGGCAACTGCTGTACAGAAGCATTCACAGTCACCTCCTGCTTCACATCCGCATGTATCACTTAAACAATCTGCATAATAAGGGCCGCGATCAACCTAATTAACAAAAAAATGAATCAACATTAATTACTGCCAATCAAATCAAATCGGTATCGAATAGGACGTAAAAAAGTAGCGGTATGGTAAACATGGTTTATGAATGATCTTCAATTTTTGAATCGCAAAATATATTTTTATGCTTTACTAATTAGCGCGACAGCAGAGCAATACAATCTAATTTAATACATTCCGTGAGTGCAGCTGATAATATTGTCATAATTTTAAATGAAAACAGGAGGTCTTATTTGTTTTTATCGTATTGTTTTTCGTGAAGTACATAACTGCGGAAAATTACCATTTGTAATATCAAAAAATAGACAGACCTCCGAATGACAATCCGCAAATATATCACTAAGTATTATTGAACATTGTCTTTCTGCCCACGATCGTCGAGAGGGATATTTATCACACATGTCCAGTACAGACGCCGTGGTCGGAGGACAAGATGTCTTCAATCTCCAACTGTTGCCGAATTCCACTGAACTTGCAACAATGTCATTTGTTGGAGTCTCGAAATCATTGTTGCTGTCTTGATCGTAATTTCCACACAGGCCACAAACTTTTCCCTAATGAAAAATAAATGTTAATATAATATGAGTTTTGTCGTAGTTGTATCAAAGATTAAAACTATAAATTGTGGAAAGAATAATGTGATCTGATCAATTCCGACTATGCCGATCCTAGACAACCTTAATTACTTATTGATCTTAAGATCGGTAAGTATGTTGATAGGTATTTGTTTGTTTGTCTGTTAGATGCACGCGATATCTCACGAAAGCGAGGTCAATCTGCTCCAAATTTTGTGTGCATTCATCATAGCTCGGATCAGAAGCCTATTGATTTTGGATGGATTATGTCGTATAATTAGCGAGTTATTAATTAAGTAGTGATGGGACACACAGTGTCACTGTGGAGTAAGACCACTGTTTTGGGGGATCCCCTATAGCCTTCGATCGATAAGTCTTCGGTTTCCAACCGAATTCTAGTTTAAGAACATTATTCAATATTAAAAATAGTTTTGAAGATTTAGGAAGCATCTAGTTTTATGTAGAAGTCCCTAAACTTCGAATCCGTGTGTCGAGTCAAGTTCGTGTCTTCAATAGAGTCGAATCACTGAGCTGAGCGTGAATGGCAGTACGGGTACGATTCAGAGATATTTATCGTAGACAATTCGAGTTTTTGTTTAAGGTGTCTCGTCTCGATTTCTATCCAGCACTGGTAGTAATCGACAGTGGACAAAATGATCGATGACCGAGAGTCTTTCTCCCAATCTCTTCGAAGAACCTCGGTAAAATCATGAGCCATTCAAATATCATGTACATTTTACCGATGAATATAATATACAAATAGAGTTGTAATCTTCTCTCCAGCAATATTTCCTAGTCTAGGTCGATGAATCGTGTCGCGTTTTCGTTGTTCAAAGCAACATTTGCACTTTTCATAACCATGAAACAAGTATTGAGGAAATTTAAGTCAATTCATCAAATTTTGATAACCAAATGCACTGTTTGAGGATATGTATGCACTCGTTAAAATCTTCCATTTCTCGCACTTACTTCATATACAGAGTCCATTTGTACGTATATTCTGGTTGCTCATCCCAAAGAACCCTGATACCAATACCGTTGTAACGAAAATGAAAAATCCATGCTTTGAAATTCGGAACGGAATCCCAGATTGGCGGTTATTTTCGATTTCTATCACTTTAGCCTCTTTTCCTGCTTCCAATGTGATAAACGTGGACTGTAGAATACCGAAATTTAATGTAGATGAATTAAGGATGTTAAATATATAACGAAAGTGAATAGCGTATTCCAGAACTCGTACAAGGATATAATAATAATTCGTGAACAACTTTTCATGAAATCCGATTATTGTTGTACCGTATTCATGGAAATAATATGGACCTAACACCCGGAAGCTATGTAATCAATATTAAATATAAATATTTACTGTGGTACTATTTTATCAATGTATATTGCTTACCCCCAACGTAATGAATACTGTTCTTGAACATGTGTATCCCAATGTTTCGCAAGGATTAGCGTGATACGCTACTAGGAATAGTCCTTCGTTCGATCCACATATATCCTTGAAAAATATTATATCTTTTCAAGTAATTCACATAAATAAATATTTATTTTTGATTGCCTAATTGCTGTATTACCCATAGTAACTCAAGAAACTTTTCTGCATTTACTACTTCATTAAACCATTCTCTGTATACTTGCACTGCAAACATCATAATTTGAATGTCGAAGTTGGACTCGTAATCACTTAATCCTTGTTTAGGTATATATATAGATATATTTGTATTCACTTACAGTCGTTAATGTGTACTCGCAAGCTCCGCTAAAATCAAACTGTTTTCCGTCGAATGTCAAGAAATTTTTTTCACCGACAACATGACATTGCCCGTCGCATAACTTATTTGTACAATCCCATCTTCCCGATTTACACTCGCTAAAAAGGTATTGTCATTAGTAGTACTCACATGCAAAGTGGCCATCAAAGTAGGTAGATTAAAAATAATTTGAAATACTAACTATTGATATGACTGATCATTGCTTTGTCAAGGTTGAAAAAAATGTCTGAACACCGGTGTCGACAGAACTAATACAAGAAAGCAGGACCTCCCGTAGTATGTGAACCAAGTTGGCGGACACCGGAACGTAATACGTATTAGGTTAGACCATAATTTTATTCCAATTTTCCTTATTTTAGTTTTATTACGAGTTCGGGTACTAGCCACGTGACTCACGTAGTATTTGTACCTGAAATTATGGCCCAACCCTAACCTGGTACACATACTACGTTCCGGTGTCTGCCATCTTGGTTCACATACTACCGGAGTACCAGAAAGCACACATAAAAAAGTCACATTTACATTTTCGTCGTTCGAAAATGTTTAAGTGCGCTTCAAACACCTTGAGACTTTCACAGCTGCAGCGCGATTGTATAAATAAAAAGTCGTTCTGAGCGGCAGCAATACATTATGATTCAAAAATATATTTCACCACTTGTTACAATCGACTTCCAATGTAGCTCCATTATCAAAATATTTATTATTGTGGTAGCACGGGCATTCCTGTGGTTCAATGCAATTTCCTTCATTCAAAACAAATCCTTCCGGGCACATGCAACCTTAAAATAGAAATCTGTAGGCAACAAATATACGCTATATCGCCCTAATTAGGGGTAGTATTTCAATCTGAAAACTCCAATATTCATCAAATAATAATTTAAAGTACTTTTCCGGTAAAATTGATCTATGAAAAATAAATTCATACCTTAATTAAAGGTTTACCTGATTCGCAAGTTACTTTCGGGCAAGGTAGTTCTTTATTTTGACAAGTTTTTGCGCATTCGATTCCAGTGATCCATCCGGCAACGATGCTTGTTTCGGTACAATTTCTATAAACCTGGCCAGTCGGGCAAACTGTTGGTATTGTACCTTCGCCTTCATTTCAAAATTCCCTCTATACATTGACTGTAACGACACATGAGTAATATTTTGTTACACAGTCTTGTCCATCTCGAAACACTTGAATGATTTAAAGGTGTTCTAGCTTTTGAATATCGGTTGGTTAAATTTATATTTATTTCGTCACTTTTTAATCATGAACAGAAAACACAGAAATTGTATCAGCTTGTATATCAATCCCTTTTTAGTATGACTAGAAATTATAACTTACCACATTATGCCAACGTGTCTCACGGTTTGGCCCGGTTCGAACCATAATCCAAGACTGTAGCACGGACATTTATTCTTTTCCACGCAATTCCCTGTAAAAAATCATTTTTTCACTTTCTATATTTTGTGGAAATATGATGAGAAAATGAAACAATATAAAATCCAACCAAGAGTAGCATTGACCCAGGAAATCTAAAGGACAAGACTGTTCATTAGAGCCTACCACAATAACACATGAAACACACCGTCAGGTCGCAAATAATAATTATCCGGACAATTGCATCCTTCAGCACAACTTGATGTGCAATATGCATCCAACATAGATAATGATCTGCAAGATTTCTTGCAAGCATTACTGCAAAGTTGATATTCTTCTCCTCCCGTACATTCAACAGCTGAAATATAAATGAAAAAATTCACATTTGTATGTTCGAATAACAATATATTTTGTACTAAAAATCAGTTAATATTTTGCTCAAAACTGTGATTATTACAACATGATTATATTATGGGGTTAGAGTTGAAAAGCTGAAAAGTCTTGTTGCGTATTTTTGGAAAATACTGCACATTTTATATTTCATGGAAATGCCAGCCAAGATAACAACAGCCCAAACAGATAATCGGTGAATTATTAGTTATTGCAACATATTTTAACATTTAAAAATATTGTTTACAAACCACAGAAATCCGGTTCTCTCCAGTTGAGATGAATTTGACGAAATGAACATTCTTGCGCATAAACAGCAAGGCTTTACACAAACAATCTCCTTCAGTTTCAGTGACGCATTCGCATACGTCATATAGGCAATTTTCGTAATATTGAGTAGGGTCAATGTCGCCATGACATGGTTTGAAAGACACGTGATCCTTAAGTCGTCCACACATTTCTTCAGCATAAGTCACTAGAAAATATTTAATTCTAGCACTCGGGATCCATTTAATAATTGAAGGTCAGGCGAAATATATGACATGGCATAGTTGGAAATTTAGAGCGTTAGATTGCTAACAAAAAAAATCTGTTAAATCACCAAAGAACTTGTCGTAATGTGTTATTCAACCTGACAACTTGAATAATCCACAATCAATAAATTAATCAAATATCATATTCTGATATAATATCATCATTTATAAAATTGTCATATTTATAAGCTTCAAAGACGAGTTTAACAAAATAGTATGAAATTCGTGAAAAAACTATTTAAAATTTTCAGAACGAAACGAATACCAAGCTCATACATTTTTGATTATTAATCTGACAAGGAAGTGTATCTTCAATCGGAATATCAGCACATTGAGCGCTCAATTTCCACGAATTTCCAAAAGAGCTTGCTGTTTCCTCCAAAATGTTTTGTGGCGTAATAAAATCGTCCGCGGCATTTCCATTGTAATTTCCTGCTAAACCTCGAATTTTTCCTAAAATATAAAAGAATTATTGAAACAGGCAATTGTGGGTGTTTTTGACCAACTTTTGCAATAACGCCAGTATGAAAAAAGACATTAAAATTCTATAAATCTTTACATAATTAGATTTCGCAAACACGAATGTATTGTCCCTGAATAGGTAAATTTACTTTTCCACGTATACATAATTTTCTTTGCTTCGTTCTATTCTACCGGAGATGAAGAATAATATCCAAGTTCGAACCCATAAGGAAAATATCGGATAACAACGGCACAGAACATAAGAAAATGTAAGAACTTTTCACAGGTTACTACAGGAGTTGCAACATTGTAAAAATCTTCCATCAAACCTGCATATGACTGAGGTACGGTGAAAAATGTGTTCCCATCTCCGTCCCAAGTAACTTCCAAGCCAGTCGCTACGTCTTTCATGAGGATAGACATCGATGATTCTCGATAAATTGCCAAAGATCCTTGAAACGATCCGATATTAAATTAGATAGTAAAGCATGAGTTTAAATAAAACAGCCTAAACGAGATTTACCTGATATGTACGGTAGTTGAACATCAAATCTGTTGATACTCACTGTTCCACCGTGTCTAAACATCACTTCCTGTAAGACAGGTGTGGGTTAATGCTAAATTAGGCGTAAGTCAGTCAAATTTTTATATCTATTCGATGCGTTATTGAATGGAGCAACAGAAAGCTAGAAAGTTTTTCATTGGAGAGCTTAACGCGATAGACGATCCACTTAAACTAGGCAATCGCATCACCAAGGATTTACTAAATATTTATTATTATTAGATTTGCCTTTAACAAACTGAATTTTCGCAAATCAAACGATGATATACCTGGTTCATGCCAGAAGAATGTAGTGTTACAGTGAACGATTTGGTGCACGATATTGCTTGATCTCCACCGCATTCAACATTTTCAATAATTATCAAAAATGTGTTGTCGACATTGTCCTTCGCGAACACGTATCTAAAATTGGTGAAGACAGTATGAAATGGGATCCCGCAATTTTTCTACACTTTAACATTAACTAGTCGTTAGTCAGCCAACATCAGACCAAAATTTCGCGATCGTGGCTAGTTAGTCAAATATTGAAACTGAATTTACCGAACGTCTCTGTTAAAACTTACCTGCATTTCCCATCAAAGTTGAAAAATCTTCCATCGAATGTTTTGAAATGAGAGAAACCTTGGATGAATGCTGTTCCAGGACAAAGAGAAGCAATGCAATCCCAGGAACCAGCACGGCAGGTACTGAAATGATATCAAAATTGAAATTTATAAATAGCAGATCGCAAATTGATTAACATGTATGATTGCAACTATACTGAAGATACACTTCGGACTTCCTTGTCAGATTAATCAAAAATGTATAACAAATATACATGTTTTTCAAGGTGGGTACCTCGTTACATCTTAACAATTTTGATACCGACATAGTTTGAACCGATTCCAGCGGGTCTGTCATTGAAAACAATTATTACAGATTTCTCCAGGAAAGTCTCTGTACAGTCACTTATAAAAACGTATATACATCTGCTAATATTGATTGCGCGTTTTTAAATTCAATATTATGACAAAAAAGTGGATTTCGACAGTTGCTTTACACGCTGAAAAAAATCTTCGTAGTCTATCTTACCAATTATTGCAGTTATAAATTGCTGCAACATCTCCTGCATAATATTCCTTGCGCTTGTGAAGACATGGACAGTTTTCCCGTTGCAGGCATCTGTCTTTGTGCTCAAATTCTCCTAGAACACGACAAAACTAGGTTAACAAAAAGTCAAAACATAACAGTTAGTTTACCAATTGTCCCATAACTTATTTGCTGCATCAGATGAACTTGGGGCGCTACTCATATTTGAAACCCTCACCTGCCAAACATTGACATCTGTCCACACAATCCTGAGAAAAAACATTTTGCGGAATAGAACATGTAGGTGGAGATTCTTCGCCACACTCTGTCCATTGATGGTCAGAATCACAAGTTCTTTCTGTGAGTTGAATTGAAATTTCAAGAGATGATTCAGACAAAAATATTCATTTCTATAAATAGTTCAACTCTCTCTCTATAATTTTGATATATTAAATTAATTTGATTGCTTTTTTAACAGCACCGAATTTGATTTAGTGCCTATTTGACCAGCAAGAAGAGCCATGTTACAACGAACGCGGCCAATAAAGATTAATAAGATAGTGTTACTGAAATTGTAGATATCATACAAGTAAAGTGAACAGGCTTATGCCAACCCGAAGCAACAGTAGGTAGAACCAAATCGCTTTTACAAGAAATAAAAATTATACGAAAAACTAAGAAATAAATACAAACACCCAACATAACTAACAACGATATTTGTGATAAGCAAACGAATTTACCGCATTGATTTCTTGATCTCCATTCAGGTGGTTTTCCGCCTGCAATGGCGACAGAACCTAGAGTATTGCGACAAGATGTTACATTGGCAATCTGCTTGTGTGTTGTAATCACATCTGCACAAATCTTTTCGACACATCGTCTCAAACATAGCTGGATCGAGGTGTAGATGGCAATCGATAAAGAAAGACCAAAATATGTTGCAAATGAGTTTTACAGGCTGAAAGTGAACGTACCAAATGAGAAATAATTTTAAAACACTTGCATTCTTGACATAATACCTGAACAACAACGATTGGGCTGTTCAACTTTAAAACAAACCCATTTTCAGTTGAACTCGCAATTTCGAGGCAAACTATGCAATTTTGACAAGCTGAAATAACATTGTCGTAGTTTCTGCTGTGAAATAGATTTTACCAAATCTAATGTATCTACGATTGTATCCCATGAACATTCGTTTGAATATCTTATAAAAAATAATTCCACGTCGGCGACCAACATTGACAAATGTATTGTAAACTTCATTCCCTGCACATTAGGTTTACATAGATCTCACGAGCTTACAAAATCTTACACAGCCTGACCTCAGAATTCATACATTCGGAAAGATCTTCTTCCAGGATTTCTGTGTCGATGCAAGTTTCTCCAATGTCTAAATTTTTCCATGATTTAGCCATCAAATGGGAATTTTGATCGCCGACGACTTGCTGACCTGCAGTAATTTCGATAATTTCACTTGTTTCGTCACTAACGCGATAACGTAAGGGTTAAATTGATGCGACAAAAGTAAACGAATAGACGCTTGATTATTGTTACATCATTGGCTCAATTACAGATGTGAAGACAAACTTGCGGAACCAGCCATGGTGATAATTAAACTGCACAAACAAGAACTGTACATGTCTTTATATGTTTACAGTTGAATACCCTTACATGATATGAATACAGAATCAGCAATTTAACCTACCTGATTTCGCAATCAAATCGTTGGATTTTACAAAATCATATTTTCCACACAAGCCTCTCGTTTTGTTGATGTATCGATCGCTCAGCAGAATCACATAAACGGCGCTGGATTCATCATCCCATCTCAAAACCATTTCACCGACTCGAACAACAATATACGGATGCATCCAACCAACCAAAAGGCCAAAACCATCGTATGGAAGCGTAAGACTGTAGAAACAAATAATGGTAATGGTAACAAAATCACAAATGATTGTGCGTTGTAGGGATATTATGGTCGTCTGCGCGTTTTGAAGCTGTCGACAGAAATTAATTAAAACAGATAACGGTCCATCAAATCGGGGATATATTGACTTTCTTTCTTCATCCCTTAGAACTTTCGACGATGAAATAATATGGCTGTGTAAGACAAATGAGTTAAAGTGAAGTTCTAAATATGTCAGTAATTATGAAGATAAACGGCCCACATTTTGCCTTTTCCACAATGTCCTGGAACACCGACTAGTTTTTAATATGTAATACTGAATACCAGACCACTCTACGTCATTTCTGCAACGCCTACCTCTGTTCGTTCAGTGAAACTGACGTCCCCTTTATGTTAATTTCGCACAGTTGCGTCTGCAATCAAAACATTTATTTCGCTGATACAAGGCTCTGCTTTATCGTAAACATACTTTCCATCGACTACGCATTTCGGATTTCGCCTGACAAGAATCTGCCAAAGAGAGATTAATTAAATTACTATGTTTTGATATAACACTGTACATTAGGATCGTGAAATTGAGTTGGGCAAATGTCGTTTATGGTCTATTAAAAATTAAATCTCCATTTTTTTTTGAATTGCGAATAAGATACCCTAATTGGGGAACTCGAATTTCGATCCATAATCGCGGTCTTTCGGAAAAACGATCTAATCGACAAAAAATAATGATCTTCAGTCCAGCTTCGGAACCCAGGAGCAACGTAAGTCTAATTGGTCCCTTTTGCAAAGTTTCGTTTAGACCTAGAGCAGTGTTTCTCAACCTGGGTTGGGTCGAACCCCTGGGGTTCGCCTTAGACTACAGTGTACTTCCCCAAAAAACACTTATCGTCACAGATGTGGTTCGTTTAGAATTTAGATGTACTTAGCGATTCGAGCTGATTTCTGCTTATGTACACGAAATATCTAAGGTTACTATGGCAAACCTTGGGGTTTTAAACTGAATATTTGCGCGAACCTCATCCATTCTCTACTAATGGAAATGTAATCAAGTCCACGGAAAAGTCAAAGATAGGAAGAAAGTGTGAATATATTAATATAAAATCAGGGCGTGTCTGAATTTCATCAAGTGATAAATTTGTCGAAAAGAATATTTCATTTGCAGAGCGTTGCTTAAAATTATCATCATTCATTCCGGACAACCTTAATATGACGCTGAGTCGTATGTTATCTCTATTTCTGTAAAACAATGGACAAACGTTTTATCCGCATTTGAATGCAGTTTGAAGTTTTAGAAACGAGTTTTTCGCCTTTTCACTCGTATAATTTAAACAAAACAAAAAACGTCTGCTCCTTTTGGCGCGTACACCACCGTTTATGACACACCAACGGCTGTTTAACACCGAGTAATTGTATCCAAGGTTACACTTCAATAATCATTTTCTATAACCTTGCACAAAATTAGCATCCCATTGCGCTCCAAGTTTCAACCGTTTAATACGATAGCGTTCGACGGGAGCTTTCAGAAGATCGAGGGGGTTCGGCAGGCTCGCAAAGATATAATTAAGAACCACTGGTTTAGAGCGAAGGGGTTAAACACTTTAAAATCCAGGTCAACCCTGAAAATGGCAGCAAATGTGAATAGGAATAAATTTTGTTATTTACTTTAAAGTCTTGCGTGTCAGTAGATGAAGCCATCTCATATTGACAAGTTCCTGGAAAATCGTATTCCATCCCATCAAATGTTATCACATGACCGGTTCCATACATTGCGCACATGTTCGTAGTCCAACTTGTATTAAAGCTTCCCTGTAGTCCAGGTGTCTGGTAGAACCCCACTAAAACGAAGGTAATGTCATAATATTTTGGGCAATTTACCTATTTAAAGACATCCGGTTATTACTAGATTTTTACTCTCAAACCTGCAAGAGTCTTTTTTAGATTATCGTGCTAGCACGGATACATATAATGTTGACATAAAACAGATTTTCGGTTATATAAAATAGAGTGAGGAATCGTCGAAACACCAATCGTGTTTGAGTATAGCAATACAAAATCACTGGAGAATAGTCTGCACATAGTCATAGGTCTTTGAAAGATTAATTTACGAAGGTTTTCGGTTTCCATTTTTTTTTATTATTACCAAAAATTTCAGTTTTCATATTGTATTTAAAAAAATAATAAAAGTAAAAGCTAATATTGTTGTAAATGCTGTACATACCGTATAAACAGCGGTATCCATAAAACATCGGTGGACATGAACACTGATTATTTCCAATGCAATGTCCCCCGTTCAAACAATTTTCATCACACGCTTCTGTGAGTAAAGAATTTAAGAACATGTACACTAGAAATGTGAAATATTTTTGACGTTTGCAGGAGATCTTGGCATTTGGCAATACCCCGATGTACGAATGAAATTCCTTGGAAATACAGTATACAGTTTTTGACAAAATTGAAAATCAATCAATTACATTATCATGCTGAGCTATAAAGAAGATGCCATAATTATGTACGGTCATCTACTTACTATATATTATATGAGTCTATCACTGTATTTCCCACTAAAAAGCTGTTAGTAAAATAGTTTAAATTAAAGTTTGTGTGGTGATGTTCGAGGATAACTAAATCTCTCACTGGGAAATAAAAATTAATTTTTTACACTCACGGAGTTCTTTGACGTATTCACAACCGAAAACAAGCAGAGGATCCTCACAAATCTTGTTCGCGCCATCATACGCAAGTCCAGCAGGGCATTGAGCAACATAGATGCTTCCATGAACACACATATAAAAGTTTACGCATTCGTTTCCTTTTGGGAAGGTGTAGTAGTCTTTGGCGTCTCCCGAAGCGTCGAAACATTGACTAACTGTAAAAATTATACTCATTGGTTATACATAGGCTTACCATACGTCCCGCTTTAGGCAGGACAGTCTCGCTTTTCAGCGTTTTGTCCCGCCGTCCCGATAAGTCAGCCAAAAGTCCCGCTTTTCCAGCATAATACACAAACATGTTCTCGTTACTGTTGTTTCTGTGTAGCGCAGCGCTAGCCTACTTACTGAAGGTGAACGCGTTCGTTTCCCGCTGATTCCCATTGATGGCAGACGTATCGCATGTAAAACCAATACTAATTAGTCTAAATTCGAATTATTTGTACCGGTATCGTTAATGTCAATTCCTTCTTATTTTTTCGAACTGAACAGAATATTTGGACAAAGAATATGCGCGTGAAATTTCGATAACAATATGGTCAATAAAGACAGCCGAGACAGCTTTAAATGTAGGAATGTAGGCCTATGTAGTAAAATCGGAAAATGTGAAGTTACAAAATCACAGCTAATGGGTCGTTGTCTTTCGAGGCGTCCCGATTTGAAGTCACAAAAATATGGTAACCCTAGTTATACATATATCATTTATAGGCGTTGTGTATTTCACTACATTGCTTCTGCTTCTGAATTACGGACGAGTTACTCACTCCAATCCGATATTCAATCTCATGGATAACCCATTTGCGGGTTAGCCCTTTGGACCTGACTGTGTTTGCGATAGACAGGAAAAATCCCTTGTATGAGCCTCATAACCACTCAGAATGTAATATAATGGCTAAGATTTGGCTTTTTTAAACGAAGTATAGACGCGTAACAAGGTGGCTGCTTTTCTGGAGCCTGGTGTAAAACGCTCCATAAAGAATCTGTTTATTGCGAAGGTTATTTTCATGATTCCACTTCAAATTGAGATAAAAAAGAGGGTTGTGGGTTTCATCCATCTTTGAATTGCTTATACTACAAAATTAGTTCTGTTGAATCATAAATGAATTGATACCAGTTCAATTTTCTTTATCTGTACGGAAGTTACGTATTCTATTTTTCTTATTCGATTGATTTTGGATTTGTAAATATAAGGTTCACTGCCGTTACTGATGTTACAATGAAATATCTTACCAGGTGGTGAGTCTGTCGTGTCGATAAAAACATCATCAGCCCCCGCATTCTCCTGAGCTTGGCGACGAACTAAAAATAGAAAGCAACAAATTGTTATTCAATGATATACCATGAGAAAATTATACCGTATAGATTATGTAACACATAACGTTGGATTTTTCTGATGAAACTTTTGGCATTATAATGAAATTTTAAAGTACATGTCGCAAGAATTTATTTGTATTTCACAACTAAAACCTCCAATATCAATTTTAAACTGAAATATTTAAACTATTAAAATTTCTGCAACCTAATCTTAATTGAATAACTAAGTATTAACTAGTTAGGAGCACATAATTGCAGATAGTATATAAATGCTATCGTTTAATTTTGTGTATAACATTCTCACCCCTTTCCGAAACAGAGTTATACGCATGTTTGTTGAGTCTGTGAAAGAATAGGTTGTTAATAAACACCTTAAGCGGGACATTAAAATTGTATGTAAGCCTTCTTAATAAGAGCCTTCGATTCAAAATCACATTATGATCAAACAATTCATGCTCAAAAAATTGAAAACACACTGTGAAATAACCTTATCAGGTATGGGGAAGATAGGAAGAACGGGAAATTTTCTTTCAAATGGAAAAGTATGCAAACGAAATTTAATAAAAACCAATTTTGCCCCTGGTATTGTTGTCCCACCAACTGCTCTGTGGCCCCCGGCGGAGTCCACAGGCCCCCGGTTGGAAACCGATGGTCTACTCTAGGTTATGTTTTGGAATAGAGAAGTAATGTCAATGCCGAAGTGAAAGAAAAGTTAAATTTCTGTCACAATTAATAAAAAAGCATAACGTCACGCTAATAACCGAATTGCGTAAGTCAATATAGCAGTTTTGAGAAAAACGTAAAAAACTTCCTAATGATATTGTTATGCCATTGAGAGCCAATTATTTGCCATGGTTCAATTTTTTGATCGTAGCCGGATTTAGGTTAATTTGTATGTCGCAGTCAAGTGACGTCATAATGGCGCACTGTGACTTAGGCAGAAATGTGTCTATGACTTGGGGACATACGCAATTTTGCAACTTTACTATATGCACCAGTCCTGAAAACTAAACAAAAACGAATGTAATTCTCAGCATCTACAATGTCTAATCCCCAAAATAGCTAATCATTTTCAATTGCATTATTTTTTATGTTTAAACATATATATTTCATCAATATAACACGTTCTGAATATCAATATCATCAATATAACACCCACCGAAATAAGACTAAGATAAAGACCTAATATAAAAGCCAACCAAGGTGAATTGGACTCGGACAGTGAATATCACAAGTGCACGCCTTCCTATACTGTAGTATAAATTCAAATTAATACGCGCTAAGTTAGAATCCGAGATGCAAAAACTCGAAAATACTACGCCGAGGTTATTTTGCTTTTTATGACGTCACAATAGTCCTGCGGTAATAATGATAATTCATTATGACGAAACAATTGCACAAATGTGGTCATACTAAATCTCCATTTTTATGGGTTTCGGAATTCTCAAAATAAAATCTGAGTTAACAGACAGGTGCGCAGCATTACATAAATACCTATTTTATGAAAAAAACTCAAAATCGCCAAAAAAGAACTTACGCAATTCGGTTATTAGCGTGACGATAATCAGTTTTACAATTCTTGGATTTGTAATTTCATTTCTCTAGAATCTTCCCTTTAAATGGTTTAGCGCAGTAAGCAAAATTTTATTCAAAATCGTATTACCTTGATTCTTCATCTTGAAGTGACGCTTCCGTTCCTGTAGCACAAAATATGAAAAAGTTTAATTTTAATTGCAGGAATTCGCCATAGCAAGAATCCACGTATTCGTTAAGACATGTGAACCTCACGTATCTAACACGATCGAGAATTAAATTGTGATACAAAGCAAAATCATTTGCTTCGTGGTTCCATTCGATCTCTAGCTGTTTTCATATAGACTCTGCAGACTACAGACTACATAGTCTTTTTAGACAAGGATTCTTGTTTTTTTTGTTTTTTTTTTTAAATAAGACATAAGAAGCCACAATATGTTATGCACAATTTTATTAGTGCAATTCTCGCCTTGAGAGATGTTGCCAAAACAACCGCATACTAAATACCATAATCAAATGGGTTTATCGACCCAGTCACCCCGAATAAGCGATTTCCTATTCAGAGTTTTGCTTCTGAAAATAACGTTAAACATGAAATCAATAAAATATACCCACCGGTGATCAAAATCAGATACAAAAAAGTGTTAGCATAAAACATGCCAACGTTTCCACGATTGCCTGACAGCAAATCTGTAGAGTATGTACTACTCTTTTTATGTCTATATTATTTCTCCTGTCTTTTGTATAGTGAAAATGTCCAATACTAAGACGAATAAGTAATGCTACTTAGTGTACACCGATATTTGTATCTGGATTAGTTTGAAAGATACTTTGTACCGGAAATTTATGATGAAACATATCCGATAAGAATGCTTTAAACTTTGAACAGGTGGAAACTAACGAATCACGTATAAAGGCTTTAGTTCCGGAGTTCATTTCCAAATCTAATAAGCGAGCCACAAGGTGATAAATATGTGAATTTTTTAATATGTTTTGCCGTTCGTGTTGTACCTGAGTTTCAGAAATCGTTAAAAATGAGGAAATGATTGCATACATGATACACAAAGTCCGCCAGTTATATCGTACCATATACTTATCTACATTATATGTTTCATTTTACGCGTTTGTATCGAATCGATCTGAATGTAATTGTGAAATATGAAACACTAAAGTTACTAAACTATAGGTTGATTAACATTAATCCCATTCTGCAGTGTACATTTTAAGTTAAATGAAATATGCCAAAACCATAAAAAAGTTTGAACTCGTAATGACTGAAACCTCCAAGAATTTTTGCCCTTTGCCTTCTTTTCTACAACGTATTCAATATCAATTATTTTGTACAAACTTTCAAGTTGACATTATTTCTTTCTTCTTAGGGCCGGTGGTTACATCGGCGTATTGTGCACTCTTGAAGCGATTTTAAATCAGTGGTGGCATGAAAAAAGGTTGTGCAACACGTAGCTCTGCTGCGGCTCACAGTCAATTTATTTGCTTCGTTTTAATTGAAGCTAGAAGTAACTGATTGAAAATTCGGACAACAGTTTGATTGCTCGATTACTTAGCGATGGGTATTCGTGATCAGGAGAGCTCAGGAATGAATTGTGATTTGTGCCAATGATTCTTTAATAAATCTGGACTGTAAAGTAGAAGTTTCATCGGGTCCATCATATCAATTCCTCTGCAGTTGATCGACCCACCGACCAAAAGAATTTATATTACAATAATAAAGTCGTTGCTAACTTGGCATCAGGTTCAAAATCCTGCTTTGCATTACCCGGAATATATCTCAGCGGCCCCCGTTTTTGTTGCGCGTCTCGTGACCACCTGCAGGGTCGCAACAAGTTCATATCTCGCTGGTTGTCATGGTGAAGCTTTGTAATATTATACTGTTCTTGACAGTTTTCTGGTTTAAACAAAGAAATATTCATAACTTTTCATTTGGATGGTAATATTAATCAAGAAAAGCATGCAGAACGGAAAACGCATGCCGATTTTCAGGTTTCTGAATCGTGCGACATTTGACGGAACGCTTTCGGGGTGAATCGGAACCGAAAAGTGTGATTACTCGGCGCCAAGGAGTCGCTAGGCCAACCGCACTTACTAAACACCAATATGACAACGGAAGAGAAATTGCGTAATAAACCAGCTACGATAGAAAAATAACAAAATGAAATTTCCCGCGGATCGGTAAAAAAGCTTCGCGGACCGGCGGTTGGGAACCACGCATTTCATCAATACCTTGAAATCGCCACCAAGCGGTTTCAGTCGCTTTGCAAGTAAACATCCGCCATCTTGTCTTTTGGAAACGCAGCTCTTGGAACCTGAGCTGTGGAATAGAATATTTTCAACCGACTCCAAATAAAGAACAATTTTAACAAGGACTTCGAGTTCTCCAAAACTTCAACTCAAGACTCCCAACTACGAGAAAATACAATTTTGATAAAACTTTGGCGTGTGCAACCTTTCTTATAACGTTATAAGAACGATAATATACTTTGTTTTCAAGCTGTAGAAAATGTAGATTTTTTTATCGCCATCGAATGTTTGCAATTCCGACTCTGGCTAGATCCACGGGAATTCAGAAGTTCGACTCTTTCCACCGACTCCGGAAAGTTTGAAAACGTGCTCCCTATTCCCGACTAATCAGCTCTGCTTAGGATACACGTTCGTTTAACGACATCTTTAATGAAACAAACCCCCACAGAAGATAAGCACAAATAAGCAACCATAGTCATAAGCGGTATTGATTAGTTTATTATGTATACAAGGTAGGCAAATTGGCATCATTGGGAATGTGATAAAACTGCATGCAATAAGGCTTATATACATTCAAGAAATCAACTAATAGCAGCAACTTAAAAATTCATCATATTTAGAAGGCTGGACCGCAACTGCGATAGAAACACTGCAAATAGGTCCATATGTATGCTGAAACAAATCTATTCACAAAAGGTAAATTTTCATCAGAAACCGATTTTACCAATCAGCAGAAAGATAAAATTATCTCGCATTTCCAAGCAACTAATTTAGCATTGCGAAGACAGTGAAAGGACCACATAAATGGTCTATATGCAAACGTAGCAAATGAAAGAAAGTCTTATTTAGCATAATATTTGATACTTTAAAAACAACTTGCACTTGATCTGAATGGTTAGCAAATCTGTGGACGCCGTAACACAATGTACACATTAATAACGGAAATGATATGAAAATGAAATAAATATAAAATTTACAAAACAAGGTTCTGTGAAAAAAATACAACTTCTTGAAGTCCGAAATATGCCGGCTTGGAGATCTAAAATGTCCAAACAGGCGTGACAAAAAAGTAGTTTGAATGTCACCAATTCGATATAAAGTACCTCACATTCGGCAAGATATAGCCAATATAATGTTATATGGCAGTGTTTGCTACTATTCAGCAGCGCATACACAACTATCAACAGCAAACGATACATTTTAGTTTAGCTATATTAATTTTGCTAAACCGAATGTTTTCATTTAGACATTTTAAACACATTACTTCTATGCGTTTATGTATTTAACGAGATAGTATAAGAAAACTGTATGGGGAAACTCCCAAGTTAAAACATTATTAACATTATAAACAAGTTGCCACGTAAACGTTGAATACGCTACAAACGCGGCAGTCGTAGGCAACATTGTCATATTTTACCAATTGTACGTTTTCTCCGCAATATTGTTAAGGCGTCCCATATCTAGAGTATGGTGTCGTAGTCTCGTAAACAACTATTAGATTTAATTGAAACATTAACACAAGGTATGATTGTTGCAATTATCATAGTAAATAAAAATTGCTGGAATGAATTCCACAATTGCGATACCCCGTTTAAATTCAACATTACGTTAAAATTGAGATGCAAAAAAGGGGCGCTACCGAAGAATGTGCACCAAGATGGCGCACAACCTGAACCCTAACCGGGTACACATACTATGTTCAGGTTGTGCGCCATCTTAGTGCACACACTTCTGGGTGGTCCAAAAAAAGGTATATTTACAGTTCTTGATCAAGGTGTTTATTAACAATGCAAACTTACGGTACTGAAAAAATAATCGAGTATTAAGCTTGGCCAAGTGTAAACTCAAATATATACAAATCATTCCAGACCAAGCTTAAGATACTAAGTCATATTCATTGACAAATTTTTTTTATGAATTTTATATAAAAAAGGCAAAAATGTGAGTGTGGTGAATGTTTGGCACTCGAAAATGCCTAAAATAATAATGAAAAATAAATTTGAGCTCCATTTGGTCACCTTATGCGCACTTACATTCATTAAAAAAATTTGGTTTGCATTTTGATTTTTGAAAAAACTTCAATATTTTCAAAACTTGTGGAATGTGTTGTAATCTTAAATTTTGAATAAAACTTACAGAAGTATTTTTTGTAACAATAATTAGTGATTACACTTTGGTTAACGAGTATAAAAAAAATTTTGATCTTGGTAACATTTGAAGAATTTTTTTTATACATATTACGTACTAATTTAATTAGAAATAAATTATTTTATTCACTGTGATATGATATACCTACAGAACAATAAACTCGTTCAAAACAGCCAATCTTTCAATATTTCATTCATTTGAAAACTACCACCATAATGTCATAATTTACGTCTTCGAAATTTATGCACACAAGATTATCGTAAATATAATCATACTGAACTACATGTCAGTTAATGCTAATGCAAAAAAGTAGAATAAATTCACAGAAAATATCAAAAATACTGTAAAAAATATTAAAAATCTAGCCGTTCTTCGAGCTTTTAACACTAGCAGTCGATCCCAAATCAGTGTCTTCAATGATGCCATCTTCGTCACTTATTCTCACTTTCTTTTCCGTGATGGGCTTGGTGGTATTTTCTAGGTATTCTGAAAATAAAACAAATGAGTAAAAAAAGTGCCTGTAACGTTTTTCGAGTGATGCGTTAACTAATGGACGTTCATACAAATCATGAAATCAATGAGTGTAAAAACGGTCCTGAAAAATAAAAAAATCTGACGAAAAGATTGTGCATTCTGGCTTTTGATTGAATAAAAGCATTCATATTACAGACAATACTCAGTTGAAAGGTTGTAGTGAAAGGTTCAAGTCGATATCATGTTAGCGAATTATACACAATACATTATTGACTATTGTTTTAGCAATAACCTACTCTATTTTTTGCGTCGCAACGGAACAAGTCTATTGCGTCTAGGCGTGACTTCTTCGTGCGCATGAGCGCTGTAGTTAAAGAACGACTCTGCATGAACCAACCCAATTTATTGCACCGTGAAAGCAGTATTCAGGGCTTACTAGCCTAACGTGGTGGAATAAAGAACACACCGACATGCCCGGTCTCTACGAATACAGGATGCAAACCATTTTTCTTCCAAATTACATTTACATAAAGGGGAGCCTGGCGTTTGGGGCCCAAAGTAGAGGCTGCCAATTTTCTTATAGACTTATGTCAAATTGAGGACGAGTGGGTTATAATAATTCTCATAATCTGCCTCCACTCATTGCCACGGTCACGATGATTACGCAAAACGTATCATGAAATAATTTCGACAACTCCGCAAATTTTAATCGCGATGATAATCCGTGGGAGCTAATCATATTATTGATCTGCCAAATATGACCCACAAGTAAAAAACCGATGTTTATGTGAGGTTGTTGCTTGATATAATGTGAAATAATATTGCAATGGATGAGGGAGTTAATTCGCTCCTCAAAGCGGTCAAACAAAACCGCATTCGCACCGATATGGACTATTTAACAAACCGTCTTTGATATCTCAACACGATATTGGCACCTCGACCTTGATAATCATGTAAAAACAATTGTTTTAATCAGAATTACGAAATCGAGCGATTGAATTTTTAATTTTAATTCACTCAATGCAATGCGTTCGACATAATAGCGTTAAATACTCCCATGACCAACCATACAAAATGCAGCCAATCGACGCCAAATTTATACTAAATTTCAAGATGCCCAAACAGGATGAAGTCGTATGCACGATTTTCAACCACCGGGAATTGGATTGCGATTTGCGAAGTACTTCAATTCTCATGAATGCACATCAAGTACACTATTCTTAATGAGCGGAAAGAGGAACTCAATTTTGTGATATAGAAAAAATAAGCTATTAAATTTATACGTATATAGATTAATAGCAATGAAAAAGCCATGCAGTGAATTTCACACATCATTGAATCAAGCAACTTGCTAAAGATATCGCCGCGACGATTGAAATCACGATTTTAACTACGATTTTGATGCTCTTGTGTTGGGAAAATATTTCGCAGCATGTCACAAGAATATAATTTTACTAATTTTTGCTTCTACACTACAGTCAATTAGGAGTGGTTTTTACCAGGTTATTTGTAGTAAGTGGGCAGGCAATGAGAGAAGCAAATCATTAGAAAACAAACTTTGCTTAAGATTCGAATTAGGCTTCTTCTTAAGCCTATGTAATACATTCGAGACGATGGCATCGTTTGAGTCTCTGAACCGCCAGGCATTTAATCGCCAAGTTTTGCTTTTTCGTGTGAAGTGAAACGTTTCAAGTTTAAAAATTTTTTGGCAAAATTAAGCAACTAATGCGAAACATGGAGTGAAATTTACATACCGTATTCAAACCTAAATATTATATTAAATACAACTTGATTCAATGATAAGTTAAAACAAAAGAATGAAAAGTATTGCACATACTCACTGCTGCTGAGCCTGACTGGCACTGCAAGTGTTGGGTAAAAATTTTCGTGTTCTCTCATATGATGGCCGTTAGGTGCGGTAGCGTAAAATACAGAATCTTGACGTGGGTGTGGTCTTTGGCTGAAAAATCTGTGAGAAAAATGCAGGGTTATTTAACAGGCCTTTTCTGTTATTCTGAATAAGCAATATTGTCTTTTGAAAAAGCAAAGGAAAACTTGTATCAGGTAAACTATTTGTTTCTTCGCATATTCGACTTCTTTGCTAAATTGGCTATATATAGGTATGTTCAGTTAGAAATAGAGTTGACTGTGATCTGTCCTACCAGCATAGCGATATTGGTTGGGCTACAGTGTATGGACTGAATTGGGTAACATACAAACCTTGGTCTGTGGTGTCGTCGTTTTCCAAGAATTCCTTTCAATGTCAGATAAACCAATTCAACTGCACTTAATAAGAAGCAGATTGCACTCAAGACATTCATATATCTAATGAAGATTGTCTTTTCCTGAAATTTGAAAAATGTTCAAATTCCTTCTAATTGCATTAAAGACAAAGGCAAATATAATCAGCATTTTTCATCCTCGAAACATAATTGGGCACGATGGTAACTTGGAAGGGTACCAACCATATATCGACCACTTTTAACAAACAAATATCGCGAACGATAAGTAATATATTATTAGCGACCATTTACATCCATTTTAAATCAGTATTATACCGTCCCCTCCCGAAGGAATAAAATAAAAGCTGTCCAAATAAACCTATCTGACCCGCGCTTTGTTCATAATAGAATTCCGAGGGGTTTATTCGATACATATTAGCATAAATGGCGAATAAAGTACCAATTTTATAGGAAATGAAAAGCAGACTGAGCACGCCGGGTAGCGAGTAAGAAGCGCGCGAGATCTAAAGCGAAAAATATTCGCCGATAAGAGCATCACAGACACGTTCCCCGAAAACAGAAAAGTAAAATTTTTTTTAGGTGTTTTATTATTTCATTTATTTTATTATTTCAGAACAAATACATGGAATTAATTTTACTCACCCATGGCCTGGAAACCCAGCAAGGTACATGTCCCACTCCATGACCCAAATGTTGGTTGCATGCCGCCATGACTTCTGGATGTGGTCCAACACATTTAAACATAGCAGGTACTTTGAACCATAGAAAATCCAAAACTGCCATATCTTCGGCATAGGTTGGGTCCTGAAAAATAATTTTCATATTAGAAACGATAAAATTTATATTGAACAAAATTGGAAGATGTCGGGTCAAACGTCGTGTCGGCTAGTAGGGTACACAAAACAACATGAGCCAGCATGTGGCGTCCTGCTCATTTCATTTGCCATCAAAACGATAAGACAGTGAAAAAGTTTGAGTCACAACTTCAGTAAGGAAATGCGAAAGTGTAAAACTATTTAAAGTGACCTCAGGGAATGTACAAAACAACGAAATGCGTTAATTATCCATTTGGCCGTAGATAAAACGTCCACAGCACAAAGTTAATTCCTTATGAGTCAATGGAAACGCAATACTAATCCACCCAAGCAGCGACAACTGGTATCATAGATTCATAGAATATAGACGAGATATTCAGAACATAAAATGTTTTTTCAGAAGTGTTTTGGAACATTTCTAAATATGTTTTCTGAATTTTGTTTCATTATTTGCCTTATTGTTGTACTTCGTCCAGAAAGATATTTCTCCATTACATTAATCACTTTGTCGCGGTCTAGCATCATTTGATTTATCCTTGGTATTGCATTATGAATAAAAATGAACCATCTGAAATGTGATTCGAAAATAATTGAGCCTTTATTGACAAGGTCATTTGTAAAAAAGCTATCTGGCAAGTACACATACTATTGTGTATCTTATATATATCACAATGCGGTCAATACAAATTGTATTATAATTATAACCGCAAAAATGTGCAGATCGATATAGGACGATATGAGTGATATGCGAAGGTATTTTCACGTCAGGATTTGTATTTCATCAAAACATTTCTGGTTTAGTCTCAACTTTGACTATTATTTTCGACTGTAATAAATGATTCACGGTGTTAAAGACAAACAACGTTGGCCGTATGAAACGGTTATATCTGAAGCAGAATGTGAAGTCGTCCTGACATCCACCACAAATTGAACTTTCATAGCGATAAAAATTTGCGAATTATTCATCTGTTTAATTAACTGTATAAGAAAACTACCAATGATGCAGATATAAAACATTGTAATAATATTGCCTCAGAATTTTTTTTTCAAAATCTATGTATGCTCCGATATGATACCGAATCGTTATTGATCGCTTTTAATCTTTCGTTAAGGTTACAATATGAAATTAACTTATTGAATGTGTTTGCTGCTTATCCCATACTGTAATAATTATTCTGCCAGAACCAGTCATGCGAGACCGCCATGATGACATCGTTTCCTTCATAATACACGTCGTCTTGTCGTCGTCTAACCATTACGTGGTAATTATGACGTGGTATCGAATTACGAGAAGGGTGGCGATTAGAAAAACAAAAGAATTATTTAGTACAATACACCGCAATACGCAATCTCGAGTCTAATTCTCTTCGTCGGCAAATGGCAAACAACTATATGATAATTAACGACGACAACTTAATGATGGAATTACAAAAATGATTCGGCACTGGGATTACGAAGCAAACCATTCATGACGATGTGTCTATGTCACGTGACTATGCCAGTGATGACTCATGAGATTACTTGACCCACTTTTTATTGACGAACAAAGAATACTAAATACTCTCCTATGGATGTGAAATCGAGGGCCGTTGAAGGATTCTTTGGTAAACTAAATATTGTAAAGCAGTAGCGCGAAAAAAAGCGTTTTTCTATTATTTTTGAAATCTTACGATTGCCCAACTTAAAATTTGGATTGTTGACCATCCACTACTCAGCGGGATCCTCGAACCAGCAACATTTGCTATCAACATTCATTTCACCTCCGACATGATTTTGAATTACTGTATCATTGAGTCAATTATCAAGTCAAAGTAATTTCAAATCGATTGATCAGTTATCTTAGTGGTTGACAGTCTTGCAGACTAGAAGAGATTCAGAAAGTTGAACATTACAATTCGTGCGAATAATTCGTGATTTACCAAGCCTTGTTTAACACGTGATCTTTATACGAAACGAATCACCTCTACCACGCTAAGTTTTTTGAGGTCCAATTTTGAACAATGGTTAATTCGAGTTGACCAAATATGCTTCATGTTTGTTAGGTAATCAATAGATATTACGAAATTATTTTTAGATTTTTTTAAAATAACGGTCTGAATAACCAGTAATTGGCACTGACATTCCCAATAAACCGGAAGCAGACGTGAATAGGTGTTAACTAATCTAAATCCGAAGATTTCGAACGTAATAAACATTAAAATGCAATTTAAATTAGTTGTAATAAACCATGTATATTCTCCAATTCAAGAATTGATAATATATGTTCAAAAATTACCATTTATATCATGTAAAATCGGAATGGAATCGCAGGTTTTCATTTTCGAAATAGTAACACCAAACATAGATTATTAAACAATTTCGCAATACTAAATTCAAAATTTTCGAATATACATTGAATTACGCGTTTCTCCAAAGAACATGACGTATTCCATATTCAAATTTGTTTCAAAGATCATTGGTAATAGAAATTATTCATGGTCGGTCATCTCTGTTTTAACTCAAGATATCATAAGGTTGTAGCTTCGGCTACATAATAATAAGAAGCTACATAATAATAATTAAAATTACCGGTGATAATATTGCAACGTTGACGTTAATTTTTAAAGGACAGTTAATCACAATAATAATCTAACGTTCTTGTGTAAGACATCGCAAACTGAATAAGTTCGTAGTTTTCAATATTTTGGCAAGTAAAACAAGGAAATGCGATCTTTTGCGTAGACAAAAATTGTGGTCGTTTACCACGGAATAACATTACTACATTCCAAAAAAGGCAATGATCTCACATTTGTGGAGAATAGTCAGATTCATACAATGAGAAGTTTCAAATATTACGCAATATCGTCAAATATCGCGCAATATAAATAGAGCGATAATAGCGAGTGATGATTGCTACTAGGATTATTTATAGTAATACATAAACTGGTAATAAGCAAAACGATGTAGTTTATGAGGTCTATACAGATCTTTCATTCATTGCCCCGATTATGATTGTATTCTGTATAGACTGACTGAATCGCTTGCTTTTTACCTACCAATTGTGTTGATCTGGCATTGTTGATTAACAACAAAAATTGAACTTACCATGAAATGGAAGAGACCGTAAGCCAAGTAAATAAAAACTGCCTCCAGCGCTAATCGAACGATCACACTCAAATAATATGCGTAGTGGATTTTCATGGTATATGGAATCTAGAATAAAAATAACGGAGAATTAATTCATTTCAACAACTGAGCTTGGGGGTAATTTCCAACAAACGCTAACTCACTCAACTCTTTTCGACATTTGATTGCGCAACAGGCATATTAGCACCTTAATGTCAAGTCAATGCTAACAAAGAAATATGTGTACAAATTATAGGATATAGACGTGCACGTGAGACAAAGCACTGGTATGTCTGAACCAACGGCCAAATTGACATACAAAATGCACGACCCATGTCAATCGAAAATAGGATTCGATTTTCTCACCTCTTTTAAATCTCCACCGGAATAGACTTTCTTGAGTTTGACATTTCCAATACTCTTCTTCCGCCTGGACATCTTTTTAAAATCTTTTTCCATTTTTGGATTGTCCTACAAAAAAAGTAGTGAAAATATGAAGTCAAGTTCAGGTCCTTAACTAGAACGGAACGCATCGCATTTTGCTTTTAATGATTATCACCAATCCATGCAGGAAAACGTTTAATAACCGGCTGAATAGATGTATCTTCTAATCTACATGGATATGTAAATTACAAATCGAACACAAGCTTAATATTCGCCGTGTGGGTAACGACTAACGAGCCGTAGTAATGGGCAAAGTGATGAACGTTTGAACTACTGTAACGAAAAAAGGTGTCTGGTGTTACATGTCATCTATAAATTTGTTTTTTTTCCAAAAAAAATAGAAATTAGTATCGAAAATTTGTCGAATACATGGGAAATTATATAAGACAACATAAACTATGTCTGGTCTAATGAAGTAATTTGGAACTAAAAAATCACGAATAAGTCATTTATCATACTGTTGTCAACAGCTTTTATCCAAACTAACCGGAAGCACTAATCGATGAATAAGTTCAGGGTAATAGCTTTGAGATTACATTGCAATAATATAATAACTTGGGAAATAAGTTATGACCATGTAGAAAGATCGAATCAAGAACCTGCTGAAATCCCGGTTATTTTATTGTAAGCAATCAGGATTGACAGCGGCTGCGTTAATCGCAGGATGCTGGTCTGGCATATTATAAGATCAAATTTATCAACCTTCGGTACACATGATAGACGATGATTGATAGTCTGTGGCATTTCACATGACATTATTGAAACAGAATTATAGTGGCTTACTAACAAAGGCAACACACCAGGTTTGGATCAGAAAGGCAACATTTTCATTTTCGATACTTTTCGCGGAGTCTGTGATGTACAAAAAAAAAAGAGAATATTCCATATATTTGACTTACAATTGGTTCAAGGTCACCTTCCTCCAATTTTAATGCTTCTTCCGCCTTTTTTAATTTTTCGATCTGCCCCGTGACACTCATCGAATAAAAATGGAAAAACACTGTGGGCGTCGCTACTGCCAACAACTGTAAATATATATGTGAAAATAAAGATTTGAATATGGTTTGTATATAACACTTAGCGATGAATTAGACGGTTAACAAAATCCAATCCAAAATCCAGAACTTGGTCATACAAAAAACCTAGCCAATATATTCTTGATACTGATTAATTCGGTGATTTCATAATCGGTCATGTGAAATACCAAAAGCCGTGCCTAACGACACATTTTATAATTGTGATATGGAGAAGGGAATTAATTCGGGTGAATTCTGTAGCATTGCTAATCGTGCAACATAGATAAAACACGCTATATTTGGACGTTCTCCCGTTTCCCGTGCTTGGCGATAATATGAATCCTTGCGCATGCGACTTCGTAATCCAGCTGATGTAAAAAGTAGGTCATCTCGAACAATAGTCTCAGTCGGCACTTCCGCAGAGTCGCAATAGCACCCCGCACAGATTTCATAATTTTGTCGTTTCTTTATTGTAATTGGAGACTTGATACAGGGAACAGGATGAAATATTCCCGGCTCAGTATACAACTGGATCTTATGTATACTGGTTAAAGCTAAGCGCTATTTCGTCGATACGTCATTAATGACATCATCAAAAGTTGCGTGTGTCAAACAAGTTAGGAAACGTTGAAAACAGCCCGCGACTTAATTTGAATACGATGGCAATATTGCGTCATGATTTGCAATTTGTAGTAATTTGACTCATTTCGATGTAATCGAGGACAAGGCGGTCACAGCATGAATTATTCCAAAATAACATGCTATAACTGGCATTGACATGAAATGAATGTCTAATAAGACGCACCATACTGAAGTATTGTTTGCTTGTTTACAAAGAGAAAATGCGTAACGTTCAGCGAACAATCATTAATTAGGGTCAATCAGCGCGTTTTGAGCACAGCAAACATCCGAAATTATCAGATAGGAAAATTAATCACACACAATATAAAATGGGTTGATAACAGGATAATCCGGGAAATGTGTCAACGTGAAGAGGAGTAAACCAGTTTTACATCTGGTAACAGACAACCGACTGATGACATCCAAAGTGGCTCACTTTTGTCTCATGAAATATAAATCATTGCAACAATGAAACGGGTCTTGACTATATACTACGAAGCGAAGTTTAAAACGAGCGCAACGTGAATGTTTTGCATATACTTTCAAACACACGCGCATTGGAAGCGGTGCGAATATTTGCGACAGTCGTGCATAGCATTATTAAAAAATCACCATCCGAAAATTCGTGATCGACCACTGTTCCAGAAGATACATTCGACGGTGACAGCGCAAAAATAGTTATTGACTGGACAATAGCATAGCGAAATTCCATTATTTCATCATGTGGAGCATTTGTCACATTGCTGCAAATGAGGCTTTTGGACAATACATACTCAATATGCTCACCTGAAACGCCCAAAAACGTATGTGAGAAATTTTTGAAAATACATTGAAGCACATATTCGTGCAACCAATTTCTTGTGTACTGCATTTGAAGGCCGACTGTTCATCACCGTATACTGAAATTTAAAATAAGTAATATAATTATTCAAAGAGCTTATTTCCTACAATCCTGCAAACTTCAGGCCCATTGAAACTTTCTTTTCCAATCCTTCAAAAACCCTCTTAATCGGATGAAGTAGCTGAAGACCAATTGTACAACTTCGGTTTTGTATCACCGAGTACTTTTTCGCAAATTAAAATATTTCTTCTAACTCACAAAGCACTTGTCATGTATAGCGAATACATAAAATAGACATGGTTGATGTATGGGAAACATCCTCAAATGGCCATTTCGATCTAAAAGTCAATACCTATTCAAAAAGCGACGATTGCTTTGTTTACCCCACGTGTCGAATTTAAATGGAGATTTGTAACCTAGCGGGCTGCCGGAAACTTCCTAATTTCAGAAAACGCCTTTTGACGAGCGCCCTTCGAAGACGGCGGCCTCTGCTGCTCGTAAACACCCAGAGGAGTCTATAGCGCATATACAATTACACACCCAAATGTAGCCAGGTTTTTTGTACTATCTTGTAGATACCAAACCATGCCAGCTTTCTGCAAATAATTGAAAAATAATTACCTGCTCCGCCTATCGTCACAACGACGATTAATCTGAATACAAAGACGCAAATGTACCAAAGTTGACCCAGCCATGTACTATATTTCGTCACCTGAAATTCAAACATAAAATAATTAGTCCATGAGCCAACGACACACATCCGTCCAGTGGATAATGGACGTATTCAGATTTTTAAATTAATCAACTGAGACTAATGTACAGCGTTTTACTCGATGATTAACTTTGACTGGTGATTCGACTTACTTCCGCACTTACAGCCAAAATAGTCGATGTAATATATATAGTCTGATTATCGTATTTAAATATTCATTCACTGACCTGTTCGGATATCTTTTCCAATAAATGCCACATTGTACGGCCGTACCTTTACTCCTGTGATTTATTCCCAGTTTGTTCAGTTTCCTCGTGCTATCGGTCGTAATGCTAGGCAAAGATTCAGCAATAACCAAATTAACTACGAACAACGCAGTATAGGATATCAAATTCTAAAACAAAGTGGATACAGTTAGGCTTATATATAATATAGTGCTCGTCTCTTATTTTCGCTGCGGTATAATCGTATAATACTGACATCACAATGATGACAATACAAAGATAGATACAATGGTAGAAAGCAGTTACGCACGCGATCATTCATAAAAAGAGCTTGGCGCGCACGAAGAACGGAGTGTGAAAACGTAGACTACTGAGTCGTGTTCTCCCAACAGCGAACGCGTCTCTCTCCCTTTCAGAGATTGTTGATCCGCCGCCTGATTACCTCCTAATAAATACGTAATTTATTGCACATTGTTATCGTAAACAAATTTACATGACGACAACCAAACAAATCTACGCTTTGTGCAGTAATAATTTTTAGCAATTAACATTCAGAATGTTTTATGATACCCATCTGTAATTTACAGCGACGCCGCTTCTCGAATGTGACTTCAATCGAAAATGACCATAGCAATTTCTCTATAGCTGATTAAACTCACTAAAATACACTCGCTGATAAGCAGGCTTCCAGTCGAAAGTACTCCCGTCTCCTCGGGAGTCTTCGTATATGTAAATGATCTGCCTTCTTCTCGCGCTCTTTTTTCGCTCGACGGGATCTCAACTATCGCGGATTTCACTCGCAAGGCTCGAGCATATTGTCTGATAACAATAATCGGTGCTAGAATCGCCGACATCGCACGTCGCATAACGAAAGGCTGAAACGCAAATAACGACGCACAATAGGTGAAAGTCTTTGTACGAAATTTTAACTTCCCTTCCTGATGACAAAATTTTGATACATTCACAATCAAAGTTACTGAAAGGTAATCAACCCCCATCAAATTTTTTGAAACTTGCGCCCAAATAAACCAGGGGAACACTATATTCCAGAGGCAACAAGCACAACTACCCCATTTCTGCAGAGTGCTTTTAAAAATTATCCAAAGTCGAACTGTTTTGTCCAATATCCGCGGATCCTAAAAATTATACTGAAATATTCTACTGCGATTTTATAAAAAATCCAAACTTAAAAAATATAACCGTTTCAACAAATTATATATACAATATAAACTTATAATAACGTTACTAGGTAACTTATGCCTAGATAAATTAAACGGTATTTTATAATCAACATTCACATGTATATTGTCGATCAATGAAGCGCGAAATATAAATGTTTTGAGAAGTTACCAAATCTAGGAAATCACCTGATCACATGAGGTAAGAATGCGGTCGCTGTTTACCAGACCCAAAGAATCCGATAAATTATTGTCCTAGGTAATTACCCTCGTAAAGTTTGAAAATGTTACTATACAAAACGGTTCTTTCCAACATAATATAATTTTATGGCTACTGGACCATATATAACACCCAAGGGTTATTGCCAATGTCAACGAAGCCATATACTTCTTAACCTCACTAGTCTGGATTTCCCCGACTTTTCCGCACTGAAGTATCGGTCTTGCTTGTTTCGAATAGAACCATAATTTCTGAAATGTACCGTATTTCTTTATTGAATTCTCGAAAAATTGCCTTTGAGTAAATGGAAGCTGAAAGTTACAATTTCAGTTGCGCGGCGATATTCCACCATAGACGGAAAGGAATCCAATATTCAAATAGGACCTTATTTCTATCAAATATAAGAGGTAATCTGGATAAATAACGTACGCCAGTTATTGAATGAAAAAGCTTATTTTTCAACTTATATTCCAACAAAAAAATAAATTTTCCGTAAACATGGTTCCATTCGAAATCCTCTGTTTCGTTACTAATAAATCGTATGTATCTGACACAAGGCCATATTAACTGAAGCATCTATAAATATATATGATCATAATTGCATTATGCTTCGTTTACACTTACAGCATGTACTTCCGGTTCATGAATGACAGTTACTTAGACAATTTACCACAGTTTTATTATGTTAGTCAATGTAATATTTTCGCCAATACTTTTATATCATTAAAGGTAAGTACAAACAGAATGAATACCAGGTTTAGACATCGATAGATTTGGTCTAATAAGACATGGCCAACGAGCATCCATCTAGATTAGGTAACTTTTGAAAAAATCGGGTACGATTGCTCTCCAAATATAAAATTCTGTCTCCTAAATATTTTGTAAAAGTGCTTTTTTAACAAGCACCTTTGATTTTTTAAGTGTTGGTTTCGAGATACACAATACCGCGTATGTACACATTTGCGTGTGTCAATATCACGATTGTTATTTTAAGTACTGATAGTATATTCGTATTTCAATCCCATATGTATTAATAAGTTCTATTCGGGAAATTTTGGGTGTTCCCTTTCGTCCACTCGAAAAAGGGACAACACTATCCGAAAAATAATTTTTGGGGGAACCTATTCATATCATCTTTAAACTTTTATATATTATTTTCTCTGTGATTGCTAGAATTAATAAATGTTTATCAACTGTTACGTTACTACTGAGCGAAATCTGGTAATTTTATAATGTGGGTACGATTAATAGACTACAATAAACTATATCTCTGACGCATGATGACTGAGAAATTAAAACTGTCTAATGAACATACATACCCTGGTTTATTATTCATAATATCAATTAGGCTTAAGTACAATATACCTAAAAGAAAGACCAACATATCACAACAGTTTTGCGTAGGTTTCATCTTCTATAAAAACCTTTTGAATTTAGATGTTAATTTTTAATGTTACAAAATAAATCAACTATTAGCTTGCTGTATGCAAATTTGTTTTGAAATTTAAGATTCTTTTACTAAATTTCTTTTTTATTCGAGTTTTCCTGGTGAAATTTATTTCCCATTTCTCTCTGAAGTTATATCTTATATCTTTATACCTCAAACCCGTTCAAAAAAGTCTAATTTCACGAATAACCATAATAATATATCTCTTTTTTTACTTTTAATAAATTACTATCACCGAACAAATTGTTTTTAATAAAAACAACATGAGTGTTACGCAATTCAGCTACATTATTACACTATTGCGTTCAACTAAAGACTGAAACCGCTCATTCATTCTGACGCAACCAGTGGACAAGCAATGGACTTTAGAGCATATTGTAGCCAAAAATGGACGGATCAATCTAATTTTAAACAAGCATGAGTCGCCTAGAAATGTAGCATATTCACTCAACTTTTCTCTGGGCCATACAGAACAGCAAATCAATTCTCATTAGCTGCGAAATGGTAGTTTAGAAATAGTTGCACGTATGTGTCATTCATTTCTGATTGATCCGCAGTTCTTCTATATATTGTATAAATTCATATATTCATTCAAACGCTGACTTTGGGAAAATGTCGTGAGCTCCAGATATGACATTTGCATTTGTTCACATTTACACGTCACGTCTACATTCGTAACGAATAGAATTCATAAAGTGAAGTTATCGACCAGTTTAATGTATTATATATAATAAGTGAATGACCGAGAAATAAAGAATCAATCAACGCTGTTTTTTTTATCCTTTTTCTTGGAATAATAGCACAAAAATGCATACTCCATTTTTTGGCTTGATGATCATTTTTCATCCTGATCAAGGTAAGAATAGCCAATGCAAAAAACACTAATCCAATTCTGTAAAATAATCTAAATTCAAAAAAGTCAGTATGGTCAATTGTTGGTTTGGCTGATTCAAAATCTTCCGAGAAGAATTTAACCAAATTCATATTTTAAAAGCGAGGCAGCCAACTTTATTGGTACTCCTTGTCTGTAAAGAGCACTTTTTTGAAAATTTCTTCAATTCAATTTAAATTGTGTTCACATTCTTTGTGAGAATACGGAAGATGTGAAAATGTCTCAGCGATTGAAACTTGAATGTACGAAAATCCGTCTTGATAATAAACTTGATTGCATAGCCTTATTGAAATGGGATTTATTCCGGAGATGACGAGATTTAGGAGCATTAGTTTAATGATCTTAACTAATTAATCTGCTGTGAATATTCGATTTTAGAACCATTCACAGAGGCGATATGAGAGGTTTGATAACAACACCCTAAAAACATGGTACAAGTGACGACATAAATGTGGGTATTGGGTACTCCCGTAGTATGTGTACCAGGTTGGGTTAGGCCATAAGCTTATTCCGATTTTCCTTATTTTAGTCATATTACGAGTTCGGGGACTGTCTGTGTTAGCCAATTGAATACCCCCTGCCCATAGTATTCAGGCACTGTACACAACTTGATGTAGAGCGAACAAAATTAGTTATCTCCGTATTGGTACACAACACACTACACACACTTCTGGGGCGTCGGGAATTGGACACAGAAAGACCGACTTGACATATCTCTCCCCCTTTCACAAACAAATTCCGGATGAACGAATCATGAACAATATTAAACGAGGTAAGTTACATCAAACATAAAGATTTTTTCAGATGTAAATGCTCAACTTGATCTATTATTTGTTTTTACAAATTAATTTGTCTGATACACAAATCAAATAAGGCTTATAACAAAATGGTCTCTGGATTAGAATAGCACGTAACATTTGCAGCAAAATCCTCCAACAGACTTATTTAATCATATGACCAGACTTACAAAAAATCACTTGGGAATAATAATACAGATTAACTCTATGTATTTATTATTCTTTAACGTTTATTGAATATCATTGATCGTTTAATTGGGTGCATTTTTATTTGTTAATCGATTCTGTATTGTCGAGCTATAACATAATAATTGTTATATCTGAGGATAAAAATGATCAATATATGGGGTAATCTCATTTTTTAATTTTACCAAATATGGAGTTATCCACGTTAAATTTATTCTCTTTGTAACAACTTTATTTAGGGCATGATCGATTTTAATAAATTATGCGATTATCCAAGGAAAATGTTATTAAAAGTAAAGTCGATTAATTTTATTTTCTGCGCTAATGTCTTTATGAGCGACGCCATTTTAATAAACCATTCTCATCTCAAATCTGGTAACGCTATTATATTAAGCCTACTTTCATACTAAATCTGGTGTGACATATAATGATAATAGCAAAATGTGATTAAACAAGAACAAATTTACAACTAAGATACCACCGACTGAAAATGTAATATTCTCTCGCTGTATGTTCCTATTTTATTCGTATTCATAAGATCTTTTTACATGTTAATTATGTTTTATTCATTTTTCAAAATCGCGAGAGAAATCGACTAGCATTAAATTGCAGAAAAAACACTGAAAATGTAGCATTTCAATGAGCTTAAGATACTGTCAAGGAGGGCCGAATATGTCTCTAACAAAAGGAGACGACATTATTACCAAAATTAACGTCATTTGAGCAATAATGTACAGTGTACATGAAAATAGCACATGATGTAGTTCAAATATTCGATTCTTCTTACAAAGCAATGCTTTTAACAACAGATTTGCACCCTTAGATTGAACCCTGAACGGAGATCCAATTAATGCTCACGAGTAAATAGTTATAAAACTCGTAATAAATTTACTTCCCGTGTCTAATTATTGAATCAATTGTTCAAGTCAGTGGGAGATCGTTACCCGTCAAAATACATCATTTCCTTGTCTTACATTGAGATCAGTAATCAAATTTGTCATAAGTCACGCATAGGCCAACTATATGTATCAACATTCACTGTCGGCCCAAGCTAGAAGAGGATACATAATTCAAAATAAGCAAATTTAAAGAATGACCGTATGACCGCATATTTTTTCGGCATGAATGAGCGATAATAACTTGTTTATTGTAAACAAGTTTTGTACATCATTCGCATCGTAAACAAGGAATTTATGTTTGTGGGACATTGGTAATTGTAAATTATGTTATTTATTGGAGCGTTGCATATGATAGTAAGGATATTTTGTGAACAACGCTTTTATTGCCGTATAAATATTGCATAATTCGATCGTATCTGTAAACAATTGAACATATATGACCCAACAATTAGATTTTACATTCTGTTATAAATTCTGTTTGTTGTGGATTGACTTGAATTCGCATGGTAATCATTGAGGAACAATTATTTGTTAAAATATAAGTATTATGAGTAAATTTGTTATGATTGCCTTGAACTAAATCATTACAACAAAAACAAATTTTGTTTTTATAGGGCTTGATAGGCTGTTGTGGCGAGCAACACGAAATAGATTGACAGTTATAAGACGCTTTTGATAAAAGCTATAATATCATACGTAACAAAATCTACATTTCTGAAGAGTTTATCCACTTCAGAAAGCGATAGTTAATTTTAATATCGTAATAACATCTACATCTTCTATTGGCACAATTTGTAATTTAGCGTGAGAATAATCCGAACGGACTGTCATTTTGCATTTGTCACGTGATGTAAACTCTATTGTGTAAAAACCAATACATAAAAGCTTGAATTTTAAATTTTATCCCCATGAAACCATTAAAAGTATGTCCCTTGATTAATTTGCCCGAGAGTGTGCAAGATCCATGCTCACTCATTGATTTAATTGCAATCACTAAGCGTTTTAAGATTATAGCCGGTTTGTCAAATAAAATTTAAGAACATAAATACAGTCAAAAACTTCATCCGGAAAAGGTTATGCTAAATATGATCAAGTAACCATGGTACCACCACCACTAAGCCTAGCGCTTCCCAACGAATTTTGTCCAACACCAATGTGTTCTAATCTCATATAGACAATATGAAAATACGTGCATAGTTAAGTAAAGAATGTGGCTTCACGGCTTCAATCTGCAATATACTGACCTTTTTAAGAGAGAGTTTTGGGGCGGCCTATTACATTATCCTGGTGGAATTAGAGTTCCCTTTTCGTTGAACTGTGACAATGATCAGCGTGAAACAGTTTTCTTTTTTTATTTGTATTTTTCCGGATACTTACTCTCCGTAGAAAATAGTACATTGTAACTATATTGTAAAGAGATACGAAACCGTTACATAATTGAAAATATGGTTCAACAGAGTAGCCTCAATCTGTAAACTGGTTTATGCATATTTATTGTGGTTCATTATGACGTAGGTGTGCCACTTCATTTTGGACCTTACTCTAGCGTAAATCTCAGACGCAGTTATAAAATGTTGATTTAGCCATTGGGCTTTCATTGATTCTATTCACTTGAAGGGATATACACATAGCCATTAACCTACTTTCTGATTCGCTGGATTGCGGACTGTTTACTTTATGTTTAAGACTGGCCGGGAAAAGGTCGAAAAGTCACCAGACATTTTTACTAGTAACTGTCTCGCCGAGGAGAAAGTCGCCAATGCTTCACATAGAATCGATTAACAAACTTTTGATTCAACATGATTGTGTTCATTGTTTTATATAACCAAATAAAATTGTAACCTCGAGCTATCCACTATATTGTGTATTCGTAATGAAAATGGACAATTTTTAAGTTATGGTTCAAAAATAGACTAAGTTTCGCACAATAAATGATTGTTATGGATTTACATTTGTGATCGTGAAACTAAGCTAGGGCATCATTTCAGTGTATATTGAAAATATAAGAAGATATATGTAGAAAGTGAAGCAAACTAAATATCCGTCAAGTGTAGGTATATTGACGAAACGCGAATAACGAATCATAATGATGCATACCAGCACTCATATTCAAAATAGCATGAAAGAATACACGATATCTTTAATTTTACATATTGTATTGCTACACAATATATATACTACGGAAACTTATTAATATCTTTGATATTTTTTGGCCTTTTTACGTTGAGAAAAACTCAACATTTTCTTGATTTTCTTGGCTTTAACTTCACTAGGAGTAGGTGTGTCTGTGAACGCACTGGGAGGCGGAGTCTGTGACGTTGAACTATCTTCATCAAAAAACTGTTCGGGTACGGGGAGAGGAAGGTCGTTTTCGGCGAATTCTTGTTGCAGTCTGTTCTCATCTTTTATTCCTTCAAAAGAATAATATATAATAAAGAGAAATGCAACACCCGGTACGATGTATATTGGTATTAATAAGTACTTTGGGCTGCTCTAGATATACCTGTTCCAATATCGTAGTAGGTGTTCCGTTTGGTAACAGATTCAGGTGGCTCTCCATCGTCGTTAGCAACCTTTTCCGGTGGATACTCTGTGAGAAAAAAGTCAAAATTACATTTATTTTCTACGCTCCTCGCAAATACAGGACAAACCAATTTACCTTCATTTTCTTGCTCTGCAGCGCCATCTGTTGACTGGTCCGCTGGCGCTATCCCAAATGCCGTTTGGAACGCTTTCGTCCACCAAGAAAAGTTTTCTGAAAATCATGTATGTTTTGAGGTCTTGAAAATTTACACAAACAAAAAACATTAAAAAATGATTTTCCAATCCTGACTCGTAAATTTTCAAAAATCACCTGCTACATTTTCCTCGTCTGAATCAAACACATGTTCTCCACGAATTTGCCTCACGTGTCGTTTATTTTGATCGTCAATGCTTTTGAGAGTTTTATTTATGTGGTCCATTCTAAAAATAGTATGAAGTACGAGTGAAATACCAACAGAGCAATGTTCAAATATATAGACACAAAGGTCGCGCATAAATCCGTCTTTGCATGAGCGCATTTTTGCTTTGCGAAAACGATCGGCGGACGAGGGAGAGGTAATAAAGTGTTCCAGCAGGTGATAAAAACGACAACACGAACTAAAACAAAATAGCGAAATCTATAGTCCTAAAGGCCTCAGGGGAAGTTGAGGAAAAAAGTAATAGCCTGCTAGCGATTTCTTCCATTTTTGGTTGGTGAAAATTTCGAATTAATTGGTATATTAGATGCATATACCCAACATCAAATAAAATAATCCTAACAGCAATTTGGCTAAACAACCGTAAGTTAATTTGTGCCCAACAATATTATTCCAACACTTATTAATACACAAATTTAAGTTATATATAAAACGAATACCAATGAAATTCTCGGATTACCTGTTCATCCAGTAATCAAAACCTCCTTCCCATTCTTCTATTTTATCATCAAGTTCTTTTCTATCTCTCTCTCGTTGTCTCTTCATTTCACTGACAGGATCGTCTTTCTTTTCCTTCTTTTCACTTCTGTCTCGGAAATGACGTATCCTATATCGTTTTGACCACAAAATCTGAATATATAGAAATAGACAGAATTTTAGGAAATTCTACGAGCTATCAGAATGTTTATAAATATATTATTAACCCCATCAATTATAAAAGATTTATAATTTACTGATAAATATAGCAAAACCGTAACTCATTGAAAACAATGACAATTTAATGTCTGCACTCTGCAAGGTTTCAATTCAAATGGTCTGATGTCTGTTTATCAAGTAGATTATTTTAAGAAGTTTTGAGCATTGAAAATAATGATTCTCGCCTCTCCGATGTGCACCAGTATCGAGATAAGGGATCCCAAAACAAGAAATATAAACATTCCTCCTAGATTTCCGATTCCAAGTCGATTTGCTTCAATATCAAATGTCGCTTCTTTGCATTCTCCCCTGCAAAGTGAAAATAATAAAGAGAAACATTTGAAATACCTATTTTTGTTGTTCTCAATTGTCAGTACGGAATTACCACCTGATAAGCTCGTGGTTTACTGAAGAGTTCATAGAAAGTTTACCAGAAATAACTAAAATTGGACAGGCAACCTATCGAGAGGTCGTGATTCAATACACGATAAAGCTGCCCTATCGGTTTTCTTTCGTTGAATATGAAATTCATTTCTGTTTTATTTCTTGTAGTGATTAATTCACTAACCTGAAATTGAACCACTTTGATTCCAGTTCTTGTAGAGTTCCATCGTCTCTGAGCGAAGCAATAGCGTCATTGAAAACTGGGGTATATTTTGATAGCAATTGAAATGGAAGACCATACTGATATTCCCAGAAACCTTACAGAATGAAAAATATCTGGACATAGTATGAAATATAACAGAAAAGGCGAATCATTCAAACGCGGGTAATAAAGTAACCAACACGTTGACCCAGCACTCTCGCAAAATTACACAGCATTTTAAATTAAAACTTGCGAAAAGATGCAACAACAAGCTTCTCATTATGACTCACATTCTTCTTTTCCGTAATAAAAATATACTTCTTGATCCAACTGTTGCAATGTATAACTTAAAGTTCACTGACGAACGCAAACGACAATGTATAACTTAAAGTTCACTGACGAACGCAAACGACAACCACTCTAGAAGACTACCATAGATAGCTCGCATCATAAACACAAATTATCGACGCAATTTTTAGTTACTAGTTACCTTCTCCGACTCTAGCGTAATCGCAACCGCTTTGTTCCACGTTCGCCACTTCGCCAAAAGGAGCAAGGAAATAAAATCCTTTTTCAGATACTCGCTTTAGTATTTCTTCTGTGGAATTGAAAACATTTTCAGGATTTTCTTGCAAGTAATTCCATACCGTTGTATAAGGTTCTGACGTGGCATGGGGCAGGAAGTATTGGTTTATGTCAGAATCTGCTAAAACTCCGTACGAGTAATGCACCTGTTAAATGTGATATTTACAAATTCTAGTTAATATATTACGACGTGTACAAAATAAAATTAGGAGGATTTATATATATATATATATTATGTGGCAAATTGTTAAAGTTAGCATATGAAGTCGGATTTATGTCGTGGGTTAGGATATACCTAACACTTTGACAAAATGTTAGACTATTCATATCAAGTGAGAATACAAGTGTGAGGCACGAGGAACAGGCGGGGAATGTGGCGCCAAGTGTGGGGAACCAATTAAAATCAGCAGGCTTTACGATTATAGCAGCGAATGCGTGTCATATTACGTGCACTTAGCAAAGATTAGTTTTGCATACAGAGTACACTGATAAATAAAATGCTCTTTGGACCAACCTGTTCAAGAAGGTTCTCCAGGTTACTAATATCTCCTGCAAATTCCTGTGTTAGAAATGCTGTTAGATTCGCAGTGTAAGCAGCAATTACCAACATTGTGAAATACCACCACGTTCCAGTGATTATTCTACCGGCATACGATAATGGCTCAACGTCCACTCCTTGGCCAACAATACCTGCGTATGCCATCCAAATGCTATTCCCAATGCCTGCGAAGGAAATACAGTAAAACTGAAGAGTTCAAACTATCAGTATAGTTTACAACGATAATCTTGTGGTCATAAGGATCACATGTGGCAGTTGCATAAAAAAGAAAGTGTTCGGTATGAATGGTTAGCTTGCTCTTTGTTAAGCTCATACGTAAGCGCAAAGTAATAACAATTTATTTCATTGAATTTAAAAAAGAAATGTGACAACCTAATTTGTTGAAGTTCTCCACGTCAACATCTTCGTTGGTTTCATCAAGTGCTTGCTTTCTCCATTCAAACGGATTAAACTGGTTTACGAGGGCCAACACCACACTAACGAAAACAAGTGATGCCCACAACACAATCCACGAGTCTAGTGTAAACGGTGCAAGAAACTGCCAGATGTTAACTGGTGCTTCGTTCCCTGACGATAGAGTCACCATGAAATGGTATACTTGCTGAAACGATACGGATAGTTCTTCGGTTTCTAGTTTTCCTCCATGAATTGGCCTCTTCTGAAGAAAAAAGTCAACCTGAAAAGAAAGACAAAACTTGTTTTATGTGCTGACGACGTCTTCATGTCCGAGTACATTTGCAACGACCCATCCGTATATAAGTGAAGTAAGAGTATTAGTATTTTGAAACCCGCGTATTCGCTCGCAATTTTATTGCAGTGCTCAAGATTTTTGCATACTAGGGTATTTGCATTCACAAATTTTTGGGCATACTGAAATTTGAAAATCGTACTATGTGTTGAATGCTGATTGGTTTATGCTGTTGCATGTCCAGTTCATGCAACACTGGCACAGAGAGGGGAAGCTGTCAAATTTCTACTACCTCAAAGAAGAAGATATGTATGATGTCTGCACATAGTGTTGATATAGAGCTTTTGAGGCTTTGCCATACGGAAAAATCATATTCCAGTGAAAAGGAACAGTATACATTGGTTTGGATCGACAGAATCTAACCTGTTTTTTCTTCAGCATTCTATTTACTTCGTCATCCACATTCGAGCCATTGGGTCTGTGTTCGGGTGAGTTCAATATATCGTTGTATTCCAGTCTATATTTGAAATTTAACTGCGAAGACAAGGTTACCAACAAATCCATGAGAAAGCCTTCGTACGTAGTTTCATTGGTATTTTCGTTTACGTGCCATTTTACCCAAGGCGGATCCTGTTATGAACATTTTATATTTTTGATAAACTTCTTTGAAACTTAACATGTTTCATAGCTGTTTTGTATAACTTACATAAACTATTCCAACAACGAGAGGTTCTTCTGGAAAAACAATCGCTGCTTGAACGAACGGAACATATTTAGGCTCGAATCCATACTTCCAGTATCCTACCTGCAAAATAAAATGAAAGATAGTGTAATGCGGATAAGTGATGAAACAAGAGAGCCACGACCAAATATATGGGCACGTCTGTTCGCAGTACAGTACGGTTTACCGTACCGTCAGATTACAGTCTACAAATATATTCACACTAAGCGAAGCAGTACAGTCGGACACAAAATGGCGTCCGATATCCGTAGAACGTTCGGTGACGTCATAGCAAACAAATCTCACAGAGCTAACAGAAATATTTGAACTAAAAAAAGTAATAATATTCTGAAGAAAAATTTTATCTGTAACCACTGAAAATTTCAGAGCAATTGGTCCCGTAATCAAAGAGAAAAACGACTTTTTAGATTTTCCACCTGTCCAAAAAGTGTCCAAGAACAACAACAAAAACGTAATATTGAAACGATCGCTATGTCCACTACGTGTCCAATAAGTTGAAAAATAATCACGCATTCACCTTCAGTAGGTAGGCTACCGTTACGCTACACAGCAACAACAGTAGCGAGAACATGCTAATTAGTTGTTACTATTCGTGCATTTTTCTGGCTGGCTGAGCGCCAAAGCGGGACTTTTGACCAACCGGTCGGGACGCCGGGGCAAGAGGATAAAAAGTGGGACTGTCCCGCCTGAAACGGGACGTATGCAGTGGTGGGATTCAAATTTTTTGTCAGCCGGTTCCTTTACAAAAGTCATATTTTTCAGCCGGTTCTGTTACAAACAGAACATTGACATTAACCAGTAATGTTAACCGGATCGGTGATCTCATGAAAATCCGTGAGACGGTTCTATAGAACCGGTGCAAACCGGCTCAATCCCACAACTGGACGTATGGTAAGGTAACATTTAGGGTATAGTAACAATATCCCTAGTCGATTTCCTGCAGAATTCTGTTCGTCGACTATAAAAGAATATGCTAACGGAGAAATTGTGACATTCCATTTTTAGCAAAACAAAAAAATCGTCCACATTTATAAATGAACCCATATTAACCATTTTTGATGGAAATGTAACGAAAACTATTTCAATAACCGTTAACCTGACACTTACAAAGCTCACGTTGCCTTTTGGATTGCCGAGATGATGTTCAAAATATTGAATTCGTGTAGGTCCATGATCATGCAACCATCTCATATATATCTCGGTGCATGTTCCTATCGAATAAAACTGAAAATAGATACAATGAGAAAGCAATGTAGAAAAATATAGCCCTCTTGAAGCTCGTATGCGCAGCGTTTTAATGGCCAAGAAACCCAAAGATGGAAGTTCGCTTGGTGGGGTATTTTTGTAATCAGCTAAATTTTAGTAAAAAATACGGTCTCCAGGAACCCAGAGGAGATATGAAAAATAGGATGTTTTTTGTTGTGTAGCGTTAAAAATGGATTTGATTGGACGACGTCGGACTAAACTGTGATGGAAATCGCTCGTGAAAAATTGAGAACAAAACCTCTATAAACTTATTTATTGAAGGAAAATTACATTTTGAGAAATTTCGACGCTTTTTGCACCCTGGTCTATCCCACATTGTTTGTTGTCAGATAATGGAATTGCAAAGCAATCTTCAACAATTGCATTGTTACATGACCTTTTCATCAGATTTAGAGAATCCGTAGTAATAGCTGTGAAATATAAGATTGAATGTATTAATATTAGAAATTGAGCTTTCCGCTAATTTTCCCAGTAATGTTTATGAATATGTTGTTTCTGAAATATTATGAAAATCTGCATGTTAACGTCGTTTGCGATACATTTCAGCTTGCATATATTCAAAACTTGCCCTGAAGTTATTAAACACCACTTTTTCGTGTTCAGTAACAGAACAAAGTAACATTTGCTGTAGTTTTTTTAGATAACTTTTTCCCAAGATCACTCCACCGAAGCTCATTTTACCTGTTATAACCGCATCTCTTGCAACTCTTTCCGGTGAACCAAGATTAAAATGATATTCAAGAACTTTTCGGATCGTTTGTGCACTAAGTAGAGTCAATCTGACACTAGATTCTAAGAAATCTTGCAGAAGAAACGGGTGTGTTTCCTGTTGAGTAAATGTACAAGATATTTGTAAATATTAGATATTTATACAATGTCAATTTTTACGAAAAAAAACTCGATCTATAAGATTTTTTGTTACATTGATGAGCCGCTTATTTTTAGAGAGTTGTAAACGTAGAATGCTTTTATTACCTTAACTAGAGATGCACTGATGTATCGATATATAGGCCATTTTATCGTTATTTGTATCGGTATCGGCTAAATGTAGACCGATATTTCCGATATATATTTAATTTTTTGATCTGATTCAGAATGTTTTAAAAGATAAGCTATCGTGCTACAAATATGAGAGATCATGTTCGCGGTATAACTCTGAGCCATGCTCACCCCACCCTGCGAGTATAAACGGGAATCCGGATTCTTACCTGTTTTAAGCTATTTTATCAGCCAAACTAGCTCGACTAATTTGGCTATTTTTGCGGTCAACTTTTTATATTGACATCTTCAATATTCCATGGTAATTAGAAAGTAATATATCAGGGGTAATAAATCAATATATGAGGGGATTTTCCAGTGGCGGCGCGTCAATAGGGCCGACCGGGGCAATGCCCCGGTTGTTTTTTCGGTATAATAAAAAATATTCGAAAAATACCTCAATATCGGTTGCACAGACTGTCTATCTACACTGGCCATATTCTCCCGACATGGTTCATTTTTCGTTCGCAAAGCCTTCTCCGAACGTCGACGGGGCGACGCCGATTTTGCCCCGGTTGCTCATTGTATATCGTATTCTCTCTTTTATCTTCCACTCGCCGCGTTTGTCTCGTTTGTTTTCTGTTTCTTTTACTAAATCATCGGGGCTAGCCCCAAAAATATGACGACACAATGCCGAGTTTGCCGACGTTTCTTACAAAAACGTGTTGACATATTCACGCATTCCTTCTCGTTCGTTGGTTGCTTGAAGAGTTGACAGTTTCCTCGCCTTCGTTTTTGTCGCTTGTTTCGCTATTTGAATCAGTTAGAGATCTTTAGTCCATTTGCTTTCGATTTTCCACATTCCTTTTGAGCTCCTCACTTCTTTCCGGATTCGCATTTCTTAGCCTTAGACCTCATAATGAATAAGGTTGATGCACTACTTCGCACTCCGTTTTCGCAGCTGCCGCTGGAACAAAAATTAGAGGTACAACGTCTTGGGCCTTGGGCCTTGGGCTCAAAAAATTGTTCACTGGAACAATCCCATGACGGAGGAAAGCGTCGGCGTACATTCTGCGCAGAAACTTGGTATAAAAAACACGAATGGTTGTGCTACAGCGAGGACAAAAATGCACTTTTTTGTTTTTATTGCCTACTTTTTGCTACCGCCCGTGACTCACGTTGGTGTAAATTTGGTTTTAGAGATCTTAAACATCTTTCCGAGCGTGCCAGGGATCATCAATCTTCTATGGAGCATCTGGACAATGCAGTAAAATACCGAACATTCGGAAATGTTAATATTGCAGCACAGTTGGATGAAGGACGCGCGGTTTCTATTCGTCGGCACAACCAAAACGTCGAGAAAAACCGCCATGTTCTCGGTCGATTGATAGATGTTTTGAAGCTCATTGGTTGTCACGAGCTGTCCCTCCGTGGGCACGATGAACGGGCTGGCTCTTCTAATAGAGGGGTATTTTTGGATATGGTGGAATACACCGCATCCCTAGATGCAGTATTGAGAGATCATCTTGATGCCGAAACTGTTTCGAAAGGGACATCTAAGGATATCCAAAATGATTTGCTCGACTCAATGTATAAAATTTATTTACAACATTTGGCTCTGGAAATTGAGAATTGCCAGTTCCTTTCGATTCAGTCTGACGAGACAACTGACATCACGTGCGTTTCCCGACTGGCTGTGATTTTTCGGTTTGTGAAAGATGGTAAATCTACCGAGAGATTTCACAGCTTGGTACCAATCGTTGATCGCACGGCTTGCGGGATATCGGCTGTACTGCAAGAAGTGTTACAGACTAACAACGCGAAGTCAAAATTGATAGCTCAACCTTATGACGGCGCGGCAGTCATGAGTGGGTCGAAACATGGTGTTCAAGTTTATATAAAAGAAGATTTTCCTCATGCGCATTTTTTACATTGGTATGCACACCAATTTAACCTCGTTATTAAAAATATGTGTCTTGATACCCCTCTCGTCCGTATATTTTTTGCAAATGTTTCGGGGTTTTCTTCATTTTTTTTCCGTTTCGCCGAAGCGCTCTGACCTCCTTCGCAAGATATGTAGCCGCCGTCTCCCAGCTTGTGCACCAACACGCTTGAACTTCCAATCACGCGTGGTGCAGGGCGTGTCCGAAATTAGGTCTGAGCTCATTGAGTGTTTCAATGGCATTCAGAGCTCTCCGGTTTGGGACGAACGCTCTGTGAGGGAGGCGGCAGGTCTGAAGCGTCATATGGTGAGTTTTCATTTTTTCTCTCTTTTTCAATATTCTATCACGTGGATGTATTATACGGCGCATTGCAGTCAAGGCTAATGGATGGAGCGTCTGTGCAGTCGTGTATTTCAGACTTCTGCGATGCTGTATCTCGTATCCGGGAAACAATAAAATACGACGACACATGGAGTGCTTCTTTACGCCGCGGGCAAACAACGCAGCGTTTGATTTTGTCTGCAAAGGAATGCTGTGACATTCTGGTGAATCAAATAAGCGATCGTCTGCGCACTGAACACCTTGCCGCGTTCTCTTTGATGAACCCCAAAATTTTTCAAAATTTGCACGTCAATTTCCCACCATTTGTTGGCTACTGTCTCCAAATTTTACCCCATGATAAACGTGGGTAAATTGGAAAATGAATTGCGATGTATATACACCAATCAAACTTTTTTGAACATCACATCAACTTGCGCGCTCTATGGGTTCCTCATAGATAACACTCTAGTAACTACCTTTGCGGCGTCTGCAAAATTTCTGGACATCATTTTGACGACGCCTATTTCTTCCGCCGACGCAGAGCGAACATTCAGCACGCGGAAGCGTATTAAAACGTATCTCAGAAACACAATGAAGCAAGATAGATTAAATTCCTTGGCTGTTTTATCCATTCTCAGAGACGTTATTTCTGGGATGCATGACTTTAATCAGCGCGTTATTGAGCATTTTGCTTCCAAGAAACCGCGGCGTGTTGCATATATGTTCAAGCAGTAGAAGTCTAGCAGCATATATATGTATGAGTGAGCGACGCATGTCCTTATCTTTGCATTACCTTTCCTTTCTTCATAGTAACGTTTTAAACCTTATTTTAGGTTTTGTCTGCTTTCCCGAAGTTTCTGTTAATATGTCATTGTATTTATCTGGGTAAATATTGCCTTTCCTTTTGAAAGAGGTTTCAAAATAAACTATGTCTATATTTATTAATCCCTTGACTTGGACCGGTTTTAAAGACACTTTCTTATCGTTACAAATTGTCGCTTTTGCCGATTGGTTGTTACCGATGGAATGATTTTTATACTCATAAAATGATGGGAGAACTTACAGCGCTCATCCTGTCCCCGTAGATGGGGGTGACTTGGTCCCGCAGTAGCTTGCCCCGGTTGTCAAAATGACCACGCGCCGCCACTGGGATTTTCCAATGTGTGAAATACAAAATACGACGGTATATTGGCACAAAATCCTGCTCACGCAACTTAATGTATTAGCTTGATATGATGAGTAAACATTTATTTATTTTACACCGTCCATAGTAGCCAAACAGCTGTGCGTTTTCTAATCGACTAATCACCGAGATTACTAAAGGTCACTGCACAATGCATCTGAATCAGTTAATGCATCTGGTTCACAATCCGGAATTTTTTAATATTTAACATATCTCCTTTTCAAGCTAAAATAATATGCACTATCAATATTGCTTGTCTGCCCTGTACACTTAAGGTAATAATTACATAGTATCGGTATAAGAATATCAGCAATTTCGGCTTTTTAAAGTATCGGGGTATCGGTATCGGGGGCAAAAGTGGTATCGGTACATCTCTAATACAAGCGTTCAATTTTTTCAAATTGTCGCCTCAAATCGGATTTTTTAATAAGCATTGAGAAGTTGCACAAATTTATTGAACACTGCTCTCTATTTTCAAATTGTATGCTAACAAGCATTTTTGTCCAGAATTTCACAAAGCAGGCAACACACCTTGACTTTAAAAACCTTTTACATCTTAACACACCGTTCCTCGCTGTACCGGCAGATTTTTGCCAATAAATATGCTAAAATAAAGAAGACCATGAAATATTTACCATATTTGGAACAATCCAATGATTCACTTCACTGACCATAGACAGAAAGACAGCTTTTGTCATGACTGACGCAGCAAGTTTGTAATCGCAAAGCAATATGTACGTTCTGTATCCAAGGAGTCGAACAGACTAAATGATAAAGTTGTCTTCAATTCATAGCAATCTAACTTTGTTAAAACTTTTGCAAATTACTTTTAAGAGTTTCCGTCAATGATATTTTAAACATCGATTTAACTTAAACCAAGTTACCCCACCTTCAGAATATCCCACGTTGCATCTTCATTTTCTGGTATAACATACACTTGTAAGTTAAGTCCTCGTTGTCTTGCAACGTCCAAGTCTTGATAACCAAATGCCAAATCTAAAAAAAAATTTGAACTTTTGTATCAATTATATTTATCAACTGATGACCGTGGTATAATTGCTCAATGCATTAGTGTGGTAGACAAGCAGAATCCATATTCAAATCAAATATAAATATTTGCATATTTACTTATGTAAATTACAGCCTATACGAATGATGTAAAAACAATCCATTATCTTTGTGATATCGTCATTTTATCACATAGTGGAATATATTTGGAACTTGATGTTATAGAGATATACCGAGGAACTCAATACCTTCGGAACCATCATAAAAAACTGCTGCAGTTTTCCAGTCATATTGTGCAATTCCGTCATACATCGCTCTCATGACGTCATAATGAGATGGATACATGTACATCAAGTAGTCGTCAAATGGGTCGCAGTGCTGCAAGAATAAGCCATTGGACAATTTGGAATATTGTTATTGATATTTTATGATTACAATTAAATCATCGCATTACGTACATCCCGCATCATTCCTATGAAAAAAACAGTGACAGCTTTCTTTAATTCAACCATCGCAGTGCAGTTGATTAGTTGAGTCATTATGAAGAGGCTTGAGACTTTTGCTTGATTTACTTCACCTGGAAATTTAAATACAAGACATATGAAATGGTCGTGATATGCTTTATGTTCTGACAACGACAGCAATCTGGCGAGAAACTAAGTTTGACCGAGTCAGTAGCGGTCATCTATGTTTGTATAAATTGTGACTTTATGTCTACGACATTACCGGATTTATGGATCAAATCCATGTTTAAGACCTCAGATATCTTTTATCTAAAATCATGCGCCTCTTAAAAATACCAATCTAGGAAACCAAATATTTATTATCTGCGTGAACTTATTTTAACTTATCTTGTAGGATCAATCTAAAATGTTGTCAAATCTTTAACATATCGGTGCTGGGCGTCGCTAAATTGCCTAATTGACTGTAAACGGTGTAAACATAATAATGAAAATAAGTTAGATTTGATTTTGTGCATTTCTGTTGTACAAATATAATCCAAAAACATTGTATCATATATGGCTATATGCTATTTCATAATGTTATGCGGACAATCTCAATTTTTTTAATCAGATCTGAAAAATTCAATATAAATTGATGACAATAAATTGTCCTTCTGATCTAAACCGATTTTGTGTGATTTTACGCGCAGTTGACTGTAATAACTGAACGGTCTGGGGGATGTGCCCGCAATCACAATGTGACGCACGTACGTTGAATTCCGGAGGAAATTCCTTGTGAAACTGATTTCAATGCCAAATATAATATATTAAACAACTTTTACATGGACTTATGGAAGCCAAAAAAGGCAGTTTAGGCAGGATTATTCGGAAAGTTGTCATGTAACCAACTGTAAAGCTTTAATATGACCAATTTTTTTATATATATATATGTTTTACTTGGAGGTGGCATATGAGAAAAAGAACAGTCATGAAAATTAAAACCGTAATTAGTTGGACAATAAAAGCCAGGCAAATAATATAAAAGTTTATTGTATTTCTTGCGCTGCTATTAGCGTAACCTGTTTTGGTCTGCCCTCACGAGATTATGTATAAAGATAGGCGATATCTCGTTAGATGGAAATCATTAGATTATTCAGATATTTGTGGTATACTTTGTCACTTCTAAGACACCACTCAGAAACGCTCGTTTCAAATGACCTATTTCAAAATCTGTTGACAAAAACATTTGTACAGATACCCTGATCGAATACTAATTTAGTATTTCTATCAAACAAATAAGTGTTTTACTATAGTTCATATGCAAACTATAACTACCAGTGAAAGCCTCATTTTATCTTTATAAGCTTTCAAATTATTTTTATCAAAATTTAATGATAAAATATCTCATGTATAACTCTTTCACAACGAATGGCAATTTACTGCAGGGAATGTCTTACCTACTATATTGGTCATCGTTCTCTGGTCAAACAGAATAAGATTAACTTCTAAATCCGAATTGTCGATCGCCTTCCTGAAACTTGGTAACGAACTTTCATAATATTGATCATATATTATTGCAGTGTCGATAAATATCGTTCCTCCAAGAACAGTTGAGTTTATGGTATTTAGCAGAATTGTTAAAATAATAAAAAATCCTTTCATATTGTAAGAAATTGTATTCCTAATTGATCACGACCTGTAAACAAGGAAGAAATTAAATGAACTGTAGAGCAGAGATAGATGTGTAAATCTTCAGATACCAAGAGACCAGGGCACAAATATTTGGTAAATATAAATATTTACGCGTAGCTCTCAGTCAACAAAATTAGGGGTAGCACAGCGAACACCAAGAAGTCCCTACTTTATTGGAATTTCGGAAACTGAATTTACTCCTCCCTTCAAACCTCTACATTTCTAAGCTTAAGCATCTGAAGTGTTGTTAGTCCACTTATAACTGAAAGTGTTGACTAATTATGGTTTTAATTATAGTAAAATTTGTTTCCATGGTGGCAACGCTGATTAGGATTCTTGTTGCCTCAATCCTGCCGTTGCCCCGACAAAGTTTCATTGAGGCGTTGAGTACTTAATTGTTATTCAACGGACCAATTTTGTAGGGGTGTTGTATACGGAAACTTATATTCATACCAATCATAATAAAGATTTAGAAATCCATATTCGTTGTATTAATATACACATGGATTGACGTCAAAAGTCAAACGGGCATCCATTTGAATCGAAAATAGTATGTTAATCGCCATGATATTGTAATAAATATAAATAATTAACTTCGTCCTGAAAATTTGCTCCAAACATATTTCTAAATTAATGAATTTGCAAGTGTCGATTTTGATATTTCGAAGTGGTTTATGATGTAAACATATTTGGGTTATATAACGATGAATGCTAAAACGGTTTCATTGTAACTAATATGTATTAATAGCAGATAGCGGAGTCTATACCGTGAACAGCCACCATTCGGCACTACAATTTATTATGAGTGATTTCTTGTCATGCTTTTGTATTGGAATACCGGTGTTGGAGATATGTCTATTAATCTACATAGACATAGAGGCACTAAATGTATTGAGAATTGCCACCTCGATTCGCTCCTCATTTGATTCTGTGCTGTAAAAATCCGATATGAAATATTTTTATCTGTCGTAAATGGATTTCTGCGCAAACCGAAGTTGGTACTTCCACTGCAAAAAGCACACTGATATTATAGGGTTTTGTTTTTTATTAATTTAATTAATTATTATTAATTGTTTTAAAACAAAGCCTTTTTTTCAACTCAATTTTTTCTGTATTTTTCATTGGAATATCCCTTGCATCGCCGCGAAACTACGCCAAAACGTTGCATTCTGGCAGCTGCACACGTAGCTGGAATTATAATTTCAAAAATGTAAGTACAAATTCTTATTTTGACGTTTACTTCTATTGCGTACATTTATCGCCACGTTTGTATCTCTGCCAAAGTCACAAGATTTTAACCGGAATGTTTACCCGAGATATCAGAGAGACATTTTGAGTAAGAAAAATCATGAAACTTGGCTACTACAAAAGAAATTAAATCAAAGGCAGCCTTTGACAAAACGAGTGGGTTGCGATAATGAAGAATATGCTTAAATCTGCGACAATCTTCGATGAGACGCTCTAGCCTAGCCTATGCTGATTGTAAGAGTACTCTGTTGCAAAGACGCCACAACTAATTTGTTATGACGCCATAATATGGATTTCGAGTTCATGTATTGACATTTTTCTCATAAAATGAAGGCATTATTACAGTTAATACTGTCCAGTTATGCTTAGCATACTATGTTTTGAAGGTTGAAGTGATAAAGTTTTTCAAGGTTATACAAACTCATTTATTCGATCGCATTTCCATTTTCGCAAGGTGGCTTCGTCGCAGGGCCGTTTACGTAATGGCTTATCGGTTGCGTCTTGCTGCGCCAAACACTGAACTACAGCTTGAGAAGGTGTGTATGAGCCTCTATCGATATTTGTGGCGCTTTAAAGAATTTATTACAAATATGAAGCGCTTGGCAAGTTTTTACATCCATTTTTCTTCAACCTATTCAATACAAAAAAATCAAATAGTACAGCTATTTTGAACAAAACAGACGAAAAAAACTTGATATAAAACAATTGTTTTAAAACCTTTTTTTTTTTCTGAACAAATCCCTACCGATATAAGCATATCGAGAGGGAGAGTACACGTAATTAAATATACCATTGAATTATTATAATCTGGAGAGGAAGGGGTAAAATATTTTCATTATCTAATACAGTAATAGATATTTTATTTCACCAATCACATATTTATAACTACTTATTGATTGCGTTGAGCTCTGTATGGGTTAATATACACGAGGGAGTCAATTTTTAAGCACAAAATAGATTATGCTAAAAATGACGTGCAATCGTTGTCGAATCCCGGGTCCCAGAATACATAGATTCAACTCGATTTTCAATTCCGATTCAAATCTCGTCCCATCCCCACCGAGAAGTCAAACTGAGTACGTAATACCTATAAATATGCGATGTTTAGTTTCTCAAATTGATGTTTTGCAATTCAATTATTAAGAACAGAACAATAACACAAATATATATGTGAATTTTATCAATATCACACAGAATGTGCGTGGGTATGAGCAATTTTTCTTGCTATTTGCGGTTATGCAATAGTAAGTGTTTTATTAAATTACTCCAAATACTACGATATTAGAAATTTTATTACATGCTGGTAAGGTTATATAGATTGAACACGCATCACATAAACGTACGAATTGCTGTTTGCTTCCAGATACTGATTTTCGGTGAAAATGGCGGAACAAATGTCGAGGAATTTTTAATGATAACGAAAGTAAATTGAATGATTTATTTCTGAACACAAATCATTTTGGTTCGTGAAAAACAACTATAATATGAAGCAATCAACGTGGTAGAAAAGTGAAAGTTTTTTTATTTATGAGTACACAAGCATAATTTTATTTCGTGCTGTGGAAGATTTTGATTTACGTCAGATAGTCATTCAAAATGAGCAATATATACATATGAATAAACTACACCGCGAGGTTCAAGATCACGTTTCGTTTGTCGTGCGAAGACTAATAAAAAGTTAGTGAGACGCAAAGAATGATGGAAACGTTTCTGATCTTTCAGAAATCTTTTTAATTTGTTGACGCAGTAATTGTGGTTTAAAAGTTCTGGAGACTGGCAACCGCGTCGATGTGTGGTTCCAGACATATATATCAAAATGCGAGGTCACTTTACAAATTCAATTTTCAGAAATAATGTAAACTTTATCAATATTCACAAAAAGCTATTATGTTTTAGAACTGTTGTAACATTAATTCAATACAAAGAATAAAACCTAATTTCAAAGATATTTAGTCTTTAACCTCACTTAAAATACGTGAATATTTGTCAAATGACAGGTTCTTGATCACAAGAGTCGTTTGCAATGATAAATATCCAATAGAGCATAAACCAATGTCGCCGCAAAGGAACATTCATAAAATGGTTGAACACCTTTCATCTCATTCAAAGAAGTCTAATTCTTTATTACCGTTGCACTGTATAATATGTTTCTCGAATTTACTAGTTTTAAGCAGCGATTGATGCACGCTCGGCCATAGTTAGACAGCACTTTTGCTGTTATCTGAGTGCGGGTTACGGCCACCACGCGTTGTCAAAGGTTGCCGAGACAACATATTTATTTTATTTTTCATTTTTGATAGTAATATTTACAATATAATAGTCTGGGAGTCTGGGAGTAATTGTGAATGAATGCTGATTAGAAATAATATTAGTAGATTGCACGAACATTGCGATGAGTGTCGTTGACTCCCTTACACATTCCAACGGTATTTTTGGAATCTTTGATTGTTTGAACACAACTTGCGTTTGTTACCAAAGCGTTTTTAATTAATGAAGCTAATGCCGTGCTCTCAGCCAATGTGTATTATAGATCTATAAGAGAAAGTTGACATTGACTCTTTGATATTAGTTGATTTCCACGATGTAAGCAAATTCCAATTGTTTTTTTCGACGTAACATTGTCATTATAAGTTTTAGTTGCAAGGATAACGTTGTAGTATTATGCAAATTATGTTTTTGAAACTACAAAAGTTGGGTTGTGGAGGATATCTGCAATGATGTGATGACAAGATTAGTAATGTGCAATTGATAAAAACGTCTATAACATGACCAAACACAAGTCTGCCAGCAGATGTCTTGTACGGGTTGAAAGAGTAGAAAAAATTACGATAACTAGATAAAGAATGTGGACTTTACGTAGGCTGTTCAATGTTCCATTTAATTCAAGAGTCTTGCTGCACGTGCACACTATTTCTGTAACGTTTCGTCTGACCGTCTTATACTTTCAATGTTTTGCAAAAAATTATAAATTCACAAATTTGGAATTTAAACGAACAACCGTAGGAGATTTTCTTTGAGTGCCATTCTAGATTCGGTTCTTCATCTCTCTTATGAGCAACGAATTCGAATCTAATCCAAGTACAATTCGAGATTAAATTTTTAGGTCGCAGTTTTAATCCACGGGTAATGGAAAATTGCTTCCCTAATAAGCTCATGCTCGATCACAGTTAAGTTAATGTAACATTTCTTCAGACTAATCTGGCAAATCAATCAAGGTAGAGCATAGATAAAAGCGAGCAGAAATGGTTTGGTGTATAATACAATATAAGCTAAACACACTTTTAAGTATTGTATTAGCCCGTAGCCATATTCAACCAAGCATGGATTCAATTCGAACATATATCTCTTTTTTTGACATTCTGACATCCACTTTCCCTTTTTATCGACGGCTGACGAAGCACTCGTATTTGTCCTCAATCCTCTCAAGAACAAAAGCCGCTTTAGAATGGTTAACAGGATTTCTATTCATTACCGAATAACATGATTATTGTAGTTAGTTAAATGAAGAAAACGGGAGAAACAATAAACAGAAGTATGGGGTGAGATGGTAGCGACGGCGGCGGTGTCAATGAGTCAAACTTTTGTTTGAAAACCCAATATCGAATAGTGGGGTCTGCTATTTGATATACGACAGGCGTGCGTGGTGGGTGATGACCAAAATCTTTGACAAGTTAGGGTAACAGATAAAGTGTGAAATGGGATGAATTACTAAAAAAAAGTATTATATGTGGAAAGGAACACGAATAAAACCGAATATTTCGGTTAATTTTGCTCGCTTATAATGATTATTCTTCGAAATATATTTTTCATGTTAAACTCAAAAGGTTTTATAAAACTTTTTGTGTTTTAGATATAGCTAATGAATATATTATCGAACTATTTACTGAGATAGATATTAATCAAAATGCTTGATATTATCAAAGGATTTACTGAACAAGTAAGTTGAAATTTTGTGAATAATTTTAACTACGCAATATTTGAGACAGTGTCGAATAAGATCTTATTTATGTATATCCCTTGCGAGCATTGATTAAATCCGAGTAACATTTTAGTGACTATTATAGTTCAAGATGGTTTTGATATATACTAGTTCGGTTATAAAAATGAAATGGGAAGAAACATCGAATGAAAGCATAATATTTTCTTCAATATACCAACAAAAAATCAATATCGTGATTATTTTGTGTGTTTCTAGGTAACTGAATATAGCACAGTATTTGGACAAATATGGTATTTGGTTGTGTTTCTTTTTCGAGGAATGGTTGTCGTTACAATTGGAGATGAAGGTTAGTAACATTTTTCTCAAAAATTTATTCTGAATTATTGGATTTCACCGAATTTTAAAACAATATTTGTCTTAGTTTACAGCGACGAACAGTCTGAATTCAAATGCAGTACATTAGAAATTGGTTGCGACAATGTTTGCTTCAGTAAATTTTCGAAGATTGCTCACATAAGATTCTGGGCCTTTCAGGTATGTATAGATTTCCTAATTATTGCGAAAAGTGTGTTACCGACTCGAGTAATTTCAGGATAAAATATAGTTTCATGTGGCGAAATCTGTGAAAAACGAACCTTGATCTTAAGCGTGTATGAGTAGGCCGTCTAAGACTAACAGGAAATCTAATATGGGATGCTCTTCCAGCAAAAAATACGAGGATTGTCTACTGGACCAAACGTCAACTTTCTGGTTGAAAGTATTTGGTGGACTATACATGATATTAACTTATAAAACTATGTACTTTTCAGCTATTGGCTGTCACAACACCTACTATTCTATTTCACTTCTTTGTTACTGGAATCAAATCGAAAGTTGAAAAAATGAAAAGCACGAATGCAATCGCGGCTGCAGCCGAGGAGCATGTAGAGGATGACAACTGGTCAGAAAACAGAGGTACTTTCAAGGTACGAGGAACAGGTCATTTTGAAAATATAGTATATCTAGATATTGAATATCTGGTAAAAATCATTAGTTTTTCTACGTGCCCGCTACCGATAATGAAACGTTTTGTTCTTGTGATCGTTTTATGTTCATCTCAATTATGATCAATATTCGTATACTACCATTTATAACTGATAAAGACAATCACCACTTCTGAAACGAGTTTTACTAAACAGCAGTAATCAGGTGAAAAAAAGCTAAGCCGTATTTCTGTAATATTATTGTTTCAGAGTGAAGGTAATACACTCATGAAAAAGAAAGGCAACAGAAAGCCTACGAAGGTTCGATTCAAAAGTGTTTATGACGCAAATGCAGACAACATGAAAGAGGTAAATTCTAACATATATGTAACACAAATATTCTTTGATCTATGTGCTTGACATTTTTAAAATATTGATTTCTATTTTAGAATCAAATGTTTATAAAATTCCGTCATTTCTGTTTGATCTTACATCAGCAATGAATAATGATTCGTTTCCATCCAAAGTCCAGCGATTTATTATTAGTTGAATCTTGTTGAGTAAGACGTTTTTAAAGAGTGAGTGCTTTAATACTATTTACAGATCGCTGTGACAGATAGTATTTCCTGGGCATATTACCTAAACGTGATAACAAGAGGGGTGGTAGAAGGAGTCTTCATTTATCTATCATATGAACTTTTCAAATTCATGGTGAGTCAAAACTCTAATCCTTTGGTAGATCAGACTTGTCAATAGAGGATTCAGATGTAAGAGATCTGAGCAGCATCCATAAACATAAAAATTCATATTTGAAAACAACAATAAAAAGTCGGAAAACATCATCTACCCTATTAAACTACAGTAAAAAAAAATGTACGTTTTTACAATGTCTGCCTTTTACGCGTGGGACTCCAGTTTACCAAATTACCAGTTAATGTATTTAATACATACGTTATCAATATGTAATATTGAATACATACGTATTATACCTCCCAACAAATTAGTCATATGAGACCTGTTTTGATATGTTAAATTATATCATATGTTTATACGTTTTCATGGTAACACGTGATTTTAATTGTTCAGGATCACAGTCGGGAACCGGACCATTTCGGAGTTTTGGATTTTTTGTGGTTCAGCGTGCCAGCTTCGTTCAAGTGTGAAGGGAAAGACATTGAAAGTGCATGTAACCAACATACTAGTTTTGGGAAGGGTGGATATGTACCATGTTGGGTATCCAGGCCATGGGTAAATAAACTAAATCACTGTTTCTATTTTTCTTCGTAAAAAGAGCATAGAATGTATTATGACAAAACAGTTGCAGCAAATAGCATTCTAAATATATATATATACATATAATTTCGAATATCCACAAATCGTATTCGTAAAATGAAATTAGGTTGATCATACTCATTGTTAAAAAATTTTTCCGATGCATTTAAAAGAACATTAAACTTTTATCGAAGTAATTAAAGACTTATATACGAATGTAATATTGATCTACGAATGCAATTGGAATTTGTTAATACTTTCTCTTTAATCCTTACTTGTATCTATATATATATATAAAGGAAAAAACAATATTTCTGCGATACATGAACGTCCTCAGTGCACTTTGTTTTATCCTGAGTATTGTTGAATTTTTCTATCTGACTGTGAGAGGGACAAGAACTGCAAATCGAAGAAGAGAAAGAAAAAGGTACTATCTATAAATTTTGTTAATCAAATTAAAGGTCTGTACCACCGTTGTGTATAAGTGCGAGCGCGTACATGTATCGTTTATATCAGCAAATTCTTAAAAATATGATAATTCTGTTGAACTGAAGAATATACCCATACAGAGGTAACCAAACTTGCGTTTAACAAAAGCTTTTATCTACAACTATTAGAAAAATCTAATTATGAGAAACGATTTTTTTTTTGAAAAATACTTTCTTCTTGGTTTACAACATGATTTATCATTTTACAGAAGTCGTTCTGATTCGTGGTTCTTTCGACCAGATTTATCAGCACCGCTGTCACCAACACTAGCAATACCGATTCGACTGAGCAGTGTCGATAAATTTGCCAACAGGAAAGGTATAAACATAACTTTATAGTTTTGGAGTGTAAATATTTTTGAAGCGAAATTTACAGTTTCTGTTTTATTTTGTAGATGTATTCATCGATGTGTCCGATGATGAGAAAGGAACAAAGCCTAATCACAAGAAATTTTGAGTTTCTTTGTCATAATACAACTTCTCAAAACAAAGAAAGTGTCTTGATTTTAATTAATTTTCGAACCAATCCATGATTATCAAGTGTAAATAATATTAAATACAAAGAGCATGTGATTCCATGATGTTTTTCGCATCTTTTGTGTCTTCTTGTACAATATTTTCCGCTTGTATCCGCGCATATATATATTACCATGCAGTAGCCTAGTTTTTTTTTTTTTTGAAGAAAATGCTATACGCTAACACTCTTTGCTAGTTGATTTATTGTTAAAAATCGTTTTTTCTTGTGAAACATGAACTGAGGCTATTTTTTGAAATATTATTAAGTATCATGTCCCTTTGAAGACTCGTTAAAGTAAAGGGCTGAGCCCTCGCTCAAAATCAAGAGTATATAGAATTTTCCATCAAGCACCGACATTTGAAGTCCCATCATAATAAAAGTCAACAAGAAACAACAAACAATTTCATTGCAACTGAATATTTCCTTTATATACGTTCAGTAACTTGTGAATGTAGACAACTCTTCCATTGTTTTTAGGTGAGAGTGTCTTGTAATGTATTTCAGCCACCAGGAGCATTACAATTAATCAATATTGACATTCTTTGTTGATTCTGAGATGCACAAAAAATGGCTATTTTATTTTTATATTGCAGGTAAAATTATTTAGATTTTTGTTGCCAAATACCCACTACGTGGCGATTAAAGTCGCTGCCTAATAGGTGTAAATCTTGTGCCGAATATGATAATATCCGGATTAAACAATTGTGTTTGTATTTTTGTTTTGAAACATAAATTTAGTCCAGATAATTGGAGGACTATTGATCTTATAAAAATATAAAAATCGTCATTTCTTTCTCAAGCAAATTGATTGGTGGTGCCTTTCCGCGGTTCATACTAAATTTTGACACATGTCGTCAAATCAAACGTCGGAAATTCTCTGCATTGTCCAAAGCTACTTGATATTTTTTCTGTTTCTTGCGAAATATTTTAGCAAATATAAGATAAAAACATTCCGATTTGTGTCGTGAATATGTCACCTTGTGGATGCAGATCTTTATTTGCTCTTAAGACAGAGAAATCCCACATGGGCAAAAACACGACTCCTTTCATGTTCACAAATTCATGTCGCAGCATGACGTCATACCTAAAAGTGATCCAAGACGTTGGACACAGCGGAGTGTGCTCGTGATGATGAAGGCCTTTAACGAATACTTTTATACCGGGGTGGCGAGATAGTAACGATTTTATCCTTGTTTTAATCATTCTTATTCTCTCACCAAATATATCGGCGTCATAAAGCTCGAAATGTAATCCTAGTGTAATTATCACATATGTACCCCTGCCACCGTTTTTTATAGAGTCTAAAGTATCGGTTATGAATGGACGAACCCATACCGGGCCCGGATTATGCATCGGTGGACCGTGGGCTCTGTAATGAATAGATGTGTTTATATCTTCTTTGTAACCGTCTTGGGGTTGAGAATATAGAGCTGGATTGGTTGGCGCTTCTTGTTTTATGTGTAATACTTGGGCAAAGTAACTATGCCAAAGTCTTAAAGTTGAATCGCCAATAAAATAAAATTCTTTACCGGCCGCACATTGCCGAAGTCGTATTGTGTTAGAATTGTGAATTCCCCTTCCAAAAGAAATCCATCGTGAATTCAGAACCCACCCAGTAGGTGTCGACGGATCCACACCCACTCTACGATTTAAAATCGGAGGGTACATGGGAGGATTGACAGAGTCCTGTACACGAATAGCAGCACCTGAACCTTTGATTTCAATATAAGAATTATATCCATCTCGAAAGTACTTGTTATCCCAAAAGAGCAATTTACTTTCATTAGCAACCTTCTGCATCCATGTTATGTTTGAACATTCACCCGACGAAGGTTTCAGGCACGTCCATTTTTCTCCATGAGTTGGATTTGATAAGTCACATAATTCGTCGGACCTACAATAAATAATATATATCATGAAACGTGAATTTATTGTTACTGCCACAAAAACCATGAATACTTATAATCAGGCAAGCTTAAATAAATAGATAGATGCAGGCAACGCCCATCAAAGAGATTATGGTAATCAATTTGAAAATATTAGACACAATTTCGCTGAGACCGTATCGATTGATTGTGTTTACAGTATATTTTAAATGCCAACCTCGTTTCCGGGAATCCAATCGAGCAGACGGTACGTTCATTTTCTTGTTTGGAATTTAACATAATTGCCTCCATTCGAACACCCCATTCTGATTCCGATGAATACATCTTCATGAGTTCATATATACTTTCGCTGGGGTGAATAAGAACTACTCGTAGAACTGCGTTACCAGGCCACAGGAGAAAACAAGTCACGTGATATGATCCGTTTTTCTCGTCATAAACTTCGCACGACACTCCGTCATTTTTATAACTTTGACGTCCCAAAGTAACCATAAAGAAATCGCCTCCATATTTCTTCCGATAGCCGAGCTCATCGTAAGCGGTGATCGTTGCATTGAATAATTCTCCAGTTTTATACGTTTTCCTGTCAATCAGTTTTACCACAGTGTTAATAGGACTGGTAATTTTTTCTGCCGTCAATTTTGCCCTCGATTCGACCATATGTTCCAGATGAGGAAACAATTTAATCCAAGACGAACTGAGTAAGTTTGTTCTGAGTTTGTCTTCTAGCAAAATTCTTGAACCTTTTAGTGTCTTCTCAGAAGATATTTTGAATCGTATGTTTTCTTCAACCCCAGCATAATAATTCGCATATATAAGATACAACAAAACCATAAATACTATAACAAATTTCGCCAGGTACTGATTTTGGCGATTTTTACTGAGCTGCCGCATTGAATGATTGATAGACGTTAACATGTTGTCTAATAGTAACGTACTCGACTTGAAAATGATCCGCTGAAACTAATCTTATTTTAAACCAATGATATCCTCATCGTTTATACTTATAAATGATCTTGAATTGAAGTAAATTCAAGCTATTAGCAGACAAGGGCTGCATAGGAAATAGAACGGAAGGAAGGAAAACATCATTATCCACTAATGCCGGAATTATGATACGCTGAGAGAAAAAAATTGTCGGTTATTTGCTAATTCAAGGCCGTAAAATACGAATATACCCTTTTTTTTTGTTTATCTTTTTTTGTTTATTTTTTTTGTCACAAAATCGATACACTCGTCCACGTGATGAATTTATTGTGTCAATACTCATACGTATTGCGACTGATACAAAAGGAAATATAACAAATTCAATTCAAAATAAACGAAACCGGATGACAGAAAATGTTCAGTAGAGCGTACTGTTGGTCATTAATATACGCCATGGTACCACGCAAAGCAATTTTTGGCTTTGATTGAGCATAAATATACTCCGCATTTGGTACATCTGATTACCGGCTTGCTAATGCTATCACACCCAGGGAAACGACATCGCTGTCTCTTAGCTTCTACCACAGGCCAATGGCCAGTGGCGTCGGTTCTAACCTCATTGTTGGGATGGGGAGTAGCTGCGCTTCTGATTCGTCGTGGGGTAGTAGACTATGGCCTTCCTTTTTTACTATTTAAATAAATTACTTCTACCATTAAACAATTTGGAGAAATTCCTGCACATTACTTTAGCCAGTCAATATCAGAAGCAAAACTTGATCAAAATATCATCAGGTTTAGAGGAAAAGACATTTTTTTAACTAATTAAACATCACTATATATAAATTTCGATAACAGAGTTACACATACTCAAAACATATTAGATTATTTTCCCATTTCTGCTCTTTAATTTCAAGTGTCTTGGTTTATGGAAGACAACTTAAACTGGAAAACTTGGACGGATGGGACGATTTAGTGACAGTTGGGAAAACTGGCGTCAGCAGTGAACAACAAATTGTTAGGCAAAACTCTTTTTATCAAATGAAAGTACACATAAAGGCCTCTCACTGTGATTTTTTTCGACTCTCTGGGGTAAAGCTTTATATATATATACTCAAAAAAAGACGACGAAATCCCACTGCTACCGACACCACATTTTAACCGACATCAATGTAAAAATGATGACTGACCACAAGATATAAAACATTTTGTGGCGCTAAATAGGCTCAAACGAGGGGGCGGGTACAGACGATTTCGGGACAATTGCCGCTTTCTCTCTAGCTATCTTGGTTCGTACTATGGGGTGCAATAAAGTTAATGTCCCGAAAACGACCCCGTCGTCGTTAAGTGTCGGAATGTGATTGTTGATTATATTTATGAGTGAGTATGTTGATGTTTGTACAATTTAGTGACGTTAAAAATATACATATAAATAAGGGCATGTGCATTTGTTCCTGAATTCGCTTTTTTGGCCTTTATGTCCCATGAAACAATTGAATAAGAACGCTATCATTGACTCTCTGGCGACCTCAATAATATCGCCATTGGTTACCAAAGGCATCACTGCCATGTTTGCATTTTGCAATTGACTACACTCGTATTTGCTAAACAGATTTGTGACTAAAAAGCACATTCTATCGGTATTCCATTGAGATATACAGCTTATAATTGGGATTTTTGAATTACACTGATAACTCGAGACTCAGTGTTCAATGAAGAGTGATTTATCGTAGAAAGAAAGAAGGAGGATAACAAAATGTCTGAAGTGTCAACTGCGCCATCTCCAAATTCTGCCTCATCAAGTGAGTGAAAATAAGCCTATGGTCGTTGAATTTTTAAACCTGTAAACTAACTAATCTCAAGTTATAATAAGAAGTTATATCCTACTAATCTAATATTAATTTTTTTTTTGAATGGGAATTTTCATTAGTAATGATAATAACAATGGGTTTATTTCGATTCCATAATCAGCATAAAATTCAAAAAAGGATAAAACAATTGATAAAAACAAAATAAAGAAAACTGATTACAGAATTAGAAAAGCGAACAAAACCTTATATAAGGTTTAGAATGTACAGCTTTTAGATTGAAAGGTGTTGTCAAAAGAAGTGGTAACATTACGGGTTCACCCCCCCCCCCCCCCCCCAGAAAAAAAAAGTATTAAGTTAATTAAAACACTCTCGCACACACACACACATACAATCACGCAGCCAAAATAAAATCAGAAGAGAAAAAAAAGAAACATAAGATATATTACTAGGTAAAAAGAAAAATATACAAACAAATTAAAAAATAGAAAATAAAATTTTGCCACACCATATTATTAATTTTGCGAAGATTGCTAAATTGAATACCGAATTAGTTATCAAGAGGGAAATTTATAGAAAAATATTAATAAAAAGATATTGCCAAGCTAATTATAGGGGGAGTCCCCTAATATTCAATCTCTTTTACGTTTCCTACGTTCTGTCATCAGATGGTATTGGGAGATGAGATCGTATTGTGACAATATGCATTATACATAATTATGATATATCAGTTTAGCAATGCAAAAAAACACAGCACATAGTCCGAAACAGAAGATTTTATCATTGATACTAGATTCATAGTTTAGGGACACACCCATCACTGTTTTACATCACCAGAATTTGTAAAATATATTAGTGTTCACTGTCAAGTTTTATCTGTTGAGTTTTTTCCACAAAAACATATATCGATAATGCTTATTTGTTGACTCCCACTCATGATAAGAATTTTGTCACCAAAGGTGATGTTATATTTTATTTATAATGACAGGAGGGGTTATATCGAGGCAATCTGGCAGAGTAACGTTTCCACAATCTGCGAAATCAATGTCGTCTTCAAAATCTGTTGTTGCTGTCATAGAAAATTCTCCTGATGTAAATCCTTTCAAAGTTCCTCCAGATCAGGATATCTTTATGCTGAGAGATAAAGAAAGACAAAGGAAAAAAGAGGTGAAGTTATAATGTAATTTTCGTATCTTTCAAGCGATTTTAAAGCTGTTGAATAGAATCCATTATGGAACGTGTACCACATATCATCTTAGATATATCCTAATTGACATTCAGATAATATAATTTTATATATGATAATAAAATTTCAGGAAAGAGATCAACAACGCTCACTCAAAGTTCATGAGAAGACAACTTATGCTTCGAGAGTCAATGCTAAAACAGCAGCAATGAGAAAAGGAGTTCTCGGCACGGATGAAGATGAAACATTGGAGGAAGCTGTAAAGGGAATGGGTGTCAAAGATGATCCTGGTTGGACATTAGCTGTCACAAGAGGTAAACATAGCACAGTAGCATACTATTCATAATACCCCTTAATTATTATTGTGCTAGAAAATTTAGAATAAGACAGGAATAGGATTTTGATTTTTATCATGGGAGAGGGGAAAAGCGATTAAATGGTTTAATTACATGGCGAACCATGTCCTCTTTTTTTGTTTACCAGTCCGTGTTGGATATGGGAATAGTTAACCAGTTATTTGTTTCGAATGCATAGACTTGAGGATGGAGCAAGCTGTAGGTGACCAGTGGTTATGTGAACCACCCTACAACATCAAAGAGTACAGCAATCTTTCCGTTTGTTAATATCCCCCGCAAATCTGCACTGGGTAATCAAAGATGTGAGGGCAAAAGTGTTTCTAACACTTAGTGTGATGCTCCAACTACTATCTTTACATCATGTATTGGCTAAAACATGATTTATATTTAAATAAAGTAGCTTATTAAATGAAATTTAGTATATATTTCTTGTTAAGTCATCAAGGAATAAAATAGAGAATTTTGGAAACACATTATGAAATAAAATTGGAAATTTTTAAAAATTATATCCAATGACAGATTTCAATTTGTATACTATATTTTTCAATTCGAAAAATTATAACATCATTGTTGAAAATTCATATCAAATATGATTTATTTAAATAAGATATATTGGGAAATTGCAATGCAGTATTGTATTAAGTTTGGAACAAAAAATTCTGCTAAATGTAAAATCACAAATTCTAAAATTGGAGTAGGTTTGCCTATTATATACCCTTATCACTTATTACTCAGTGATATGATATTCAATGTTATGTTGATTAGTTAACTTGCTTTACCCTTCACATTTGACAGGCTGTCCTATATTGGAAATGTTTTCGTTAATATTGTGTAGATGCAAGTTTAATATGAATAATTGTTGCTCCACTAAGCATCCCTTTGCATCTAAAGACTGTCTTGGTTTAATATGTACAATTTTTTTCTTTCAAACATTTCATTTATCAATTATGTATGTCACTTAGATCGCAATGTTGAGAAAGAAGACCTTGCAGACTATGTGTCAAAAAAACGACAAATGTTTCTTGTTCAATATTCACTTGCTGTGAAACGAGATGAAATGAGAAAGCTGGAAGAACTAGCTGCTGCCGAAGAACGAAAATTAGAACGAGCTGAGAAATTTTTGGAAGAAGACGCTGCTATGTTCGATGAATTTTTGAAAGAAAACGACAGAAATTCAGTAGAAGCCATAAAAGTGTGAGTTTTTGTATCCACTATATATTTCTATATTGTAATCAGTAATCAGTAATTTATTTTTTCACCATTCTAAAGCACACAATGTGAATACACAATACAAGAAATAGGAAATATGGTACTTTAGGGTGAAGGGAGGCGCGAGACACCAAGACTGGTGATCGAGCATTGCTCATTGTTAAATAACATAGAATTATGGAATGTTGGTTTATCGGGTCCAGTTATAGCTCTTGCTCAATCATTTACAAAACCAAAATAGGAATGGAAGGTTATTCACCAGTACAAGTATTTGGCAAAGTTTTTAGGGATACATTCAGTTAATTTCATGCATTTCTGGTCTAGTCATTAATCATTATCATACTAGCCTAATTGTTGTTATAGAGCTTTAGTTATACCTAGGCTTGCCTTGGGTTGTAGTCCTTATCCTCTAATTTTATATAGCTCATCGGCCATCACCTCACCCAGGTTTTTTGGAATCCAAGCTTTGCTGAACTGAACAATTACCAACCTTTATTAATGATATTCATTATTAGTGCCGAATCAGAAACGAAAGCCAAGTTGGAAAAAGTTGCAGAGATCAAGAAGAACACGGCAATGATGATGGCAATAAGAAGTGAAATATCGAAACATGAAGAAACTTTAAAGGTTTTTTAAACAGTTCAAACCTATGCTAATTAAATATTTAAATTTAATATGATTGCACTTGTATAATCTGACATCATTAATTAAACATTATATATCATTACTGCAGGTGATATAAACTTTTCCAATTTTTTTGAAAGCATCTCTCTACAGTTTCAATGATATTTAATTTACTGAAATAAAAGTTTTATTTTTTACCATGCAATGCTTCATTTAAAATAATCACAATATATTTGAAGAAGGATGGGATTTTCATATTTATCCCTTCGTCGAAGAAAGATGATAAAACGACTAATCATTTTGTGAACCATGGTCTGTTGTCTGGTTACCGGTCCATGGACTTGACGGCAGAGAAATTGTAACCGACCAGTGGTTAGTGAACCACCCAATAATAAAATCGTTCCACACATACAGTCTTATCAGAGGTTCCATGGCAAGCGTGTTCGTAGCACGATATGCTAATGCATTTGGTGAAAGTGGATGTTAGAAACGTTAAGACATTAAATGCAAAATATTAAATATGTAAATAAATGATGATACATCACTATGATAATAAATAAATATACACTATTTACAATAATAATAATATTAATATTTCAGGAATACATGTTGTACAAAAACTTTTTAAGTAAATTGACACCGAATGAATGGAAGGAAGAGAAATCAGCCATCAAAACCGAAAAAAGAAAAGCAAGAGTGAAAGAGGTTTGTAATTATACCAAAGGTTTATTTGTTATTTGCTCCGTTCATCTTATGAATTGACAGTATAGCAATGACAGTTCAATTTAAACAGTTAATCAAAGTTTCTTGGTTCAGTGATATGTTTGGTTTAGAATCCGGGTAGAATAGAGGGTATAGGCTTTTGTTCATTTTATATTTGATAAAGATTTGACTAAGAATTGATATATGAATGTCGTCTGTGTGGGCCAGTGGGTACTGTTATATTAGACCAACTTCAAATGATCAGATATGATTAGACTAATACATTATAATTGCTCATTTTAACAGCAATCTTCCAGTCAGCATCATCCAACTCCAATTGAAAGACGTTCCCAAATGTCTTCTGCTAGGAAGAGAGGTATGCGGCATATTTTGCATTAAATGGATAAATTAACAACATTTACCGAAGGAGGCCTCTTTTTTTATATACTTTTCAAATCTTTTATTCAAGGCCTTGTATAAGCGCCACTTATATCTCACAATACGTGAGGAATTATCATATTTGTTGAAAGGATTTCTGGCTCAGCAATGCCTCCACATTTTATTACACCCTTGAGTCAGAGAGTGGGAATGGGATTTGAACTTATTAATATGAAGTACTGATTTGATATAAAAACAGTATGTTTTAATGTTTCGAGTAAATTTGATTTTGGCTTATATCTATAATATGAATGGAACAAAGTGACACATAAATGACAATTCTCCAACATGGAGGAAATTTGCGTAGACATGGAATATATCTTTATATAAACAGGAGACACAGAAAGTCGTAGCTCAAGTCGTGGACAATCTAGAGATTCTGCCCATCATAAAAGAAGTATTTTACGAGGATCTGCTGTGAGTCGAGGTACAAGGAATCTATCTACTCCAAAGAGTGTAACTGATTCTGAAAGTATTCGATCTGTTGAGGCAACATTCTCAGAAGATGATAGTGATGACGTAAGTTATTGTATTTTACATATTTTTCAAATATACTGAAATTACAGAATAACAAAACATTTTTTTCAATATTTCAAACAAAGCATAATATTTTAATTTAGTCATTCATAAAATGACTTATAATTTATCATCAGTTACATTGAGATCATGTTAATTTACCCCTACTATATATTTCAATGTTACTATCAATTTCAAGTTAAAGTGCATACCGATTTTGCCACTTTTTATATTCTCAAACTCAGCATACATACTGAGTATTGGAGATTATTGAATCATATTATTTGTATACTGTCTATTTATAATAATTGTAGAACTAAACTAAATCTTTTGTATTTCTCATCCAGGAACCTGATCTATATTTCGCTGATCCTAAACAACTTCTTGCGATATTTCAAGAACTAGAAGAACAGAATTTATCATTGATCACAAACAGCCAAGAAACAGAAGAGGCAATGGAGGAATTGAAACAAACAATTCAACTCACAAAAGAAAAATTGTTAGAGTTTTATTATTTTTATGGTTATTCTACCCATAGATTGGACATTCTTATCTCACTCGTGCGTGAGTTTCTATTAATTTCTTTTGCGTCTTCCAGAGATCGTGAAACAGGGATATTGAAGTCTCAGATCAGTATTTTGAAAGCAACTATCAAAAGAGAAGAAGAAAAAGCTGATGATTTGGAATTGAAATCAAAAATGTTTTCTTATGGCGAATTTAAAGCTGAAGACCAAGAAAAGATGTTGAGACAACTTCATAGGAAAGTTGAAGAAGTGTTCAAGTATGTTTGAAAGAATTACAAATATAAATTAATCCCTATATTACAAAACGCTGGGTAGTAAACCAATGAGTTCTATTATTCACTATTCAGCAAATCAGCATTAAATTCCCAGAAATTAGTAATTTATGTACAAAACAGTGCACTTGCATGTAGGGCTGGGCATTTTTGAAAATTAGTGTTTCGAAATTGAAATGAAATTTTGTTTTCGAAACAAAATCAAAACAAAACATAAGTTCCTACGAGTTTGTCACAAACAATAAAACATGGCACCATCATTACGCATCGAATTTGAGAATTAAATCCATAAAAGGCAGCACTTGAAGCTAATTCTAGAATATGGAATGATAATGCAATGCACCTCATGCAAATTATTTTTTCCACAAAGATTTCTACTTGATTACAAAACAGTAGCTAAATAGCATGAGAATTCTACGAAAACAGTACAAGCTTGTACATGTAAAGGAAAGAAAACTGGCCAATTAGAAAAACGTGAGACGAAGGTAGCCACTTCCCCTAATTAATTATGTCTTGCAGTTATAAATCAGTACTTCCCTTCAAAACACAAGGGCTTCTACCTGTTTGCCTGTTTAGCCATACCTCAATTCTCTAAAAGCATGGCCTACAGTTGAGAAGACTCTTTTACAAGGAGTTGGGGTTGATGCCGGATACCTTGACTAATTTTATTTTCTATAGTATGACATCATAATACCCGTTTCCAAAGTCGAAACAGCACCGTTAAAGCTGCAGACTTGGCTGTGTTGGCATCAAAGGTTACAAATGTTGTATTCAAATCCCATTCTCACCACCTCACCCTGGGTGTATTAAATTGCTGAAATGAAAAGATTTTGGTCCTTTCAAATACAGTAGCTCCTTCAATATGGTTTTCATATCAGTGGCTACCTGTATTGAGCCTTGTTGGAAGCGAAAATCGTGAAAAAGCGTTATAAGTAACAGTGCTAAATTAAATCATACTAATGTCAGTATTTATTATCGATAAAAAAGTCAAGTCCTTCTTGTATGATATTGAAACTTGGGACAACTAAAAATGTACTTTATTGCGTCACGAGACATAAATGTACTCTGTATATTTTTTTTACAATCTTTCATTTATTCAACTCTCAAGGCTCCAACTTTAAATCTTGCTTAAAATTGAAATTTTCATGTTTAGAGCATGTATTGGTGAAAATGAGGCAAACATAAGTACATTACAAATGCTGACGACAATTGAAAACAAATTGGAAGAATTATTTGAAAGTATTGAAATTATGCCACCAGAACTTGTTGAGGCTGCAGAAAAAGCAAAGGAGAAAGAACGTAGGATGCGACTGAGAGAAGAAAAACTTGCAGCTCAGCGTGCACATCAAGAAGAAAGAGTGAGGAAGGCACTCGAAAGAGCAAAAGCTGACCCTAAAAAGAAGGTATGATTCTGAAATTCTTTCTAAATTTAGATTGTGGCAGTAGTTTATTGCCACTCAATTTAACACGAGGAAAATCGAGGAAGCAAACATACTTCTGGAATGTTAAATTTAAAAAACTCCTAAATTTTGATTACTCTGCGTGGGTTTGCAGGTTCGAATCCCATGCAGTATTAGTTATGTGCGAGAGGATTGCTGGGCTCGCCACCGTAGGGGGGTTCACGTAACCGCTGGTCAGTTAAGGCTTCCTCTATCACCAAGTCTATGCTACCGAAAACAAATAACTAACTAATACCATACCCGACATGGAATGGTAACCGGACGAGAGGCTGTGGTTCGCCATATGGTTAAGCCGTCTTATTGGTTTTCCTCTCCCGCGGGATAAATATGTAAATCCTACCCTATCTATATTTAGGCAATTTGACCTACAATGGCTTTGTTAGATGGGATAGATCACCATATAATTTCACACGATTTACCCTTCAAGCAATAGTTGATTAAGGAATACCAAATACCTAGTAGAGCTCTTCCCTTTGAAAGTTGAGGATAGAGTAACTTACTTATTATTGAATGTTTAAGGTATTTCTCGAAGGGTACTCCTGTAGTGTGTGTACCAGGTTAGGGTTAGGCCATAATTTTATTCTGATTTTCGTTATTTTAGTTCTATTATGATTTCAGGGATTGTCTGTGTTAGCTAAGTGACTATACCCCCTGCCTATAAGGTTTCAGCCCCTTCACACAACTTGATGTAAAATAGGCGAACAAAATTAGATACCTCCATACCCTTCTTGAGTGCCTCTCGATGCATACTTATTTGTTGGTACTATAGCAGAATTCATGTGGCAATATTAACTTACAGGGTGGTAAAAGATTGGTATACAGATCAGAACCTCCTCAGAGAAAACAAAAGGAAAGCAAAAAGAAAGATGCAAGAGATAAGGAAGAAGAAGAATTACAATATTATTTTACATAGTGTTTGTTATTTATTAATCGATGATGAACTAAATCAGATGTTCATTATACTATTTACTTATCTATTTATAATGGTGCTCTTAGGACGCTAAATCCTATCTAGTTGGTAACTCATAAAAGATTTATATAATATCTTTTCATACTGTTGCCAGTATATAAGTGATATTTTTCTGTGTGGCATAATGTCTTCAGAATTATTGTTTTCTTCTATTTGTTTTGAGAATGCTTGCATTATAGAATAAAATTTGCAGTTGAGACTTTTTTCGCAGAGTAGTGCTATGATGCTATTATTGAACATTTCATTATCTGCTTAAGACAGTGAATATTTTGCTCTGAAAATTTTTAATCGTCAAGACTTGCTTTTTTTCTTGATTGATTACTGTTTGGTAATATTGGTATAATAATTTCATTTCATAATAATCGTCTCTTTACTAAAATCCTGTATAGTATTATCTTTTCATGCCATTTTTTGTTTTGTCGATTGTTTTTCAATTTATACCCTTCCCTCTAATGCGTAGTTTATTGGATTCTGAAACGCTTTCATTAAATATAATTTTCATTGATATGTTCTGTATTTGAATTTTAAAATATGGTAATCTTATCACCAGGTTATAACAGAGTCCACATATAATGGTAATTTCATAACGGAATAAGATTGTACCTGTATGCCTACTATGAATCCTCCCAAGCACCACTAATCAGCATGACAGGGCAGAAAATAGGCAGGTGATCTGCTCAGCGTCTCAGAAGGACGCCGCGAGCAAAACACGGGCCCAAAGCGGCGCTGAGGTCACTTCGTATGGGCGGCGGGAAATTTATATTCTTAAATAAGTATGCTAATATTTGTGGTAAAAATACATTTGGGTTATTCACTGATAAAAGACAGTAATGGGTGCGGCTTCGTTATAATTGTGTATGAAAAGTAAATAATGGTTATACAGGGCTACTTGGTTTATCTTTTTTTACTGGAATTACACGACATATATATATATATATAATACTTGCTCGGGGACAGTCGGCATGCTGAGCTGAAAAAAAGTAATTACGAGTTCTCTTGTCGTCAAATGTACCATAGAGGCATAGAAAAGCAGTATATTTACCCGATGTATCAAGTGTACGTGCTCCAGTTACGATATTGATATGAATTGAATGGGCCCGTCGGTTGGTATTTATATTTCCCACTATAGCCGAAAAATATATGAGATAGTTACTTCAGGTTATTTAGGATTGAATTGGCATACTGCATTTCTGATTCACCTTTCCCAGTTTAGAAATGAAATTTTCTGTAATGTAAATGTAACGAATATTATTTATTTTCTTCGATTTATATATATACATGTAAATCACGTCATCATATTTTTACTTATTGACTCCAATGTTGTGTACTTCTCTAAAACTTAGTACAAACAATATCTAGTTGAAATTGTGTGATCGATCGCAAAAGGTCTAAGAAACACACATGGGTGATGTATCACCGGGTCTTAATAAAAACATTTCATCCCTTTCCATGTTAGCGATCGCATCGTGAAAGGATAGCCAAACTACAGTAATTTAATATTATATACATTGCTCTGATAATAAAACATAATACGATTTTCAGTACATAAATCAAAAACACGTGTTGAAGTTTTTGCTTCGCGCAGAAGTAAGACATGCTCTACCTGTCTACCACTATTAAGGATATCTGATCATGCAGAATAAATAGGCACATTTATATCGGACAAACACGACAGAAGAACAATATCTCGAATGGTTGGCGACAAATTCTCTGACGCCGAAAAATTATAATGTCCTGTACTGCTTTACAAACCAAAGTGGAAGAACGGGTTGTACTAATAGTAGGCGACGAGCATTCCATGAAACATCATACTGATAATGGTGAATGCAGTCTTAATGGTGAGAGCGGATCCTGCAATCGGATTTCTAAATGCGTGGCCATCTTACCAAAAGAAAAAAAGTCATACTTCGGATTTGAACATTTCTAGTAATGTAGCGATTGGTAAATACATTGCTACGAATCATTATTCTGATTCGAAATTGGTGATTGATAACAGTAATTGTGAAGAAGAGATTTAGTTGGAATCACCAAGACGAACAGACATAATCGCCAGCAGGCGGCACGGACGAAGAAAAAAATTCCCAAGGAAGATTTCTTCCCCTTTCAGACTAATATTTTGTTGTTTGACTGAAAAGTGATTATTACATGTGTATTCCACACTGCTTTATTTAATTTTTATCTTCATTCTTAAATATCAAAATATGAATTAATACAGCTACTGCTAATGTGCTGAATATAGGGTAGGTGAAATTGTGATAACGTCCATAACAGTGGCCTACAATATCGTACCGGATTTCACTGACAACAAAAACAGCACTATTCTTCACTTATGTACCGCCGATATAAAATGGGAAATTCGGAATATATTTGAATGAAATCACATCATTAAACTACCATGCAGATAAAATTTTTATATATTTTTTGTAAAACACTGAAATATTAAAAAATGTCCGACAAAGACAAAAATAGATAAATTGAGTAAAAGTAAAAGCTATATAAAGACACCAGAAAAAACTATATATATCAAAAATTTGATAGTGCAGTGATAACAAGTTAGGCCGATATAGTGTTTAAATAAGTAGAAAAATATAAATACATTTTTCAGTATGATAATCTTTTTGACATGTATTAGAAAAATCTACATTGAAATAAGAGATAATGTAAGAAAAGTAGCACTTCAAACATTTAATCGTCTGAATTCACTGGACTGGAATATTGGTATAAAGTTAAGGTGATAAAACACGCATTTCGAAAAGGAAAGTTATTTGCTAGACTTCCACCAATATTGGTTAATGTATCATAAATTATTTGAACAATTTCTAGCCAACCTAATATATTTACATTATGTACACAATTGTCGCCGATTGGTAACATTTATGCATTTATTTTGCATATCACGTTCTCACAGCATCACCGAGTCCAAGTACAGATTTGTAGCATCCCATTCCGTATTTTCCATCTGTAATGGATGCAATGTAAGATTAATAACGTTAGTTTCTAGACAGCAGATAGCTTTCTGCAGGGGTCGGCAACCTTTTGTCGCTCGCGGGCCAAAATTAGGGGTTGCAAGTCATTGCCGGGCCGGACATATTTTTAGAAATTTAAAACCGAAAGATTATTCTTTTTATTATAGAAATCAGGCATTGATACATCTCTCTAACAGAATATAGATTTATTTATTTCCTGAATATTTTCTACGTCTATATATTTCTATAATAAATTTATAGGCTCGTTAAACGAGTAATTGTGAGTTATATACTTCTTAGGTTATAATATAATTTAGTCCACACGTGTCTCAAAATAATTTATGTTACGCAAAGAATATAATCTCCAAAACAACTGTTTTGTTACTATAATTCGCTGAAGCGTCGCGGGCCGGATTATTCTACTCCGCGGGCCGGGGTCTCTCAACAGGCTCATGGTGATGAGAATTTTACAATAAATTCTCGAACAGATAAATAAAACTTACATAACGTAGGTCTCGGTCGAGTCATGGGCCAGTATTGAAATCCTTCTCTTGCTCTATCGTTAAAAGGGTTTCGATATTGTTGCATGTTCGGTACCGAAACTCTTCGTCGTGGCCGTGACCTCTGATAACTGAAAAATTTTAACGTATTACTGAAATGAATAAGTTAAAGAGACAATGAAAAAAGTAGAATATGCAGAAAGGGTTGACGGAAAGAAGAAAGTTAGAAAGAAATAGAGAAACACAAGTAGTAAGTAACCACCTTCCAGGCCGCTCTTCACTGAAGCTTCTTTCCACTTTATGCTCAAAAGCAGATCCACGAAGCGGGATAATTGAACCATCCTCGGTCACTCGAAATTGTTGCGTGTTTTGCGGAATCTCTGTAATAGCAAATGCTTGTAACCGCGATATGAATACCGTGTATAATAAAGGGAGATGTTCGTGTATCTTCAATTCTGTTGGATATGCTAAAACTCCAAGTATACTCTATATAAGAACGAGTATTATGAAGGCCTGGACCTAAGCGCTGATTAAATGTCTGCTCACGATTTATGGAACTGCATAACATCACTTCGGCAAACTTCGTTACAGGTTATTAGATTTTTTTTAAATTAAGAAGTGTAAAGCTGTTGTAATATCATAATATATAAGATATTTGGAATTTATGCTCAATCGAGGAGGTCGAAACAATTCTGCTATCAAAACGATATCATTACACAATTTTTGACCCTTGTAATGATATTTGATACCGGAGTTTCAAATTGGAATATAATGGGTGGCAATCAAATAGGCGTGGTGAGCGTTCAAACAATTAACGACCTTTTAAACGCTTCTATGCTTCTCCAGTTGTGACAATAGGTCTGGGTTGTAGCATTTCCAAGAGTTATTTATGTACATAATTATTTACAATGCGCACGCGACGTTGTATACCCCAAAACAGGTGTAGAGGGCCGCCGATTAAATTTATTCCAGACTGCATATTAAACTATGACGGGTCGCATTTCACTTATATTATCCCTCCAAAAAGTTCCAGTTTGTATACACATGCGCGGGAAAAACATTTAAAGCAAAAAATAATTATGAGTGCTTTGCAAATCTGGGATCAAAGCTGAGTGGAAGGGAAGGCGACCCAATGACCCGCGAGTCACAAAGTGACCCATCGTGTTTTTCCGGTGATCCGCCAAGACACAAATTAATACAAAAACATGCCATTATTTGAGTGATAAAAATTGATATCAGACTTGCCTTAATTCATTCAATCTAATGATATGTGAACTACTGGCAACGATGCTGTTACAAGGTTTATGACATACTAATAAAATTGATCCGTTTATTTCTCGCAACTTTTTTTTTCATAACAGCGGCTCCATTTCGGAGGTGCATGGTCCAGAGAGGGCGCAGAATGGTTTTGGCGGTATATGAGAACTAGATGCCTGTTTTTCGCAGTTTGTTTTTTCTGACATGCTGTTAGAAAATAAAATCGTGTACTGAACCAAATTAACGACCACAGGAATAACAATGGAACTGGATGGTAGTGACTTATAGTGAGCGGTTGAAGTCGATTGAATATTATATCGATGTAATAATCTCATAGTGGAATTCCCTTTCAACATTTTTGAGGCCATGAAATAAATAGACGTAGTATTATAAATGTTTACCGGTTTTTCTGATGCATCGAAATTAGAAATTTTCTCATCTCAAACCCTGATTAAAAATATAATTTTTGACCTATTCATTAAAAATAGTTTTACTTCCGATTCAAGGAAATACATTTTATAATAATTTATTGTAATTTATTAGTTTTACAATATGTGTGCTCGAGTGATAAACTATCACTGCTTGAGCAGAGTTGAGCTTTTTGTATCTCATCAATTGTTACTTGGTTACAAATGATAAATCAAATATTTGTAATATCGATATATTACGCTTTTGTTTGCTCTCACATAACGTGTCAAAAACGTGCTTGTTTCATCATACCGCACTCTTATCATACATAATAGACGTATAGAAATATATTATCAATTTTTTAAAAAAATACTAAAATACATTGAAAGTTCACCTGCAACAAAAGCAATAAATCGTGCGGGCCATCTTAATATAAAACATCAATATCGTATTTATAAAGGGGCCAAATATCAATTTGGAATCAGACTTCAATAATATTTTTTATGGATTAATAATTGATGGATTTCTCACAACTATTCATCCTTTTTATTCCACGAGTCTTGAAGTTGCAATGCATTTATAACATGGTTAAAATGGATGTGATTATAAACTCACGTTTAGCAATAACTCTGGCTTCTGGCATTTTCACAGTAAAAGTTGTCGCCTTATGTTTCATCTTTGACCAATGATCTGTTCTTTGATTTTTTCTCATAACGGGGTCATTTTTTGACCAAACTGTTGAACTGTAATTGCAATGTTTACCAGTATTAAAGTAAGGTAAGTTTTGTCGTCAGTGCATGTAATAAAATTAACGCATTGTATTGAATGTGAAACATTAATGGAAATTTTATTATGTTCATTGAAGTATTACAAAAGAGCAAAATCTTCAACTGAAATTCAATTCCTAAAAATAATTTGCATGATAAAAATAATATTTTAAGCTTTATTAAGACAAGTCTATTGAAAGCTTTATAAAAACTCGTCTAAAGGGCTGACCCTTGTGCATAGCTGACAGTTAGAAGCACAAATTTTGATTAGGATGTAAGCTTTTTTGTAGTCAAATTCTAAAGCCAGATGCGCTTGTCCACATCATCTACTATGTAAACATCTAATTGTCTAAGTCTAATCTAGTTTTTCATTTTGAAGTAGAAAATGGTATATATTCATAATAATAGTATTGTAACTAAGCTGCACTGTATCAAAATTTTATAAAAGCATGATGACCATGCTATAAAAGAAATACTATTTTACTCACGTTCGAGCACCAGGTAGCATTGTCGACATGTTTGCTGCTTCTATACAACAACAAGCGGCTAAATTAAAAAATATATAACCAAACTACTATATTACAATCATTAAAATAAACACATTTATTTAGTGAAAGAACACTCAACAATTAAAGAAAAAATCGCAACTCTCTGCTTTTAAGGAATTCGTAAAACTAGCAATATTGACGATAACAGTATGTTTACTCGATTGATCTTGTTCAATTAATGATAGGTTAGACAAAAAAATATGATATATATATATATATATATATATGTTCTTATCAGTAAATAATTTGAGATTTTTGCTAATCTCAAGCAGCAGTCAAATAAACACACATAATAAGATTGAGAGCCAAAACTCCATTGTTGGATTTTTCTATCACAAAATCGAAAAGAGCTCTTTATTCCAAAACCTTAACAAAATATCTGCCCATAACAATATAACATTACAATTTCATCTTTCAGTAATGTGCCGGTGTTTTATGATCAACATTTGTTTAAATACGTGCCTGGTATTGTTGGATGTATTATAATTTTAAAAGAATGGCCTTTGATAAATATAGCACCCATTGTTATTAAAACAGCTGCCGTGGAAGTGTGTATGTGGCAGGGAGTATTCAATGAGCATATTTGTTCTAACAACTCGCTGGAGGTAGTGCGCCTCGCTTGGCCGCAAATGGGAACGTTTTTACAATACCTAAAACACATCGAGACAGTTTCGAGTTACCGCAAAAACCTTTCAAGCTGATTGACCTCGCGACCTGACGCTCGGCTGAAAGTGCTCACTGCAACACAAACGAAGTTAGATCGGTTGTTGAGATAACCTTTTTCCATTGGAGAATTACAATCTAATTTCTTCGGGTTTTGTTCTTCAAAAACAATATTCGAAAATGACAGGTTCATACATATATATAAGTCAACAACTAATATTTTATTTTATTCCTCGCTATTCACGGATACATTGCACCGATATACAATTATTATCTGCCTTTGAACTTTGGCGAGAATTTGTGATTGGGTTCACTATTAAGAATAATGTAAGACACGTAGGTTTTTATATTACAAGTATTATGGTTTATAAGTTGGGATAACGTCCGGCCGAGGGTCTTTCCCGATGAGAGGTTCAGTTGCAGGTGAGTTCTGGGATCTTTTGTAGAAAGCTCCCGCCACTAATGCAAAAACCTGAGATTTGAGCAAAACACCGTCGCCACGTTTTTCAAAATAAAAAGGTAAAAATTATCCAGTTCGGGTTAAAAATGATTCAAAAATTTGAATTTCCAACGTAATTTGTATTCCTTACAAAAGTTTTGTAGTAATGTTTTGAAATTGAGAGAATTTCGTTTGACTGTAAACTCCATATTGCCATCACTTTTTTAGTAAGCGTATATATATATATATATATATATACTTTACAATACATCATCATGTGCCTCCGTTAAAACATGATTTACTGCTTGGTGCGAATTCTCGTATACATACTTTTATATTATATAAGTAAAAGTCTTCTTCATATGAGTGGTACAGATAAAGTTGACACAAATGTTCAGGTTTTAATTCTGAGTCCCTGTCGCGTAGTATATACCCAAGTTGGCTATCGGTGCAGAAGCAATGTCGAGCAATACTGAATATAAAAGTGTACCCCTCAAATAAAAATAAAACAGAGATATCTGGTTACATTACACTTACACAAAATTGGAGAAAAAAAAATTAGAATAAAAATAGCCTTATAGCGACACCTTCTATCTTCAATACCGAATTTTTAAGTCGATTGGCCCATTACTTGCGGAGAAAAGCAATTATGAATAACGACGACAAGAATTTAGCAAAACGTTTTATCTGTGCATTTTGTGTCCAATAACCTGACGAAATCATCATTATTGGCACTGATCACGTAAATCAAACCGAACAGCTTCGTCACCGAATAAAATATTATTTTCACTACATACTAGCATTGTTATTGTCTTATTTTGTTTTTTATAAATAAACTCAAATAAAAAGAAAAATGTACTTTATTTTACATCTCAAAAACAATAAATATAAAACACAAATTCGCGTCATCTGTTTAACATATTAAGACCATAATACCTAATACTGCGCCAAAAATCAAGGGTGAAAAAATAAACATTAGAAATTTTCTGTACATACAGTACAGGTTAAAAGCACGATACAGTTCAATAGAAAAGGGGATCTCCATATAAGACTATGACGAGCACTGTAAAGATGTTGCAATCCTCCCTAACATTCATAACATTGATTATATATAATTGAGAATAAATTAAAAATAGCAATTATTTCCTATATCAGGTAGTTTCTGATTTGTATGCGTTGTGTATGTAGCCTATCTTGCTTGGCCCAAACTCACTGTGCAGAACTATTGCATAATACTCGGCCATACCAGTAAACTGGTTAACGTGTGTATTACTTTAGCATAAATATTTTAACAGTAGAATATTTTGATTTAAATGGTATAAAATAGCCGTTGTGGGAACTTCGGTTTATTGTTACAACCGAAACACCGGAACTTTCTAAATGGGTGGGAGAAATTTCATGGAATGAAATATTAAACATTTTATATTTGAAAAGTCAACAAAAAATGGCTCAATGCCTATTTATATATTTCTATTTGTGTTACTTAAAAAAAATAGTAACTGAATCAATGAGATGATTTATAAAGTATTTTAGACAATATCCTACGATCGAACTATTTTGTCAAACTTGATCTAAATCCCTTGATATTTCAACATATGTTTAAATTTTCCTGTCAAAGTTAAACTTTTTACTAATTTGATAGATTTTGACGTCATACAAAAGAGCATATGACGTCAAAAGCACGGATATCCCATAACATGCTTACGGTACCTGTTTACTTCATTTTCCACTTCAGTACAACTATAAAAAATATATATGACTTGAAATTGTAATCGAGAACTAGGTATGTAAGCACATAAAATATATTGTAAAATTAGGGTATATTTATCTGTAATATCCAACAATTCTATGTCACGTGTTTTTTCTTCAAATTAAATAACACTGTTCCCTTTTTCGATCGCACAAATCAATATGGAATATTGTCGTATATGTGATAAATTGAGGTTTTGCGGAAACGACCTGATTCGCAGTTTTTGATACTTGATGGTTTAGCCTACATCGTAGTCTTTTTATCCGCAAATTTAAATCTTGAATTATACGTATAAAAATGCTTAGCTGCATGCTTCAAGAAAATAAAGAAATTTTGCCTCTGATTATTATTGTAGAGGTAAATTTCAATTGAGTTATTTAGGCAAAGTCAATTGTATTTCACATCCGGTAGTTTGACGAAGGCAATACCGCGATGAATATTACTATTGTTTTCGTTTACTCCATTAAGTTGAATTTCTTCTTCTTTGTCATCAGTTGGCGTCGTAGTTTCTTTCACTTCATAAACTTCGGTAGGAGCGAAGGTTTTTTCTTCCAATTCCGAAGATGCACCAAACAAATTAGCACCGTTTGCGTCTATTCCTCCAGATTTCAATCCTCCCAACATTGCACCCTGGAGAGCACCGAGTGCCGTGACGTTAAGATCGTCTTCATCTTCCTCTTCCTCTTTGGGTTTGTGGAAAGCGATGATAGAGAGTCGGTACAGCTGTAGAATAACAACTAAGGCGTTTTTTGTAGTGAAAAATACAATCATTTGATGCACGACTCCTCTGCCGACCATTATGTAAAGTCGGGTTCCTAAAAACGGTCCGTCCTGAAGTATGAGCGTTGAAAAAATTCCCCATACTTCCATGTTCTTTAAAAACGCCACACAAGCACCTAGTAAATATAAAAATCAAATAATGGTAAAATTAAGTTTAATTTCGAGTCATATGCCAGAGTAAATTTATACTGAAATATAAATGAAAATATGGTGGTAATTCCAACCAATCATGGTCTTTAAAATAGTTTCATTTGTACAATAAGATGGGTGATGAAAGTGTGATTATGGTTTAAACATGCTTGAAAACCAGTAAGAAAATTTCAAAATATAATTTCAAAATTGTTATCATACTTGGTCTGTCTGCTTCTTCCACGACAACAACGGGTGAATCATTTTCATCTTCTCCTTCATATATTCCAACTGCTCTTGTACGGCGTGCCTAAATATTTTTTGCTCATGTTGAATGAAATGTGTGTTTTCTGTTCTTATCATATTTTACATTTCTCCACAATATTTTATTTGCTACTCATATTTATTGTGTGAATTTATGTTTGGTGAATTAGAAAACAATTTTGTTAGTGTCCTATACTTATCTAGCTATATGAGATTATTTACCTTGGTAGCTGTTAGCACGAGTGAAAACTGCAATGTACTCCAAGACCAGAAAGCCATAATTACAATCAACAACGTACGGTCACATCGAACTTCAATTTCCTGCGAAAAAAACAAACATATTTATTGTTGTCTCTAGGAAAATTTCATTTTCATTTGGATAGAAAAATAAGATTTGGAAATATGGGGAAAAGATAAAACAACACGTTTTATACCTTTATTGTTTCTGTTACAAACTCCAATATATCAGCTCCCACACCAATGAATACAAGTAGTAGTTGAGAGAGCTGATCTTTAGATATTCCTTCCCCAGTTGGAAGAAGCCATCGACCGACAATTAAAAAGAACAGCAAAAGTTGATGAAGAACTAAAATCCATGTTTGTTCATTGAAAAAGTTTATGTTTTCCAGCTGAACACAAAAATTTAAGAGATAAGTAGTGTTAAAACTAAACAATTTTGTATAAAAATTGTACAAACTTCTCACCAAACTGTCTACAACTTTTTTGGCTTCGTCTAGTGTTTGAACGACATTTCCAACAGCGCCTTCAAGTGCTTCTTTTGTCGTAACTTCTGCCAGCATGGTCGTTGTCACAATCTAAAAACGGCGGGAAAGTTTTACTTGTTGCGACTTTTTTTTGCTTTGTTGCGAGTGGCGGAAGCTGATCAATAAGGGGGCGGGTTTGCACCTCATCTAAGTTAGACTCTTGCTTGATCTACCGAATAATGTATAGGGTAGCAACAACGCAACGCAACAACACAATAGTAAGAATACTTACTGTTAAATTTTCTTGTGCCGTTTGCTTTTTTGAATACTCAATCTCGCATGCCGCTTTTCTTAACGTGACATTGCTTAAGACATAGTTTACATCATCAACCTCTGCATAACGGAATACTTTGAGACAACCCGGTAGGCTCTGAAAAGTAAGTAAATAGCTATATCGAATAAACTACCGTACCACATTTTGTTTGTATGTATAGATAATGTATCTGGAGATTATTGTAGGTAGCATTAGTTTCACATTCTAGTTTCTCATTATGTTCTTACCGTTAAACCCCAGTGCAGATCATTACAAATATGCCTGAATTGTCTTCTGTCAAAATTCTTCATTTCCAGAAACCAGACTGACGGCAATACACTCGCAAGATAAAGAATTACGCATGGACTAACCCTGAAGTTCAAACATATAACAGTAAGCATTCGCTGTTACTTTAAATAATTTATGTACTTAATTAACAATAATTACTAAAAACATTTATTGTTTCGACTATTTTTGTTGCAATTGTTTTGAAACGCAACATATATCATTTCGGCGAAGCCTGAAGCATATTGTGCTTTCATATCCATCATTAGCACAGTAAAACACGAGTATTACATAAATTACCATTTGTATTCTTCGCCACCTCTAGCACCCACTGTAAAAAGTGTTTCCAGGATTAACGCACCAACTGGTACCAATAAAAGCCACATGGTTACTTCATTGTACTCGGTGTAAGCTCGCCAAATTGCAATAAGTGCATGGGCACCAAACATCACTCGCGTGAAAAGAGCTGTAATAGGTAATAACAAGATAAAAATCAAGAAGCCTAAAGGTTTAGGTAATTCGTTTGTATACACATGACTAATAATAAGGAATAATGGAATAAATACATTATTATTCAGTTCACGTATACAAAATACAGTAAACGTAACTATTTAATTCGAAAGGGGGTCTTACCCAACAATATGTCCTTCATATTTCCGAGTTGTCGTCTTTCCTTTGTCCGGTTCAGTTGAGGGAAAAAAGAAATAGATGCATATGTTTATGCAAAACTGTCAGTCCAATCATATGTTGCTATTTGTGCAGTAAATACTCAACTTGTTAGGTTAGATTAGGGTACACTTTGAAATGCAAACAGTGTCATTTTTCAAAAAGAATTTTTTACAGTGCTTTGTAAAAAGCTGTAATATGCTTAAACTGACTTTTCTAAAATCATAACTAGATTGTTCGCCAATTTTCTCGATTAATCATCAGGTTTGATCAGTGCATAAATTTGTTATATTTTCAGAACATGAACGACTGATAATTGCGCTGCAACATTTGTCTGTAGTGTGGGAATAAACTTGTTATCAGTAGGATTGAGCATAATTGTAAAAAACAAACATCTTACAAATCAAATCATCGTCTTTGAATCAAAGTTTTATTGCCATTCCTCTCGAATATCTATTTGGGCTCCGATTGCGATAAATTCGTATTGTCGAACTTGTCTTAATTAGATAAAGCGGTGAAGTTGTTGGAACGAATACTAACTTTTTGTAATACCACTGTGACTATGGTTATAGTATGAATCTCATTCGAAGATGTGTTCCAAACTGTAATGTGTTTAACCTATCTCCACCGCGTATAATTCCATACTGAACGCCCAAATCAATTCTTTTATTCGAATCGTTTTAAAAATGATTACTTTGCACTAGGCCGCGGTGGACATGGTGACAATATGTATGTAAGTAAATAATAACAATGAAAATAGCGGAAACTAGATTTTTGTATTCGTCGTCAATAGGTGACGTTTAAAGATTTACTTTCATTTTGCCCCATACTCTAACCCAGCAACATTAATTTTCTAAATGTTCAACAAATATTTGTGACCCTGACACTTTTGTGGAGAAATTACGCAAAGACGTACTGAAAACAGGAAAAGCATTATACTCCTAATCTAACTGTCAATTGGACTCATAATTTCAATCCCGAATCAGATGACAAATATTTAAAAATTGTAACTCGTGAAATATAATACCCTCTTATATCAACTATAAACACAATCAAAATAAAGGATTACATTTTTATCTACAACTCAATGAATAAGTAACATCACAAAATTGAGACGTTCAAAATCAAGTTAAAGGGAAAATACCATTTCTTGCTGCAAATCAGGTTTTTGCTATGACGCCATATATCATGCATGTGAAACACAGCACGCGTGCATACGTGAATCTGTAGCTGAAACTTTTAACTAATATCCGGTGATAATACGACTTATTTTTATAAGTATAGTTAGTCAATCACACAATTCAGTAAGCTGCAGGTGGCTATTTTTCAAGACGTTAACTGAATCTTGTAATAATAGACTAACTAACTTCATTTCGGGTGATCTTGATATCGGATTATTATAAATTCCAGAATTAGATAATTTCTTAGGTAATGGTAAAATAACCTTGATCTATTCAATCTGAACTTTACTTAAATTTACATAGAAATGAACGAGGTTCGAAAATACACATAATATAAAAACATTCTATATTAGACGAAAAGAATCTTCATTGCCTATAATTCAGGTTTGTCGTAAACCTCGCAGGCTGTTAATGATTTTTTCGGACTTCTCTTTGATTCAATTCGCGCAATATTAATCATTTAAAACGTGTTTCGGGGGTAATTATAGCGACGTGCTATCCTCTTCAATGAATATGCAAGAGATACAACCAGTGGTGGGATTCAATTTTTTTGTCAGCCGGTTCCATCACAAAAGTCATATTTTTCACCCGGTTCTGTTACAAAAAGTCATTGACAGTAACCAGTAATGCTAACCGGTTCGCTAATCTCATATAATTCCGTGAGACGGTTCTATAGCACCGGTGCGAACCGACTGAATCCCACCATTCAATACAACATTTCCATAGTGTCTCCAAAGGATTTTGTTCAGCTCGTGGCTTACTACAATCAGCACGATGATCATCAAAACAATTGTCACAAAAAATAATTCAGTACAAAGCGTTAGTTTTTAAAACGAACCGTTAAACTTCTAGCAATGATTCAATGATATGATACAAGCACGTCAATGTCAATCACTGATTAACAAGTTGTGTATTCGAGCGAGTTGTAGATACTCATTAATGTGGAACCTCCCTCTGCAATCCTATTTCGGACTTCTCTCTATCATCATGGATGCCAGGCTACCTCTTTTATGTGTTAATTATCACAATTTGCAAATTTCGAAAACTAGCAAACTATACACTAATCACAAGTAAAAACTGCATAATACACAAATAGAATTACAATTCGAAACTATGCCTTTGATCATTACATTTTCTTATTAATCCAGTTGAGCAACTGACACAATGCCAACTTGGCATGCTGATATTAATTTGTACAACACAAGAACAAGGATAACCTACGCTATATAGATTAACGTTTACGCTATCAGCAATAGAATATATTTTGAAATCAGATACACGACCTTTTTGCACGGCGTTTTTTATAATTCGGAACATGGAAATCCTTACTGGATATCTAGTGGATGGTCAATAATTTTAAATCACGTATTTTGAGAACTACTTGAAAACATTTAGCAGTGATCATATTTAATCATACTTTAACATTGCCTTAATTTACTGAGTTCAAGTTGATAAATATTACATGATGCCCAAAAATAGGCCATCAAGTCTATTTTTAGATATTAATTTTGTCGTTTTTCAGAAATTTCGAGTTTACTGTATTCCGAGAACATATTTACATCGATATATTTATATCGAAAATGGTTTTAAGTTTTTAGTATCTCGAACACTTTTTAAGTCTTTGTTTTAAAGATCTCCAAGTTCAAAGTTCGTGGCAAATGTAATCATATCTTAGTCTCGCCTATGCGTTTAAGTTGCTTCACTTCATGCATAATATACATGCAATATAGCCACTGACTGTATGATTTCAAAGTGGGATAAAGTATTGTAAGCAGGAATCTCGGCTATGAACTCTATTCTGCCTAAATTGGAACCACCTAAACATAAGCAGATCTAATTAGAGCATTGTCCCAAGATGTAAAGTGTTCAATGTAAAAATCGAACATACATGCAATTAATAGCATGCGTCTCCCGGAAAACATGAATAATTGAGTAAAATGTTATGTTTTTAAATCATAACAATATCCAATTTAGAAAAGAAAATAATTCAAACTGTATTTTCTCTCATTTCAGTATAATCTAGTGGTCTCGGTAATATCAGTGACACTGAAAATACAAATGACAACTAAATTGCAATTCATTATATATTATATAGCGGAAAATAATAATGAGTCGTTAGGAAATTGATAACTATATCATTTTCAGCTGTTCTGAAGAAATTGTCTCCTTTCTGCGAACACGAGTCTGTCGTATTTCTGTGCGTGCCATCTTTTGCTACACTTGTTTTTTTTATATGCACAAACAGTCTTATTAGTATATAAAAAATTTTTTTAAGAAATTTGACGTCATTTCTTTGTGATTAATGGAGAAAGAAACCCTCTCGCAGTTCAATCTAATAAGTTTCTAATTAATTAGGGAAAATCGACACCAACGAATCAATTAATCAAAGTAAAAGAAATAGCGTTTGAACAAGATAAGATGCTAAGTATATACATTGATTTTTTTGTTTCGTATTAAATGTTTAGGAGTCACAATAGTTTCCGATCAAATTAATCAAAATTCATATAATGCACGATTAAATAACATATAGATAAATAGGCATTCATTCGTGACAACATATTCGACGAAATCGAAATGCGGTAATCAGTCATTACGTGACGTGATTTATGAATCGAGGTCGCATCAATTCGTTTGTTGAATCAATATGCAATTTGGAAGTTACAAGTTGTGCTTCTCATAAACAGTGCAAGAGAATAAAAATAGAATTTTACAATTTTACACCACCATTTTATTTTGATATAAACTACAGAACAAAATTGTTCTGTGCCAAGCAGGTGACAATAATTGTACATTCTATATTACGTAATAGTTCCCAGTCTTAGTTGCCACAATCTGGGCTTGAAGAATATACTGCGCTCAAACGTCAATGCTCATTAAAGTTTCAACTTATAAGCTCCTACTTTTCGTTGGTTACACAACGGCCTTCCGCACATGCATTAAATATGAGCAATAGGCTACATAGTGTTGTTGAACAAGTTAATTCACGTGCCTCAAACGTAAAGTATTTAACTATACTTAGACTTTGACTATACTATTTGGATATACTTTACTAAATACTTTGTTTTGGTAATTGGTATATATCTCTGTCATTCTATTTAAATCTAAGAAACTGTTATTGGTAATGTAATCGGGACCTCGATGTAGATAAAAACAAGAAAATTAGATGGACATATTTCGTAGAATTTCATGTACTTCTATTCAAAAAGTACCCAATCATAATTTAAAAAGACGGGAGTTTTCATTCTGATTTAACGGCGAAAGTCAATAGAAATAATTCTTGTGAATTCATAAGAAAGGAAAATTTATTTGAAAAGACAATTATTCAAAGTTCGGAAACTCCGAAGAGGAATTTTTATGACTTTTACTTTATGACCCTTGGAATAAAATTATTATTTTACTACCTTTGCTCGTGTGTGTTCATTTCAAAGAGTTCTTAGTTACATTAATTACATCGACATTACATATACATCGATGGACATTTTCCAATAACAAAGAACTTCATCAATATCATCGTGGCACACTATGATATGCAACCGGGAAATGAAATATTAATCAATTTGGCAAAAAAGCATTGACATATTCACAACAACCGCGATATTCAAAAATATATAATGCAACAATGCGGTTACCAACGACATTGATGTTGCAGATTCAATAAATGTAGTTTTATTATATTCTGAAGAACTGCTGACTACTTTGCAACCATGTACGACAAATATGACAAACCTATATGGTTAGAACTTACGAAATATTCAGACATATTGATATGTTTTGTTCCTATTTGACTTTAAAACATCTCATGTTGTGACTATAAGTTTGATGATGGCAATTGTCTGGCGACAAATTGGTCGGTCGAAGCGTGGGTGGATGAATAGAATAAGTATAAATGTTTCAACGATGTTAATATTAGGATAGATAGATGATATAGAATAAAAGGTCAGTGAGAGAATAAAAAGTATAACAAATGACA